ATCAGTAATCTTTGAGCTTATTCAGTCTGCTATCGAGTCTTGAGGGTCCTGTAAAGTAACATTATACTTTCAATCATGGTAATTTGATCAACGGTGCAAACACACAAGTATTTTTCATCAAACAATAGTATTTTACAGTTTCAACATCTTTGCACCATTTTGTGTTTAAATGATTTACAAACCATCAAATTCTGTTGAACCAACCTTTACCCAGAGTCTTAAATCTCATGTCTGATTAATCTTCTTTCTCTGTCTGCAGCTTATTCCCATGTTGTTGAGAATACAGCATTTTTTGGTGACGTGGCATTACGTTTCCCTCGTATTGTCCATCACTACTACGACCGAAACCCCGACTGGGGCGGTTTGTTGCGCTGGGGCCTGAATTTCTGTAACCAGACTGGAGTTTTCACAGGAGGAGTGCACCAACATGTCCTCACACTTGTAAGACTAAACAATAATCTCTTTTGTCTTTATTGTACCCAGTTTGTTCTATTGAAACCAATTTTTTCACTATCCAGTGTCATCTTTTGTTGCTAAATGTGTCGGCACAAATCATTCATGAAGAATTGAAAGAGTACTGCAGAAAAGAAAAAGAGCGAGTTTTCTCACTTGGATAAATCTATTAAAGCTGTAGACTCAGATCACTTTTAAGAGCTACTGCGAGTCCAAAATGAAAGTAAAGACCTTGAGAAATGAGTAGCTCTTTAAACCTTTGCTTGTGTGATAAGTTAATACAAGTTTTATCAAAAAGACTTGGAAGAAGAAATTCACTTTCTGAAACAGCGTAATTCAAAAGAAGGAGGAATTCAAGAGACAGATACAAAAGGACCAATGCTTACAACAATGCTACAGAAGAGTGGTTAATAAGAAGTGCTAACTCTTTGACTTTGTACAAGGGTGTGTGGAATTGTTGAGTAATGCTCTTGTTTAAAGAAATACTGGTGGATACAAAGCATACCTTACTTTTCCGACTGACGTTTAAGTATCTTACAAATGTGATATTTCAGCGTACATTCTTCCATCAGGTCAGCAAGAAAATAAATCTTTGGAGCTTGATTCTTAAAGCACTACAGAAAGAAAGCCTGCTTATTCCTATATGCCTGTGTAGTTATCTTTTTACCCAGAAGATGGTGCTATAGTCTAGGTAAAACTCCACCACAGACCTGCAGAGTAATGGCTGTTAGGGTCACCAGCTCCCATGACATGCCTCTGAAAATTCACTGCCATTTGTGGAATAGTTCGAGTTGCCACTTTTCTCTGCATTGCTGGGTCTTTAATTAAGCTTTTAAAGCTCATGTGAGGACTCAGCAAACATACCAGTAACCAGAAGGATGGTAAACTCAACATTGTGAAAACAGAGAAAAAAGAGCTACACAGTTGCGCAAAGACTGTACGTTGGGGACTTTGTGGAGCTCTGGCCTTTACTAGCATCGACTTTTAGGAGCTACAGACACTCTACCCTTGACCATTTTTTCCAAGAGTAGTGGCGTCCGTCTTATTGGCCAATTTTCATTTTGAATTGAGGAGTCTTTTCAATCAGACCAGGTTTATTAGTACCACCATTTTCTTTAAACGCAGGATCAAGTCATAACAAGGCTCATAAAAAAGGGACTACGCTAGACTGGTCCACCTTTCTATTTGCACAGTGGCAGTTTGTATCTATTGGGTAAAATCCAGTAACATAGTAAATTATCTCTCTGCATCATGTCGGGACTGGGATTTGATCCTACAACCGGTTATCTATTTTACCAACTGATCTAACAAGGCACCTCAAAAACACGCTACATTCAAATCATCATTTGAAATATTGAGGTAGATAGATGTTTTATTGCCCAAAATTGGTGAACTACAGCTGAGTAATCGCTATGAATAGTGTAGTTTTAAAGATAGGGCTGTATATTTGACTGTTTATATGACAAGTGCAAAAATGCAGCAGATTTTTGCTGACACACATCTAAATCATGCCAAATTGTTCCTTAATTAAACAGTTATGGCCCTCCTGTGAAGTTTAGAGGCAGAATTTAATGTAATTGCTCAATGAACAATGCAATAACTGTTCACTCCAGTATAGTCACAGTGGTGTACATGCGACTGCTGCACAGACATGAGAGAACTATCACTTTTCTGGTCGCTCTGGTTTTACAGCCGATACAGAGATTTTAGTGCAGTGTACCATCATTACAATGTGCAGTACATCCTCTATGTCAGCTAATTACCTCCCTGTCATTACAGCAAAATGTCTCATTTGTCATTAAATTTGTCCATGGTGCACTGCCGCTTTTGAAAACCTAAAAGAGCAAAGCACATAAAATGGTATTTCCCATTTTAATGTGTGGGTTAATGAACTACACTCTTGCAGGATTTAACTGTGACCTTAACAATGTGCCAAGAGGATTATACAGTGGATTAATTCTGAGACTCAAAGTGACAGCAGTTTGCACCCCTGATACCGAGCATCCAACCCCCACTTGTCTTTCAAACCACACTCTTTGTCTCCCTTATAGTACCTAAACTAAAAAGATGAAATAGGATATGAAACTGAAGAAATGTTGGTTTCCTTTGCAGCTGCTTGTGAAATTGCATCATATTTCTTATTTGCCATAGAACAGGAGATGTAACCATGTCTCTTCTTCATTTCTCTTCCTTTTTGATGAATTGATAATGTGTTTCCTCCTCCTCTTTTTCTCCTATCATCTGTCTTTTCTGCTCACCCCTCAGATGTCTCAGGAGCTGGGAATAACAGAGAAAACCCCAGACTTTTCAAACCCATACCGCACAGAGAGAGACGATGTAAGTGAGATGCTTACATGTTTTGTCACTTTTAACTCCTTATAAAGTCTTCTTGAAACAATCAGTTACACCATCTCAACTAGTACAAATACAGGTGCATCTCAACTTATTTTGCTCAGTGAAAAAAGTTTTTTTCTCGTAACTTCATTTAAAAAGTTAAGTTTTGTATATTGCATGATCATTAGGTGTAAAAACCATTATTTCAAGTCTTTTTTTGTTTTAATTTTAATTATTTGGCTTACAGCTCATGGAAATCAAAAATCGGGTGTCTAAAGGTTTTAAGAATATTTCCCAAGATCATAAAAAACAAAGACTTTGACATGCAGAAAGGTTTAACTTCTAAAAAGTATCTTAATAAATGCACTTAATACTTGGTTGGGGCTCCTTTACTACTGCATCAGTGTAGTGAGGCATGGGGCTGATCAGCCTTTATCACTGCTGAGGTGTTCTCTAAGCCCAAGTTGTTTTGATAGCGGCTTTAGCTCACCTGTATTTTATGGGTCAGATGTTTATTTTCTCCTTGACAAATTTCCACAGCTTCTCTCATTGGTTTAGGTGAATTGGCAGTCCAATCCAGCACATTAGTATCATGGTCAGCAAACCAGTATCAGGTAGTTTTGGCTCTGATAATTTGAGCTGCACCTGTATTGTAACACAAATAGATCTTTGCTCTATCATGCTATTTTCAGGAGAAAAAAAAACACTATCTCTCATTGTTGTCTTCTTCAGGTGCTTCATACTGCAGAGGCTTTCCAAAAGATCCTGAGGGAGGAGGAGAAGAGGAGGAGGAAAGAAGAGAAGAGGAAAGAAATCAGGAAAGGGCCCCGCATCTCCCGCTCTCGCACCGAGCTATAGCGCTCTACCTCAGTGTGTATGGAGAGCAGAGGAGAGGAAACGCACAGTCCACAAGGGGTGGCTTGACTTGTAGACTCAAGGTGACAGTAAAGGAAATAAAAGCTGTCATCACATGTACAAAAGCCAGGTGCTCTTTGAAAAACAAGAGAAGAAGCCTCAAAGTGACACAAAATAGTGAAGTGGAGGAAGATGGTTAGTCAGTTCCTGACAAAGGCGTGAATCACTGTGTGTACAGTGATCTAAAATTGGAAAATTTAACAAACAAGGGGTAAAAACTGTCTCTGGAGTTGATAAGGGAAACTTGTTTTTGATAACTTGAAGTTATTTAAATGTACTTTGGAATATAATTACTTTTAGTGGATTAAAATTGCTTCAAAACTTTGCAAAACCCCACTGTATTGTGTCTGGTCTAGATTTAATGTGTCTGAACCCATATGCTTCAAATGTGTTTGCCCAATATAAAGTCCACCTCATCTCATTAAACTTAGTCAGGCCCCAGTTTAGTGAAGCCCAAATCTGTGCGGTAATACTGCTCTATCTTAATTTTTTTCCCAGTTATGTTGAGATTTGTTGACCAGATTTCTTGAAGGATGTTTGTTAAAAGACAGATTTATGTTCTTATTGCTGCTTAAAGCGTGAGGGACATTTGTTTGTCTGACCAACAGTACAATAGGTTTATGTTCATTGATAATTTTTGTTTAATTTTTTATTGTTAACTTCATCATTTCTCTTTGTACATCGATCCCTTTATATGTTTTGTTTTATTGGGTTAATATGAAATGTTTATCCTTTTGGAAGGTCTGTTGATGAGAAACAGAGTAGGACCTTTCATTTAACAGCTCTACATGTTACTCTGTTCAAGATTTTTGTTTTGTTTTGTTTTTTACATTTTGATTGTTTTTTCCTTTTTTATTCTTGTTGGAAATTGACATATTTTACTGGTTTAGATCTATGGAATTGAGATTGATGTGATTTTGAAATAGTATTACGACTGTTATAAACCTATATGTATATTCAGAGAGAGAATATCATTGCTGCAGAATGAACAAGCCATTTTGTTATCAAGTTTAAAGAAATAAAGTGACTCTGATATGTACAAAACATACATTTGGTACTACAAAGATGGATTTTTGTGAGTGTATGTCTAACTGCCACCCTTAGCTTTGCCAACAGAGGGCAGACAGCTGCTGCTGGACTTTGTACCAAAAAAAGGTCCAATGTTTCTGTTTCAGTTCCTCTGAGTTTGTGTGTAGCTCGTTAGGAAGCTTCAAACATCGATTTTACAGACATAAAATATGCATTAAAGCTTGAATTTACAGAGCAAACGACGCCTTTCACCGGGGATATCGCTTAACATGGCCTCGGGTGAGATTAACTTTTAATTTCTTGATTGTTGCCGTTTAAGTCACAAGTTAGCAACATGCTAAAGCTAGCTAGTTAATGCGTCACTAGCTTTAGTAGCTTCGTAGTCAGTATATCTTAAATTAGCATGACAGTAAGGATTACATCTCTACATGCTTTTTGCTTTGTGGTTAACGGCTGCTTTGTTATTCGGTAGCGTTTTTGTCACAAAGAGTCACATCCTTCTGGTTGGCTTATGAGTTACGTAAATACCAGGTTGGTTAGTAGCTAACTGTCAGGATGTTATTCTCTGGTGCAGTAACTGTCAGACTAGTACAGACTCTTCCAGGCTTTACACGCGCAACACAAAATACTGTCTCTGAACACCCCTGAGAATTCACACATTCGACTGTGGGGAAGTTATAAACCTGATTCAAACTAACAAACCTAGATAAGATTGTCTTAGAGAGGATACAGCCTCTTGAGAATACAGTTTTATATTTGTGAAACCGTAATAATACTCATTAAAATGCTAAAAGGGATGATTCCAGTGTTTTTGTCCACCTCTGGCCCACATGACATCCAGTCCTGATCCAAACATTCAGTACCTAGGCTCCTCAGAAGTTGATCACATTATCCCAGTGAGGCTACAGTTTGTTGACAACATAGTTTTAGATTTGTAAAACGTTTACTCTCATTCTGATAATGCAGGAATGGCTGATTGCTTTTATCTGTCTGTAACACATTAGACCAGGGCCTGGTCCAAAATCCAAATAGTAAGACTTTTTGGATGTGGCTGTAATGGTTCTAAAAAGGCCACAATCAAGGAAAACATTTTTCAGATGGAAACATATTCTCTTGACAGAACTGCAATAAATAAAGAAATCCCTTTTTTCACCTGAGGATCTCATTGGACCTGGTATATCAGTGGAATCTGTCTTTTTACACACTTCCACATAATAATGTAAAGGTGGTGCATTTTTTTATTATTTTAAAAAGTGTGTAGACTCTTAAGTGGTTAAAAGTTTTGTTTTGTTTAGTTAAGTAGTTTATTTGACAGGTTCCTTGCACAACACAAGCTGCTGAACCGGAGCTGAACTGAAGCTAATTAACATCTGTGGACCCTTTGCAGGAAGGTCTATAAATGTACAATACAAATTACTAGAAAGAGAAACACTGAAGCTTGTGCAGTCTCTGAATTCTTATCCAATCTGGTTAAGAGGTTAAGATAGCTGAAGATTCTAATTTTATTTTATTTTTGGGGAGGAATTTTGACAAATAATAAAAAAGTTTCACAACTCTGACATGGTGTCTGTAAAAGCCTATAGACTCTTGTAGGATTATCAAGACCTGAGATGTCTTAAGTATTGTGGTTTTGAATCAGTTTCTGGTCCAATGTGGCCTAAAGATTCGAAAAGCATTAAAATTTCCCTTTTTATGTTTTCACACATCATTTAAAAATCTGCAGTTTTGTTGTGAAAAATACAAACGCTTCAGTTGACTTGTTAGTACAGTGATTCTGGACCAGGTCCTGGTTGCTTCATATTCCCACAACAGCCAAATCAAAGGCAAAGATGTGAATCAGATAATAACTTGAGTATTGTTGTCCATACTTTATACTAATCTGTGTCACTGCAGTGATCAATTATTATGAAGCCTTAATAGTTCCAATTACTTACATTGTCTTTTTGTGCAGCTCATCCACCTGGGGATGAGGAGGAGAAGAAGAAGCCGAATATGACGGAGGATGAGAATGAGGGAGACAATCCTGAAATCCGACTGGGTGGAGAACTTCGACTTGTCCTCATCGGAAAGACCGGATCCGGCAAGAGCGCATCTGGAAACACCATTTTGGGTCAAAAGCTGTTCCTATCGCAGGTCAGCGCCAGTTCTGTCACCCAGGTTTGCCAGCTGGGGAGCACTGAGCTCCCCGATGAAGAGGAGGGACAGACTTCCACACAAAGGAGGATGAGGAGAATAAACGTGGTAGACATGCCAGGTTTCGGGGACACTCATCTCAGCCCGGAGCAGATTCATGCAGAGATTGCAAAATGTGTGTCTCTCTGTGCCCCTGGGCCACATGCTTTCCTTTTGGTAGTGCCAGTGGGACGATTCACAAACAATGAGAACCAGGCAGCATGTGAGCTGACGCAGATATTTGGAGAGGGTGCACTCCATCACCACACTTTGGTTCTCTTTACCAGAGGTGATGATCTGGAGGGGAAAGGGATTGAAGAGTACCTGAGAGAGACTGCACCTGTTGGGCTTAAAGCTCTGATTGACAGGTGTGGAGGAAGATACCATGTGCTAAACAACAAGGACCTTGGTAACTCTGCACAGGTTAGAGAACTCTTAATAAAGGTGGACAAGATGGTGAAGCAGACAAACACCAGCTTTTATACCAATGCTATGTTTTTAGAGGCTGAGGCTGTAATCAGGGAGGAGCAGCAAAGGATGATGAGGGAGAGAGGGCAGGCGGAGGGTGAGGAACAAGAGGGAGTCAGCTGCAGCTTGGAGGAGCAGGCTAAAGTTGCAAAACGAAGGAAGTGTGACCTGGAGTCAAACAGAGAGGATGGCACTGACAGAGGATCATCAACGGTCAGGAGGAGGGAGTTTTGGAGAGGGAATGAAGAGGATTTCAGGGTGGAGAGATGGACAGATGAGAGCAGATGCAGCCCCCTCCGTTACCTAAGCGACAAGTTCAGAGGCAGGCGCAGAGATAGCGGCAGAGCCATGAGCAGGAGACAGTCTCTACGCTCGTCTTTGACCCGGATGAGGAGAGAGGCTGCTCTCTCTCCAAAGGTTCTGGAAAAAGTTAAGATCCTGGTGGCTGCTGGAGCCACAGGCATGGCTGTCGGTGCAGTGTTCGGGGCGGCTGCACCTTTAGCGGCTGCAGCTGGAGCATCTCTTGTTGGGAACTCTGTTGGTTTTGCCGCAGGTCAGTTAGCTGGGATATCTGTAGCCGGAGGAACGGGTGTTGGGAAAGCAGTGGGAGCCATAGTGGCTGCAGCTTCAGGGAAAACTGCTGTGGCTCTGGGGGCAGCAACAGGTGGAGTTCTAGGTGGTTCTGTAGGAGCCATTGCTGGTGCTGAGGCTGCCAGTCCTGCGGAGGGCGCTTTGGATGCTCTGGAGCAGGTTAGTACCATAGGAGTGTCTGCTGTTGGAGTGGCAGTAGGTGTGGGAAGCACCCTGGGAGCTGGAGCTGCTTTAGGTGCAGCTCTGGAGGGAGCAGCTTTGAGCTCAGCAGCCCTCAGTGGAGCTGAAACAGGAGCAGCAGGAGTAGTAAACACCTCTGTAGCTCAGTGTAGTTTAGCATCAGCAGCAGGACAGCATGCAGCAGGCACAGTAGGGAGTATCAGTGCAGGTGCAGGGACTTCTCAGAGCGTTGTAACAGGAGCAGCTATTGCACAGGAGGTGGTTGCAACTGCCCCGGTAGCTGCTGGGTCCTCTGGTGCTGTCAGTGGAATCACAGGGCCCGGTGTTGCATCAGTGATAAGCACTGCTACGTCAAATCCTTGGGGCACAGTGACAGCAGCAACATGCATATTGAACGCAGTAGCTGAAATAGGCAAGGCTGCAGCAGGCATCGCCCTGGCTGGAGGTCTTGTTGTGAAAGTAGTAAAGGAGAAAGTCAGAAGTGGCACAGCAGCAACAGAGGCAAGTTACTCAGAGAAAAAGTCCTATGAGATCTACTGGAACAAATAAGCAAGAACTGAAGTCATCAAGTCCATGGGATGGGATCATTTCGCTGTTTTATTTCTTAACATGTAAGGTATTTGCAGAATCTCATCTCAGTAACCGATCATATGTGTTATTCCCATGAGAAAACAAACCATTTGAAAGATGAAAATCTGTGTGACAGACACAGGATTGTGTGTGCAAGTGATCACAGGAAGTGCAAATTAGAATTGCAAATGTTTGTTTGAACTGCTGGGTTCAGTAACATTTTTAATACTGTTTGAAATGAAGCACACGGAGTTCACCTAAACACAACACCTTTGGCTTATTTCTTAAATATGTAAAACACATTTTATTAGTATTTTTTAAAAAGGCTATGATAAATCTCACAGTCATTTGGTGTGGAGCATAAATTAACACAGATTTACATTTAATTATAGTCATGATTTAGCTACCAAAGCTGAATAGGTGACATGGATTTCATGATGGCTCACGTCTTTTTTGCCTTTTGTAAATAAAATAAAATAAAAACTTTGAATAAAAATAAGTATAAGTAAAAACTTTTACAAAGTGAAATAATTGTGTTCATGCAATAGATCTTACCAACTATTGTAATGGACATTGACAGACAAAAGAAGTGAGGGAAGGGCTAATTTTGGGAAACTAATAATAAAAGTTTGTTTTTGTGTGTAATAACTTTGCAGTGAAATAAAGAATTCATCACTTTATATTTTGGCTTTATTTTGTGTCTTCTGTTATTGAGTTGTTACTTTTATTTTTGTATTTGAATAAAAAAATAGATAACTTTCAATTTTGCTGCACTGGCACTGTATAAATATTTTTAAAAACTTATCTATTTGTATTATAGCTCATGTGAGGAACTTTATTTTTGCATTCATTTCATCCCCCTCGTGGACAAAGTGGAAACCTTAGACATCTGCTGATTGTGTCCTCTACACAAATTGTTTTCTAAAAATATAAAAAATCACATAATGCTTTCTTTTAACAAAACACTGAGGACAATGTGAAGACAGACTTTCAGAAACACACTAAAAATGTTGTCTTGTTTGACACCTATACCTTTACGTTGGATTCAGGCATTACAAATTTTAGTAAAGAAATTGTGATAAAAAATATATATATATATATATTGAATAATGTCACTGATGATCACAAAAAAAGAAAAACAATTTTGTCCAGTCTGTTTCTAAACATTCAAAAAAACTCCACCTAGTAGCTCAGAAACTAGAGGAATGTTGTAAAGGTGCAGAAAAGACTATATAATTTTGTTAAATTCTGCTGTATTTATAGGACTCTATTTATTGATGTGTTTATTTCTGTAAGTCTGCGGTGGGATTTGAGTCATTGTTCCTCAGTTGGGCTGACTTTCCATAATGAGGTCTACTTCTATTCATGAAGGTAGGGGGCGCGGTTTATTCAAATAACACACGAGCTTCCCATGTTTGACGTACTATCAGACCACGGCAAATGCGGCTTTGTCATTGGACGGTGATGACTGGTCTCATGACAACAACAGCAGGGTTTCATCCAATCAGAAAACGCTCTGAGCCACAGAGTCTGTTTGTGAATGACGTCAAGAGCGTAAAACAAGATGGCGCCGTCTTAAGCTTTAATTGATGTTAATGACTTCATCGACGTGAAAGTCTGCCTCTTTTGAGGCCCTAGGCTTGAATTACGGCTCTTCTGCATCAGGACAATCTTCACTCTCGTGTTAGGGTGTTGTGGGCGTAGCTGAACGCCTCAGAATAGCCTGTGGGTGTCGCTTCCCTCCTCCGAGCCTCCGGTGACAGCCGGGGTGACGAGCCGCTGACAGGATGGACAGTGGAGAGTTCATACCCTCCATGGACAACATGGACACGACTCTAGCGGAGTTAGGGGACGAGTTTACACTGGGAGACATAGACGGTGAGTATCTGTTATAAGTCTAATGGTGGTCGGTGTTTCTGTTTCATCACTCAGTGTTTGTTTCCGCTCAGTCTGACACCCCCCGGACACGCTCTTCATGCTGAGGGGAAAACCTCATTAGCTTTGTTTATGACTCATACTAACACTGACCAGGACTTACAGAGTTAATGTTTTAAGTTTCCACGACACAGCAGGTGGAGTGATATCAGGAGGTACATTTTCATGAGCTCCTATTACTTTGTCAAAGATAAAATGCAAGTGTTTTGCCAGTGTGAGCACTCTTTAATTTGACAAGAAAAAATCAACATCTCTATTTAACTTAAAGGTCCTGTGAGGAGTTTTTAGCTGATCATGAAAGAGACTGATTTAAAAAAAAAAAAAAAAAAAAGATTCCTCTTCATAAGCTCCAAAAATAGACAATTTCTGTTGTTTTCTGTTGTTAATTTTAATACGGTGTGTGTGTGTAAATCAATATGACATTACAGAGGTGGGGATCTATAAATGATTATCATAAAAATGTAGTTAAAGTTAGTACATTTTTTAAAAACAGCTGCAGTTAAAGTAAATAGTGTTAAATGTCAAATAATTATATTATACAGTAATATTAAAGTACAATGTTATTACAAAGCCTTGTATCTCAGTAAAGAGCAAAGCTTTATTTGAGAATTTATTTGCCAAATTAATGTATTTTTTCCACATTCCATTCTTGCCTATTATATTCACTTTTATATTTTTGATACCTGAAAATGAATCATAAAAAATATAAGAGTAATGAAACAATACAAAAACTGAGCTGGACCTTAAAGCTCCTATAAAGAGTTTCTATCTGGCTATGAAACTGATTGATACTATTATTTATGACCCACAAAAGCAAAGGAAACATCAGGGACAGGATTGATACTTTATGTTTAGTTTATTGATAAAGTTTGAAATACTGGAGGCGGAGGGTAGGTGTGAGTCAGATTCATTGAGCTGACACTCCTGAAACAGCCTTATTTACATGATACATGGAAAATATTCTTCATGGGGGGTTCATTTGAGTGATAACATGAGGCAAGGTAAGATTGTTAGTGGATAATACAAGAAATAGAAAACGTTACAGTTTTATCTTGTAGATATTTTTGTCCAAAGTAAAAACTGCATGTCATAGACTCAGCACAGCACAAACATGGATCTAGACAGGAAATAACAACATGAGTAAGTGCATCTTCAGGTCCAATCAGACTCATTCTGAGCCGTTCTTGAGACAATGCACACGGTGCGTAGAAGCATTTTTTATTTACATCATCAATACCCCGAAAACATCAGCATCAAAATAATAGCACCAAAATATGAAGTTCAAAGTAGCTGACAAAAAGCTGGATCTGATCCTTTCTCAACAGTAGAAAGGGGCTATTTGGATCAAATGTAACTTGTTCCACCTCTGGGAATTTACAGGACAAAACCTGTAACAGAGATAATAGATCCTGTTTTGTTCACAGGGAGCACCAAAAACAAGACGAGCTAAAAGGCTCTCACTAAACTTTAAATTCAATTTCAGGTGTTGACTGTTTCTGATAGGAAATCTATACTGTGGCAATGTTTAATAAGAACAACTTCTCATCCATCTTATAAATAGTTTGAGTGGTTGTAATATCAGTATATAATTATTGAACTACACAGGTGACTCAGTCCAGCATGTTTACTAAATCGTAAAGTTGTGCAAAAGTTTTGAGAGTAATTAAATAGTTTACTATGATACTCAAGCAATGCAAAGCTGGCTGTTTGCTCAACGACTGCACATGTGCCTATATTGATTATCAAGTAGCATTACAAAACATTAAATTTACTTGAAGTTGAGTTTTTCAAGATTGTGTTATGTACAATTTTCATTTTAAACTTACCTTAAAATGTTGCGTGCAGAGATAAACAAGAATACTAAATAAGATGTGCACAAAGGAAGGCAATATCTGCAATCGAAGTTACTGAAAAATAGAAGATTTTATTTTAAAAAGCTTTAATGAGAAAATAAGGGTATGAGGTTGTAGGCAGGGTGTCATCTTCCATGGAGCAGAGGTGTCATTTGCCAGGAAGCTGTGCATCTTGGCAGTGTTGGGTGACACTTAACTGTTACTTACTCATCAGTAGTGAATACAGTATTGCTGTGAGATAAGGATTATTAGATAAACTATGTAGAAACTTACGTTTAGATTGATGCCATCTATGTCTGGATTTTAGCAGTGTGCAATTCACAATCCCTGAATTCTGTACAGGAAATTGTATAGAATTTGGGGACCTCATCATCTACACTACATACAATCATAAAGGATACCAAAGAATCAGGGAAAATTTCTGTACAAAAAGGGACACGATTAAAAACCAAATGAAAGTTCATCAAAAACAAACATAACTCTGTAGTGGAACTCACTGCAGAGGCTCAGAATCACACCCTAAAACTGCTGTATGTGAACACAGTTTGTTGCTGCATCCACAACAGGTCACAACTGTACTGAGGAAACCATTTATAAACATGAATCAGAAATGCAGGCAACATGACTCCCATCAAAAAAAGACCTTAAAATCTAAATTATTTTATCTCAAACATCTTTTTCAAAAGTATGCTTTGAATTCTTTGAATTAAGTTAATCAGATAGATCTCATCTTTGTTTACATCGAGTGCCTCCCTCTGCAGACTGGCCCTCGGTGAACAAACAGCATCCTAGATGCAATGCCCCTCTTATCAAAACAAGTCCTTGCTCTTGGCACACAGTGAAAGGATACGGCTTTTAGTGGGGTGCCAGCCAATGCAGAGTCACCAGATTTCCATTAGGGTGGAATTTTACAGAATGCTAAATCACCAGACCGGACTGATGGGGTCAGTGTTTGTCAGACAGGGTGGGACAAGGCGGGTATCATGGTTTAGCTGTATCTGTTTTTCCACTGGCAATGGTGGGCAGTGGGTTTCAAATACTCATGACTCCCTCAGTAAAGGCCAAGGTTGATGGAACTGTCCACAGTCTTATGTAACCATACCGAGCTCAACCTGCTTCAAGTTTCAGGTGGGAATTCTCTTTCTGAGGGGGCACCAGGTAGAGTGATCAGGCAGCAGTAAAGCCCCCTGGCCACAGTTATGTAATGGTTTGTAAAAAAGGAATGTACAGGTTTAATGAGACAGCTGAGGGATGACTGATGAGTTCAGAGTCAGTCCAGACTTAAATCTGCTTCACTCAGACTCTTAAAGCTCTCGGCTCATAGATGAAACCTTCTCAAAATCTAGAGACTCCAAATTGTAGGCAATGTCTCTCCTTAATGTGACAGAGAACTTTTGCTTTACAGATGTTAAGATCACCAAAGTATTACCCATTTTCTAGGCTAGACATGGTTAGGTCTCCTGCTCTTTCGTTGAAGTTGCTAGTTAACTGTAGACCTCCAGAGATATAACATAACCTTTGTTCTGCGGACAAGCCATGTGCGCTTCATTGAATGTTAGGTTGCAGAGGCCCCTGTAAGGGCTCATGGACCCGACCTTTTTTTTCTCCTTGCACATTCTCTCTCTCCCAATTACTCCCTTAGCAACAGCAGATGAGGTTATATAACCTGTTTTTCTTTGTACTGAGCAGTCGAGGAAACTGTCCCCCTTTGATGGATCTACCCTTTGTGTAAGCTTGTCTGAGGCTCTGGGGGCCTCAGCGCGGCTTTGTCCTGTCTGTCATGAACAGCCTGCCCCCTGTGGAGATGTACAGTGCAAGTGCAAGGTCTAGTGTGTCAGCTTGTATAATATGTGCCTGTACATTTGTCTAGAAAATGACATGTTGGTGAAAAGCTTCAGAGCTAAAAAGACAGTTAATGTTCTAATGAACTGTGCCTTACAATCCACATGGTTTCAAATTAAAGTTCATGCGAAACGTCAAAATTTTTTGGTTAAGTTCAGAAATTGTTTTTTACTGCCACTGATTACACCCTTCAAATACTCCTTTAATCTATGCTCAAACATTTATAAAGTCCAGCTCTCTCAGACCCAAATCCTGCAGCAGATTCCTGCACCAGAAGCTCATTTTAAACTCTATTTTCCCCACTTCAAGACGTAGCCTGGGAATAGAAAGCCAAGATAAGTCTTTTGACTTGGTCAGAGAACAAGCACTGTCACATGCAGCAATTTTTAGATGAATAAATTCATTTAAATAAGAGGCAAGCAAATTCAGAATTGCTTTGTAAACAAGTCTATGGGTGAAAAGTGCAAATGCAGGGCAGCCAGCTGGAGCATGAAGGGAGCAATGCTGAGTTAGGGACTTCAAAGAACCGCAAAGCTCTGTGGCAAACAATAAACAGACTGAAGGAGATTGTGCATCACCAGAGTCACTCAGGGGCATAAAAGAAAAAGTGTATATTTTAAAAATAGAAGCCGCTATAGTTTCTTTCTAAACTGCTAAATATAAAACTTAAAAGATAAAAAATCTTTACTGACGATACAGACCCAATCACATCTTCTTAAGATAAAGTGATATATGTCAGGTTCGTGGCTTTGTCCACGAATTTGTAGGCATCATAAATTTTGTTTTATCAGTATTCAAAATAAGTTTTATTTAAAAAAAAAAAAAGTGTCTTGCACCCTCATTTTGGAAGTGACAGAGAGCTGCTTAATGTGTTAGAGCAGAGCAGTAAATAAAGGCATCATCTGCACAAAGAGAAAATTTGCGTCGGGGACATTATGACAAATACTGTTAGGGTTTGAAATCACAATGGTCCCAGAACAGAACCCTGAGGCATGCCATGTATAATTAAAAGTGATCCAAAGCTAATGCCTTCTGCCTACACACATTGTGATCTGTTTTATAAATTATGATTTAACTAATGGAAAGATTGTCCACAACAAGTCGATCAAAAGTGCTGCACAGTGTTCCCTATTGTCAAAGAACTTAACAGAGTAATGACAGCTGATTTAATACTCTCTCTCCTCTCAAATCCTTTGTGATAATTGGATAAAAATGATCATTATAATCATAATGATTACAAATATGCAAGTAAGTCAAAATTATAGTTTGAAATGTGAATAATTTACATTAAATTCTAGTGCAGGCCATGGCCAATAAGCATTGAAATGTGAAGGCCATGGCCCCTGACAAATGCAGCCGGTGACTGGATTTAAAGCTCCAGTGAGGAACTTTCAGTTTGTTTTGTGTTGGTACCCCCCTGTGGACATGGTCATCTTTCCTAAATTTGACTATGTTTAAGCAGTGCCTTCTGACAAAAATATCTCATCTGTTTGAGTTTTAACAGTCATAACTTTCATTTATTGTTGATATTTAATAAGAAAAATGTAAAAACAGCAGCTGCTCTGGTGACACATTTTTGCTTTTATATATCAGAAAAAAAGTCAATTTCAATTTATTAAAAAAAAACCTTCACAGGAGCTTTAACTTCTACACGTACGTTAATTTTCTCCTAGAATTAAACCTCCTTTTCAGAATATTACGTTGTTCTCATACTTGAGACTGTGCTTTGTCATTTCACGCCTCTCTAAGCAGTGAACAGATGTTATCTGTGGCCGTCAGATTGTCCGGTCTTGCTCTTTTGTCCAGTCTGACAAGTTCAAGGCTGCAGGCACTGTTCATTGACTCTTTATTGACCCTGACGGCTGCTGGGTTCATGCAGTATCAGTGATGTAGATCAACCAGGGTGATCTTTTACCACATGGCACAAGGCACATGTTAGATGTCTTTAAGTGCCAAAGTCCTGTGTGACACCAGGGTTTTCCACAGAATTAGCTGCTTGCTGCTTTTGTATCAAGAAGTTAAAGCGAATAAGAGGACTGTGCACCAACTGAATATTAAAGATAGCCCATGGAGTTTTCTGGAGCAAAAGTTATATTAAGGTCAAGTGAAGTCTTCTTAAACAAACTTCTGTCTGTGCGTCTTTGCCCACCTCTTTCTTCGGAGTGTGAATTGCAAATATCAAGAATCTTGCATGAATCACTTCCCTAATGCGGTATCTCTTCCTCTCAAGGCCGAGTGTTTGATAGGTAGTGTCACTTTTGAGTCTGTCTAAAACCTTCTTGCAGATGTAGCATCAGTTTTTAGTCCACATTCATCATCATTACAGTCCCAGCCATCCATCAGGTCTCTGCTGAAGTCTTTATCTGGGTGCTGTTCTATCTGCTTCCATTGTCTCTCTGGGCCATCAGTGAGATTACAAAACAACTTTTTCAAGGCTATCCTCACGAAGGTCTTTTGCTTTCAGTACAGTCTGTTTGCTGATTTATGGCCACAACAGTAGCATGTGCCAAACCCAAGGCCGGTCCTGCGGTATCTCGTGCCTCTCAAGGTTTATCACTTAGGCGTAAGCGTGAGACAGCCTGAACACCTTAGGTTTAATTTCTGAAGGCAGGTTCTCTCTCAAGGACTTTTAGGAGAGCAATATAACGATAATTACTTCCTGATAGTAATGATGGGTGTAGACAAGGCTTGTGTGTAGAGGTTTTAGAGTAAATGCCAAAATTTGTCACAGGATTTACAACTCAAATGTTGCTTAACAGGTTTGACTACATCATTCAAAGTGAGACAGCGCTCTCACTGATGCTGTAGAGTTAAAGTTAATTGATATTTCCTGGCATTTAGTAAGAAGATTGAGATTTTTTGAGTTTGAATTCCTGATATTCCAGACTAACTTGAATATTCATTTTTTCCTCCTTTTGCAGAGATGCTACAGTTTGTCAGCAACCAGGTGGGGGACTTCCCAGACTTGTTCGAGGACCAGATGGCCTCAGCCCAGAATCCCGGTGCTGCTGCCCAACGACCAACACCTCAAACCCCCCAGACACCAGCCCCTGCGGCCTACCAGACCTCCAACAGTAGTCTCACCCCCACCCAGACACTTTGTCCCCAGTCTGTCCCCCTCACCCCTCCTCTCACCCCCGTACAGACCCCTTCCCCCAGTGCTGCTCCCTCAGGGCAGCATCAGGTGACCCGCAGCCCGCCGCTCCTCCAGCCGAGGCCTCAGGTGGTGCAGCCCATCCAGCCTCAGCCAACGGCTCAGCCCACCATCCAGGTATTCACCGTCTGACAAACCGTGCAAATTTTATGTAATGGTAAAAAAATAAACACTGAGAGCAACAGATTAGTAGCATCGCTGGGTATGAAAGGGTAATTCACAGAGGCAGAGTCTCTCAGAAGTAAAGATGGGAACAGATTCATCCCTCTATGAGTGACAGAATGAGAAACATGTTAAGTTAGTCCATGAAAATGTCCCTGAGAGTAAAATTGTAAAGAAAACAAGGATTTTATCGTCTGCAGGACATGACATTGTTAAAAGATTCAGAGAAATGTAAAGAAATTATTTTAAAAAGACTCAAGTCCCCTAATAAAAAGACAATACTTTATGGTTATGATCACCACATTAAAACAGAAGTGACTCTGTGGTGGAACTCACTGCATGGGCTCAAAATGATTTCATCCCCGTAAATATCACTTCAACCACAAATCCTGATTAAAACAATGGAAAGAGGAAACCATATAGAAACACAACCCAAGAATGATGATGAGTGTCCTGCGGTCTGACAAATCAGAATTTGACCCTTTTTTTGGAAATCAAGGACACTGTGTCGTCCACTTTCAAGAGGAGAGGGACCAACCTGAGGACAGTACAACAGCCAGCATCTGTGATGGTTCAAAGATGCACAAGCGTCCCTGGTTTGGTTAGTTTACCCACCTGGGAAGACAACATTGATGCTGCAATAATGTATTAATGTATTTTTGAGGGAAGACCTTTCGTATTTCAGAGAGACAGTGCTATTCTGTTGGCTAGTTTTTCTATAAAATAAGAGAAGATGCAACTCCTGTATGCTGAATATTCATTTTTTTTTTTGTTTGTTTTGTTGAAGCTTGTAAAGTTTTGATCTGTTCCTGCATATACTGTAACTGGGTGTGCATTAGCTGTATAACTGCAGCAGTGATGAACTGCTGACGGGATGTAGTTTTTTTAGTCCCTGGCTGCTTTTAAGGGTCCTGCTTCTCCAGCTGCAATTTTATTGTCTGTTGTGGAGAGTGTGGATTCATTTTCTGCTCTTGTCCTACCCATTTAAAAAAAAAAAAAAAAAAGCTTCTGCTGACAGGAGAAACATTCCAGGGCACCAACAGACTGTAAAATATATTATCCAGCACAGCGTCCCTGCAAACAGCAATGCACATCTCAGCAAAACTGAAGCCAGCATGAACAATAAAGTTGAATAAAAAAGCCTTTTGTTGTTCGAAAACTCACTAAAACTTCCTCATGTTCAATCAAACTTATGCCTAAGAGAAACTAGTTTAAGTGTTTCTTCTTTTACTTCACTGTAGATGCACACCCAAGGGATTCCTATGCAGACCCAAAGCTTTCCAGGTCACACACTGGTCCAGACCCACAGCCAGACGCCCCTGCCCATCCAGACTCAGGCGGCCCAGACTGTGATGATCACTTCCAGTGGTGGACGTCTGATCCAGAACCCTGTTATCTGCCACCAGAGCCCAGCTCCTAGTTTCCAAGGTATCAAATCATCAAGTACAGGGCACAGATTAGATTTAATAAATTCATTCTCTCAGTGGTGGCAAGTCAAATGTTGTGGTTTGAATTTGACTGACAAATAACCCACGTCCTCTCTCTTGTTTCCAGTCATCCAACCACAGATGCAGAGCATCATGACATCGCAGCAGCTCCAACCAGTGACCATTCAGCACCAGCGTGTTCTGACCCCCAGCGGTCAGACCATCCAGACCCTTTCCACAGCGCCAACAGTCCACACGGTGCAACAGCAGATGCAGCAAGTGCCTGTAAGTAACACAGCTGTTGTGAGACAGACCTTGTAAAAATAAAAAGACTCCAATTATTGCACATTAGGCGCTGTGTCGACTGACACCTTTTTTTTGGTCTGGCAGCGCCTACTTTCTGTAGTTATCAGAATCCTCAGTGTAAAATCGCCCCTGAGGCCAGTTGTTCTTTGTCCACGACACAGTATTAACAATCATATTAAAGATTTTTTATTCTCTAAAATTTAGAACTTTTTTAAAGACTTATTCGGATACTTACAATAATGTGGTGCTGAGGTGCCAAAACATTAGAGGCAATTTAACAAGGTGATCCCTTCCTCATTTTGGTACAGGCAGCTGGCTGCTCACTGTAAACTAAAACTACAACTTCAAAACTTCATTCTCATAGCCCGATTACCTTTTTTCTGGTAATGTTATTACTTTACTGCAACTTTAAATTCATAATAATAAGACTTTATTTTTGTAAAAATATTTGTTTCTTTTTCATTTTCAAATCTTGAAAAAAAAGATACATTTAAAACAACAAAACTTTTGCATAACAGCTACACTCATCAATGTCAGCGTTTGATTACCGGCTAATCAAAGTTAAGAGGAGAAGGGATATTTGATAAAGTTGGTCAACAATAATGATTGAGGTCTGCATGGGAGAAACTACACTTGTTTTTTAAGCTACAATTTCCCGGTCTAGAGCTGCTCATAATGCTATGGACTGATTTCTCTCTGTTGTTTTCGGGTTGATTTTCTTTTTGTAAAATATCATAGACTGATAGTTGATTTAAAGCACACAGAGCATTTTAAATCAGAACTACTGGTCACTTCAGGACAAAAAGATTTACGAACCTAACAACAGTAAACATTGGTGATACGACCCCTTGACGGTCTTTTGGTCTCCTTGTGTTTGGTGTGTACCACTTTTTTAAGTTCTTTGTAACAAAAATAAGAGTTTTTCTTTGACATTTGAATGTTTCTACCATCAGGTTCTGGTCCAGCAGCCTCAGATCCTGAAGACAGATTCACTTGTTCTCACTACACTCAAACCAGATGGCACTCAGGTGCTGTCTACTATGCAGAGTCCAACAGGGATCACCACCCTGACAACACCTATACAGAACACAGCGCTGCAAGTCCCGGTAAACAGCTAGCACATCAACTTTTGGTTGTTTGTCCGCCTTTTTTTCAGTCCAGCAGAGAACAATGTTTGTACTTTGTAACCTCAGACACTGATGAGCAGCAACATCCTGACCACGGTCCCTGTCATGATGGGAGGAGGAGGAGACAAGCTGCCCATCAAGCAGCTGCAGCCAGGCTCCTCTCACTGCACAAACGGAGCCAGAGCGAACATGGAGCAAACTCAGATGATGGGAGGAATGGTGGGTCCCGGAGGCGTGGTGAAGGAGGGTGAGAGGAGGACAACCCACAACATCATCGAGAAGCGGTATCGGTCGTCCATCAACGACAAGATCATAGAGCTCAGAGACCTGGTCATGGGGAATGATGCAAAGGTCTGTGATTTTTCTGAGGAGAGTTTAATGATAAAGAAGTTTGTCGTCTTTGAAATAAGATCCACAGAAGTTAGACCCCTTTAGTCAAGTGTTATTATTTTCTCTTTATAGATGCATAAGTCAGGAGTCCTGCGAAAGGCCATCGACTACATCAAGTACCTGCAACAGGTCAACCACAAACTACGGCAGGAGAACTTGGCTCTAAAAATGGCAAACCAGAAGAACAGTGAGTCTTTCTCTTCACTGACGTTCACTGACAGATGCAGATCTTTGTAAGTATGAGGAACTAACACTTCTCTCTCTTTTGTTAATCTCAGAGCCGGTGGTACTGTCTGAAGATGTGGAGCTCAAACAAGAAATAGTGATGATGTCGCCTCCAGCCTCAGACTCTGGTTCTGGTTCACCTCCACAGTTCTCTCCTTACTGTGTCGACTCAGAGCCAGGCAGCCCCTTACTGGATCACGAGCAGGTAACACACAAACACAGGGCCATGTACTCAGTCTGCAAAGGGATATAAAACACAGGCTTAATCTTGAAAAACCACATTTATCTGTCTCTATTGTTTAGTTTTTGTGATCCACACTATATAAAATCCAAGCTACACTTACAGCCAACTTTTGAGACGTGGTTTACCAGCAGTTCAGCTTTGAGTGTTGAATAATAAAGGCTATAATTAGACTTTTTGAAGTCTTTATCTTACATTTAGACTGGTCAGCTCATTTGGATTTAATTCAAACTTAAGGGACTTCACTTTGTATTATTCTTATTCATGACCTGAATTGTGTGACTATTTTTACAATTCCCTAAGGCTTAGCAGGTGAAACTCGTGGTGTAGGTTAAATAAAAGACACGTCTGTGAAGTAGATATAACTTTGAATCATCATGAACTCACTGTCTGTCTGTCTGTCTGTCTGTCTGTCTGCCCTGTTTCTCAGTTGAAGAGTGAGCCAGATTCCCCCTCCTCCTCTGTCGGAGTCATGGATGGTTCCCGACTGCTTCTCTGTGCCCTGACCTTCTTCTGCCTGTCCTTAAACCCGCTGCCATCTTTATTGGGCTCTGAGGACTCAGGGAGCCCCAGCCTGTCTACTGGACATGGAGCATCTAGATCTCTTTTCTCTCTCCCAAATCACTCGCAGGACTTTGGTGAGTAGTGCCAAACCTTCCCTGTTCACAAGGGCTCATTGTGTTTGATGTTGCAGGACACAATACTGTTTCATGATCTGACCCTACGTTTTTAATATCCCCTCCTCCTCCAGCGTCCTGGCTGCGGTGCCTGCTGCCGTGGGTGATGGTGTGGGTGCTGAGCGGGGTGGGAGCAGTGTGGGGCTGTGTCAGGGTGCTGTACCTGTGGGAGCCTGTTACACCTCTGCACTCGCCCAAATCGGTGTCATTCTGGAGGCATCGCAAACAAGCTGACCTGCATCTCAACAGAGTGAGTCCAAATCAGACCACGGAGGAGGAGGAGCCTTTGAGAAACAGAGAGGAAAACAGACTGCTATCTGTGTGCTGATTTCACAGCATGGGATTCATGTGAAGGACATCTAAAGGGGACAAAGAGTGAAGCAGCATTTACAAAAGCTACATATATCATGATAAAACTACCAGGGTTTTCATGCACCAAACCTGCTTGCCCTAAATTTCACTTTTTTGATGTCTCAGTTCAACCTTTAGGTTCTCTGCCAGGTTTTATTTTTAGCGTTTGTTCAAATCTTAGTCACCACTTTCACCGCACGTCCCTTCATCTTTCTTTCCAGTCTTCAGTCGCGTCTTTTTCACTCAATATTCTCCTGTCTTCTCTGCCCCACAGGGAGATTACACGGCAGCTGCAGCCAGTTTGGAGACCTGCCTGTCCGTCTTGACCAGAGCTCTCCCTTCAACCAATATCGACCTGGTCTGCTCACTGTCCTGGAATCTGATTCGCTATTTCTTGCATCGTCCAACGCCCCTGGGCTGGCTGGTTCACCAGGTTCGGGGGAAACATGAGGGGGAGGAGGCGAGGACAAGTGCGAGGGACGCTGCGCTGGTTTATCACCGGCTGAGTCAGCTGCAGCTCACAGGTGAGTGTAAATAACATGATGAGAGGAAAACTGCACCAGAGCTAAATGAGTAACCACAAAAGTATTCCTCTAACTCTGCACCCTGAATTCACTTTGACTCTGCTGCCAAGATTCACACACACACTGATAGAGTTTCTGTTCCTCCTGCAGGAAAGCTGCCTCAGCGTAGCAGCCTGTGGGCTCTCTCTCTGTCCCTGAGTGCCGTCAACCTCAGTGAAAGCGCTCAAGGCAAGTTGGCCCCCGCTCAGCTCACACAGATCTACGTCACTGCAGCAACAGCACTGCGCACCATCCTGGGCCACCACCTCACCTGTCTACCTGTGAGTCACATACTCTGTCGTCTGTCTGACACTGTTCTGTGTAAAGATGTCTGTCATTTGCAGCTTTTCTGATTCTACATCCCAGGGTTATCTGTTGAGCTGTGCAGAGAGTGTGGCCAACCAATCAGAGACCAAGCAGATCCCTGACTGCCTGCGCTGGCTCTTCACCCCTTTGGGCAGGCAGTTCTTCCTGAGTTGTGATTGGTCGGTGAAGTCAGAGAGCTCAGTCGGACTCTACACCTCTGAGAGAGACCCAGGTAGGTCAAATATCTATCAGGATCCTCCACCTCAGAAACTTAAAAGCTCTTGACCACAAAAACATCCAAGATATAGAATATAATTACAAGTCTTTGATTAATTTTGAGCTTTATTTACCTAGAGGAACATTGAAATTTTAGTTTTTTAATGGATGATCACACTTGGTTCAACATTATCTATGCTGCTCATATTAATTTTAGATTAGGTGTGGAGCTCAAGCAATGTCCAAGCATGACCCAGTTTAAAAAGCGGGACAAATACATGGTATTACCAGGTACAGTGATGAAGAAGGGCTTTAACCATTGGGTGTTTTCATAAATGGTTTATGTACTTATTTACTCTATTTACGTTCTATTTTTTGTAAATATAATGTAAATATGCTGGAGACTGATTGTTAATTGAGTAGCGGAGAAGGGGTAGGTTAAAAAAAAGCACAGTGCTTCATCCCACTGCTTTTCAGACATGTTGGGCTCACATTATCATTATTAGTATTTTTTATTTTTATTGTTTTGCTTTGGTCATTGTTGTTTTAAATTTTCTCATTGGTTTTGTTTGTTTTCAGTTTACTTTCTGGTGTTGCACGCACGTGTTCGAAAAAAATAAATACATATAAAAAATAATAAATAAACTGTGCTCAAATTATTAACTTAATTTGCTTTTTATGAGTATTTTTTAGCTTATTATCTATTTATCATGATTTACCCATTTATGAATACTGGACCTGGGTAAATATTTTTGTCATTTATGGTTTTGACATATTGAACAACAGTAAAGTGAGCCTCGAGCAACATTCTGGTTTATTTGCTGAAAGTAGGGCTGTCAGAAAACCACACAACTTCTGCAGGATTGTTAAAGCCAAAAATATTCACAACAAGCAATATTCGGATCGGTTTTGAAAACTTGGGTACAAACCAACACGATCAATCAAATTGAAGAAAAACAAGACAAGGATGGAGCGACGTGTAACGCTGTAAACTTTACTAGTAAACTCACTGAACTGTTCTCATCCATTTACAGTGATGTTAAGGGTTTTCTTTAATCTTCATCACCAGAAACTTCTTTAGAGAAGAGACTACCATAAACAACAGTCGTTAGTTAGTGATGACGGTTTTATTTTGACCTTTTTTTTACTGTCCTGTGTTCAGGCTGTTCTGACTTCTGTAAAAACATGCTTTTATTTTGAAATGACAAACATGCTACTTTTGGGAGTTTCCAGGATGACAAACAGAATAAAAATTGGTTTTGAAGTTTGTGTATAACTTGTGTGCTCAAACGCTGAAGAATACAATCACGGTTAAAGTGAAAACACGTTCCTATCTTGACCTTTTCCAGCTGATCCAATCGCCCAGCTGCATCGCTGTTTCTGCAGGAAGCTTCTAGAAAGAGCGGTTCACACTCTCATCCAGCCACAGAGTGACTCTGAAGCAGGCAAACACAAGAACGACTCTGGGTAAGACAAGAGACGACTGATGTTTTAACACTTTGATGTGAATTTATTCATTTACAGTGCATCTGTAAACCTGGTCCCCTTTTCTCTGTCCGTGTCTCTGTCAGGGAGTTTTCCAGCGCTCTGGAGTTCCTCCAGTTATTGAACAGCTGCACAGAGGACACTCCTACCCCTCCTCCTCTCTTCTCAACTCCTCCCAATCACACCACCACTCCAGGTATGAATGATGAGATAACCCCTGACCAATCACGAGACGGCATGAATCACATCTCTGAGGGAAAAGACTGAATCATGATCATCTTTTAATTTAGCGAAGATTAACTAGATCAACTGTCAACATGAATATTTCTTGTTCTTCTGAATTTTCACACACAGCTGGTCTTTGTGTTGATGATTCTCATAAATAAGGTGTTTGCAATCATTCATTATAAATGGCTCAAAAGAGACAAGAACACATTTATCTGTCGAGGAAATAAGAAGTTATGTCTTTCCAGAACATCATGTTGCACCCAAAGCTTTTACAATCTTCTCACACACACACACACACACACACACAGCTTCTGTTATGGCAGGAGACAAAAAGCAGCTGGGTCTTAGCAGTTCAATCATCTCTAGAAAATTGATCAAACCTCTCACAGTGAAGTGTTGCTCCTAATGACAGAATCCCAAGAAACTGCTCAGAATCGTGACATTTTCTAAGAATTTCCTCCTTAACACTTGAGACCACATCGTCCTCAAGATGAAAGTCTTTCATAAAACATCTGAGCTCTTAAGAGAGCCCTTAAGGTGAAATCTGTCAGGAGCACTGTGGAGGACTTCAAAAGGCCACGAGTTTGTCAAGCAGAGGAAGAGGTGAACTCAAAAACCACAGTGAATGAATGACAGTGAGTTAATTAAATACCATAGACGAGATGGTGCAGTGATCATCAGCCAGCACGACAACACACTATAACCAGAAATGACAGCGAGTGCAACAGTAAGATTTATTGCAACAGGAAAGATGCAAAAGTTTAACTTGCAATTTGTTCTTGTGGCAGGTGAGCCTTGAGTTTAAAAACTTAGATATAGAGGTCACCTTTTTTCTTTTTTTATAAACTTATGTACAAATAAATATAAGAAGCTTCCATATAAGGTGAAGGGCAAAATAAGAGCAAGACCTGTCATTATAGTTTCATCCATTTATTCTGATTGGTCGGACAAAGTCTGGCCTTGTAGGTTTAAAATATTGACAGATCTGTGCCCATTATCTTGTCTTTGTTGTCTTCTTACTCTTTTTGTGGTTCAACCAATCACAGCTTTTAAAAGAATGTGTTACATGCCTTCTCACTAAGATAAGTTTATTTGACAGGGACCACACAGAATCGGACTGCTGAGTGAGATTTAACTATAAAACTAATGCAGGAAATTGTAAAAACATACAATACAATAAAAAAACATCATTCATGCAACTGAAAACAAAGTAAACTGAAATATCCTGTTTCAGTCACTGATCACATGATTGGCTTTCCTTGAATCATGATGTGAGTTTTGGTTCAGAGTATGATATTGATCAGAAGTGGTCTGCAGCTTTAACTAAACTTACAGACTGTCTGACAGCAGTTTACCTCAACGGTTACCTCTTGCAGTTGCTATGGTTACCCCAATATTGTTCCTGCATAGAGATACACTTGACTTTTTCATTATTTCACAGTGATGGCATCTCCATCAAGAGTCTTCACAGATTGTTTGTAGATAGTCCCTAATGGTTCCTAATGTGTGGTCCCCTCTGCCCGGGTCCAGCTTCCTGTTCCTAAATCCCTCCTAGTCCTGGAAGTCTCACTCAAAGTTGTAAACAGTATTAGGAGCTCTCTGTTTTTGTTTGCTTTTCTTCCCACATGATTAACTTTTTGTTTTTTTATATCCAGTTGGAGATCCAGTGAGTCGTTGGTGGGCTTTGGTCTTGAAGGCCGTCGTTCATTGGCTGCAGGGCAATGATGTCACGGTGAAGTCACTGTTGGCAGAAGCAGAGCGGATGCCAAGAGCTTTACACACTATTGAGTAAGTGAAGAGCAGCTTGTTTCTTTCATCTCAAACATCCCAGAATACTCCCCCCACTCCAGGATCGAGAAACTAAAACAAACAGTAGATGGTAGTTCCTGGTAACAAAGATAGTTAATATTTCATTCCTGTGTAATAAAAGTAGCTGTGCCCGTCCTAACTGTGTCTCCCCCTCCTCTTTGTTTCAGCCATCCTCTGCCCAAAGCGGTGCTGCTGCTCTGTAAGGCCGTTCAAATGAGTCTCTCCCCTCTGAAGGGTGAGGGGGCTGTAGCCTGCCTCTCTGCCTGCGACAGAGCCAGCAGCTACCTGCGCTCCAGCATATCAGTGCCCCTCGCCCCCTCTGGGAACATGCTGAACAAGGTAGATTACCCAGAATCCATCACAAAACTACAGACACTTGCTCAAAATCCTCTTGCAGATCTGCTCTGTGGTTAATATGCTTTGAAAATGATCATGTTTTGCACTTTCAAAATCAAAATCAGCCTTGATCCAATGTGTATTCAGGGAGTTATTGTAGCAACACACACACTGTGAATGCTCAGTCGGGGTCAGGGCGAGCTGTGGCGGGGCTGCGTGTTTGTGTGTGTGTGTGTGAGCGCTGTGTAGGTGGCAGGAGGTGGCTGTGGTGCATTGTAGTTGCATTGCATGATCCTGAAGCCGACTGCAATGTGTCTGCAGTGCATTACAGACGCCTTCCCGATCTGCACGCACCTGCTACACACTCAAGCCTGCTGACGCTAGAAAGCACTGATTTTCCTGTTATTGATTTTAATTTTCCACGTGCATGTTGGCTGATTTGGATGTGATGATTGGTTTTTGTTAGCTTGTAGAGGTGTTAATAGCATTTTTTAATCACAACTTAACTCTCAAATTGATCTTCAAAAATAAAAATCAGCCACAGCTTTTGATAAAAAGCAGTTTTTGTCTCTTTCACACAAAACTAAACTTCAGTTTTTTCTTCTTTCCCTTCAAAGGGGGTGGAGCTCCTGCTCTGTGACCTTCTCCTGACCTTGAGGACCAGTTTGTGGCAGCGTGGAAGCAGCAGTAATGGAGAACCAGGCCCAGCTCCTGGATCTCAGTTGGCTGGTTTTCAGAGAGACCTCAGCGCCCTACGAAAGCTCACGCAGTGTTACAGACAGGCGCAACACAAGGTACATGTATACTTATGCCATATCATCAGGGGTGAGATCTGTTTTTGGTCTATTTTACACATGAGAGAGAAACAACATTAAGGCAGAAAAAGCCGGTTGTTTCTTTAAGTGTCAGAAACACTTAGAAGAGAAGCGCAAGTGCAAAATGTTTTCTGCAGGAGCAGCAGCACCAGCAAATTGTTTCTGCATATTTGGCACGTTTCATTTTATGACATCCAACAAGCAGAAGCACAACAAGACCCTGCTGGTTTGAAACGACTGCCAGGGATTTATCAGTCTGACCTTGACCACATTTCTTGGCTGGCTTCATGGCAAGATTAATCAGGAGTAGGTTTGTGTTTTGATTTTTATGTTGCTTATTAAGCCCTTAAAAATTTCAAAAATATTGAGCGGTGCCAAAAACAAGCTGTTGGAGCCCAAACCTGTTTTATTTGATGACTTCCAGTCAGGGGTGTGTGATCGGATCATTTAAAATCCTGAAGGATTAGAACATGCCCACAATGTAGTGTTGCCACATCCTCGTCTCATCTGTTGGGGTGGTATGCAGTGATTCATGTTGTCATTGTTTATAATGCACAGACCAAGCCCTCTGATGCAGACATGGAGTAAAAAGACGACACTGCAGCGCTAAGTTGCACACACTGATTAGCAGCACAGACACTCCAGAAGTGGATAGACCGCTGAGAAGCACTCGTCCCAAATTTAAAAGTTTTCTCAATAAGTACAGTAATCCAAAATGTGGATTTACGATGAAGTACAGCACAGTTTGCTTTAAAATAAGTTTTTTTTAAATCATAATTAAGGAGAAAAGTTTTATAAAGTGGTGCTGCTGGACACATCCAAGATGCAAAGAGTTCCAGAATGATATGAGCAACTAGGTGTTTGATAGCAATATGCGACTTGGGCGGATTTTCAGATGTGCAAAGCTGCTTCTTATGTGTCGGCACCGTAATACAACACTTCATTTCAGAAGTTTTCCTGTTTGATTTTAGTGTTTTTTTACAACCAGTGTGGAGACTAATAGTGGGCTAACAGACTCCCTCGCTCTGTGACAGATTACACACACCCAGCACACTGCAAAGATGGCAAACACAAAGACAGTCGAACTTCAAGCCAAATTGGTTTTAAACTTGATAAAGATTTTGTTAAATTCTGCAATTTATCGTAAATCTCTGTTTATTCAAACTTGCACTACCTTCCTCCTTTTTGAATATCTGATTAGCTTATCATACAAATGATGCTGAGAAAGTGACATTCTTGTCCTGGACATTTATTATTTAAACTATTAGCTAGATAATAAGAAACATAGTCATTCTGACACTAAATCATGTTATTCTGCCTTATCCCCCTTCCATACTTTCCTCTAAAGCATGAAATAATAGCAGGACAGACAATAATTTGGCTAACAGTCCTCCATATCGGCATGTTCGTGATCATACTGCGTTTACTGCATCAGATTGAAAATCCAGCTCTCTGGAGCTCTTTGGTTTAGCTCAGCTGGTTAAGCAGGTTCCTACATGTTGAGAAGCTACAGTCCTCGTTGCACTGGAAGAATCAGTCCACTGTCCTGACAGGATTTGGTGTGTGTGTCTCCCTCCTCTTTGTGCCAACATTTCCTGTCTTTTAATAGCTGTCTCATTCGATAATAAAACTCAAAAACATTAAAAAGTGAACTTCTTTCCCACTCACAGCAGCTGCAGAGATTCCACTGCAGTCTCAAGTGTCATCAGTCAGACTTGTCAGGTTTACCAGGGTAGATGTTTCTTTTGCCAGGGGGTCTTTACAACCACGGCTTCCCCAGCAGTCTGTGATCATTTGTTATGTTTTGACTTGTGCAAAACTCTGAAAACCGCATGAGCTGCATGATTGAGCGCAGCTCCGTTTTAAGACCGCAGTCTGAGAAGTACTCAGACATGATCCTCTGCATAAAAGAGTGCACTGAGGGCTCAGTATTTCATGCAGATATCCTCAGGAGTAAACAGTTTGTTGGGTGAAATGATGTGCTTCAGCATCAAGCAGGGAACCACCTGGGAATACTTGACGAGATAAATCACTGTGGGTGTTTGTGTGTGTGTGTTTGTGTGCTCCTGCAGGTGTTTCTCCACGAGACCACAGTGAGGCTGATGGCTGGAGCCAGTCCCACAAGGACTCACCAGCTGCTGGAGCACAACCTCCGACGCAGGACACACAGCTCCTACACAGCCGGTAAGAACCCCATTATTACAGAGTGATTCATGTCTACACCTCTGAGGTATCATTGTCACAGAAGCATAACCGCACACAGGACATTAGTTCAGGAAGTGTATGCCTTTGGCAAGAAATGATCTGTCTTTAACTTCTGTTTCCTGGAGGACAGAAAGAGGTACGACATAAATACAACAACAACTACCAAGAAGTCAGGACACTGCACAGTGTTGATAAAAACTGAATTCTGTTGTTTGCAAATCATTTAAGCAGATACATTAATACACCTTAATGCAAAATATATGCACATTTTAAATTTGATAAAAACAACATGTCTCAAAAAAGATGGGACTAAAGTAGTGGTTGCCAAGTTTTATTTTTTTGGCACGCCCCTAATCCAGAGGAAATGTTGCTGCTGCAACAGTCACCGGTCGAACTTCTGACCTTGACCCTTTACTGCATGTCCTCCCCACTCTCAGCTCCCCACATTTCCTCTCTCACTTCTCTGCTTTCTTTTTATTAAGGCAAAAATGCCTAAAAATATAACTGAAGAAGAAGAAATTCAGACAGGGCCCAAAAAAAAGATAAAGTTGTGTAAGGCTAAAAATAAAATAAACCCCACTCCAAACAGATCCTCATCAGGAGCTGCCTCTAAAAACAGATGTGACTCTGTAGTGGGAGTTACTGCATCGGCTGAATATCTCTTCCAAAGACCACAGTTCATCTCTGCATCCATAAATTCAGATTAAAACTGTGCCATGCAATAAAGAAACCATAAATATAAATGTGATTAAGAAACACCAGTAACTTCTCCGGGCCAAATTTGACATTCTTTTTGGAGATCATGGACTCTACACCCTCCACTCTGAAAAGGAGAAGACACACCTGGCACACAGCTCAAAAGTCAGTGAACCTGATGATATAGGGATCATTATGACCACCATCATTATATGACCACCTCATATATTTCAATGAGACGACGCCAAACCACATTCTGCTCATATTACAACATCATGGCTCCATAGTAGAAGAGTCCAGGTGCTAAACTGGACTGCCACTGGTCCTGATTGTCACTTATTTAAAATATTTGACTAATAATGACACAAAAATATCAATACACAAATGCTGTAGAGCTGCTAAAATCCTACATTAGACATTTACTTTCAAGACTCCATAAACTGATCCCCCTGATTCCCAGATGTTTGCAGTGTTGTTAAAGGAGGTCTTTTGGCATCAAATAATCACATAACAGATGATGCATGAATACTTTATTTAAAACCAGAACCACAAACTTTAGAAACCTTTTGCGTTAAAATGATAGCTAAAATATCACCTTTTAAACATCGTATAATCTGTGCTGCTTTCTTTGTCTGTCAGAAGGCGAGTGTGTCCTGGGTGAGAGGGAGAGGGCCCATGCCATCCTGCTGGCCTGTCGTCACCTGCCCATGCCTCTGCTGACCCCACCAGGACACCGTGCCCGCCTGCTGGCCGAGGCCAAACGCACCCTGGAGCGTGTGGGAGACAGGCGCTCCCTGCAGGACTGTCAGCAGATCCTGCTGCGCCTCAGCGGTGGGACAACCATCGCTGCCTCCTGAACTTACGCACACACCCTCAACGAGGTTTCTGACATCATAAGGAAACAATGAACTCCTACTACCATCCGTAAATAGATCATCCACAAAAACACACAGCCACCTAACTGTGTAATTATCCTTTCTTCACAGCTTCAATTTGATCAAGAGCCTTGAATCATATGACTCTTCTTCATATTTCCACATGCTTTAGCCCATGGGTTACCTGGTAACTCCACACCCCAGCAGAAACTCGGGACAGCTGCATGTCTGCTCACACTGATAGCTGCAGCTCAAACATGCCACCTTCTGGCCATCGATGGAACCATTCTGGCTTATTTTTAAACAGTTACACGCAACAAGGAAAATCAGGGAAAAGGGACCATTATATTTTAGCTGTTTAATTTAATGTGATGCAGCAGTGCATTGATTTACTGTAGGAAGCAGATCTACAATCATTACCGACACACAGCAATGTGAGCGCCTCACTTAAAGGCTTCAGGATAGACAGCTGAGGTCTGTGAGGCACAGCTGTGCTGTAGGATGCAGACAGACAGACGAGCTTGCTTTTAACAAACAGTGCTGAGTAGTGTCTCTTTTATCTACCTCATCCACAGGACAATGCTGAAATTGTGCCGTGGAGAAAACATATATTACTAAAGCCACCCCATCAGTCATCGGGAAATTGAATCGAGAGACAATTTGAAGTGACGCTTCAATCCAGAGCAACATCAATACAGTGAGATGGCGCTGAGTTGCTTTATTTAGACTTCAGGATGCTGCAGGAAGGATATTTTTAAGTCGCTTTTGCAGAGGAGTGACAGACAGCTACTGCTAACACACACTCAGAAGCCTCTTTTATGCATGCACGCTGAAGGTTTCTGAAAACTTCCTTGAATTTCAGGCTTGGCTGCAAACAGGTGAACGTAAACAGCTTAATTTCCACCCTCAAGTATAACTAGACTTTTGCCTGCCAGCACCGGTGGTAAATTTCTGCAAGAAGTGGTGTCAGAACACAGCGGGTAAAAGTCAGGAAAATACACCACGGGGTGGGGTGACAACGCTTGAACACGCACAGCCAGCACACGTCACAGCTGACTCATATTCTTCTGCTCCCCGGTATGCTGACTCAACCTAACTTTGAGTCAGTGTAACTGGGGCAAAGCCTGTACATGCCACAATATCCTAAACCCGGGATGCTCAAGTTCATGTAAACACACTCCGAGTTTACATTGTTTTACTGCTATATCAGTGCTGCAAGTAAAACTTTTGATTGACTGTATCAACAAACAAGTGGTAATGCAGAGCAGAAATGACGAGCAGTAAGCAGCTTCATTACTACTTGCATGATGTTCATGTCACTTGAGGTGAATTTTACATGCTGCGTTAACCCCCCTCTCTCTCAGACCTCTTGCAGGATTTTTACCAGGGGGCTGGAAGGACTAAGTCTGGGTCAGAGCACAGGTTTGGCTCAATTAGTAGAACAGGCTCCCCGTGTACAGAGGCTGCCGTTTGTGTTCACACTTGGTGCTCAAGGTGAAAATTTCCAGTTTTCAGGAGTTTTGTGCATGTGTGAAAAGGCTGAAAGAGGAAAATGTTAGAATTTTAGAAATCTTTAAAAAAAAAAATTTAAATGAGAAACAGCTGATCATGAACGTAAGAGTTTTTAATACCTACCTACCAACACATGCACACGTTGTTAAATTTTAGAGTAATTACATTCAAGCTTGTAATGTAATTGTAAATAGTTTGTAAATAGGCAGATTAGCAGAGGTAGAAAGGAAGTCTTTTTCCCTCTGCATGAGAGGAGAATGAAGCAAAACATGTCAAAGTTAGTGCTTAATATTAATGTTCAATCTCTGAGCAAAAGAGCAAGTCAGAGTTCTCAATTTTAAAGTGAATTTACCACCAAAATGATGTGTATTTTTAACCCTCGAACACCTATAGTGGCTTTGCAATGTGTTTTTAAAAAGTTACAAATCAAAATATCAGTTGTGGTCTGATCAATTTGATAATTTCACTGCAGGTAAAAATCGAAGAATTCATAAAAATTGTCCGTTGTTGTTTGCCATTATCAAGCAAACAGGCAGTGAGTGTCTGAATGCTTTCAGCAGCATATCCCACTGAGGTTTATCTTAGTAAAGACAGAATAACATGAGGAGTGGTATGTTTTCTAGGAAGAAAGTCCCACTTATGATGTAAAGCACGCAAACATGGCCTTCATATATAAAAAAAGAAGAAAAAAAACTGTCACAGTCTCAGAGTGATTGCGAGATCTTTGTCTGATTGGCTTTTTATTTCTAATTGTTTACAACAATTCAAGCATTCCTGTTTTACTGTGCGCTGGTTTTCTTATTTAATGGTTGTGTAATGTAATATTAATATAAATGCATTTTTGTGTTTTGGAGGTGGGGGCCAGTTTTGCAGAATTGACGTTGTTTATGCTTTATATGTATAAGAAGCAGCCTTGGGTAAGAGGCTGGCAGATGATAAATCTTAATAGAAGGATGTTGTTTTTTTTACTGAAGAAGTAAAGTCTGCTTTTAAACAATTGGCTTAATGTTTTAGAATCACTTTTTTTTGGGTACACGCTGTTATTTCTTTGCTTTGTTAAAAACATAGAAGCAGACACACAAGAATGCTGTTAGAAATAACAAGAACTCTGTCCTCCAGGTCAACCTAAGGTGTAAATTAGCAACCGAAGAAATCAGTTCAGATTATTTTTTGGCTGATTAAGTGTGTAGAGTAGAAAACGTTGCTCTACCGTTGGTCAGCAGGCTGGAGTTTTTGCTCCTAGTAGAATAATGTTACATTACAGACTGTTCTTATGTCTTATCCCATTCTGTGTTTTTTTTTGTCTGCATTTCTGTGTACGTTTTGATGTTTGTTTTTATAATAAAACAACATATGACAGTGGTTTGAGTCTGTAATCTTTCAGCAGTCTCTCATCTTTCTTTTGAGAAATATTCCTCAGATTTCCTATAAGGTTCAGGTCAGGCCACTTGGCAGGCCAATGAAGCACAAATATATGATCTGTAAACCATTTTGTTGTGGTTTAGGCAGGCGTGAAATCCTTCTGGAAAGGGGGATCAGCATCGTCATAAAGCTTGTCAGCTGATAGAAACTTAACAGAGCTCTAAAATACCCTGCTAGACCACAGTGTTGACTTTAGGATTGTGATAACACAGTGGTCTGATACCAACAGATGGCACGCCACCCCAAGAATTTTCCATCTGGACCTACATACAGATATATTTTTTAAATATATTTCTGAGAAGTGCTTTAAAATGATAACTATATACACGCTCGGACTGATTCTGATGGTTGACAAAGGAGAAAGATGAGTAATGAACTTGCATCACTGTGTTAAGATGTTTAATTCTGAAAAATCCCCAAGCTCTTAAACTCTCAGATTTTCCTGCAATGACCTTCTTTCAAACTTTTGGGCCACTTCACAGATTTTAATGGCATGAATGTATGCATCACTTCATGCTATTATACAAGCCCTCTTAGTTTACCATCATCGTAAAAATAGACCAAACTATTTCCCTCTGTTGTCCCAGGAATTTTATTTGGAATTAGGCTCTATCTCTTTTACTCTCACCTTCCCCTGCAATTATCTCCTTTCTAACATTATTTTTGGCAACTTGGTCACTAATTTTAACAGCACTTGGAGTCAAGCCATAATTTTTTAAATTAAGTTCAAGAACTCACTTTCAGGGTTTGGAACAGGATTTATTGTGGTGCTACTTGCCTCATTTTTGATGTCTTCTTTAAAGGATGTATTATTTTTCTGCCACCTGCTGGCTGGTGATGTGTAATGTGTTTCTGGCACAATAAATTGCACCCTACCATAACTTTTCTGTTGAAGGAGAGCAAGTTTGCTTGTGCAACCTACGAGAGTCCATAGAGGCCTGAGGATGCAAACTGTTGCACTCTGGACCATAGGTATGTGATCAATCCATGACTTCAGACATATAAAACATGTTTGATCTGGAACTTGATATGTTACTTATCAGTGCTTAGCCCATAAACATTAAATTTGAGAAGATAAAGTAAATGATCAGGGTATTTGTGACCAGGAATTATGTTTATCTCAAATTTCACCGAAAGGGCTCAATATTTAAAAAATTGGGGTTGAGGTGAAATGTGATAACTATAATGAGGACTGAATGTGTGTTTGACCACTTTGGGCCTCTGTAGAAATGAATTGATCTATCCTAAAACGATAAACTCCAATAGTTTGATTATACGCTGTAGTTTGGCCCAGCAAATATTACATGCTTGTGAGTACAATAAATATTTGTGATACGATATGGCCACATTCCCAGCAAGAGATCTTACTGGGGTCAGTAAAGTTTACATTTTGCGGAACTATCGTCTTTCAGCTCTCTGTTTCGGACCGGACATAATTTTGCGACGTACTCACAACAAATCAAGTCGGAAGTGTATCAAGAAAACACACGTGTTAAACATGAAAAACTCTAAAAAGCACAATAATGTGTCCAAAAAGGGCAAATTTAAGCCGGGATCGAAGAAAAGAGAAAACAAATGCATCGTTATGTTCGACGACAAAGACAGACAGTAAGTGAACCTGCTGGTAATGTTGGAGACACAAGTGCTAAATGCTAACAGTGTTGTGACATAAAACTGTGATATGTTGGTTTACTGCCGTCTGTAAAACCTGCACAATGCCTAAAGGTGAAATTCTCAATGAGTTAAACGATGTATAATCCACTAAATGTGTATTATTGTCTCATTCACTGGTTTATTCGCTATATAACATAACAGGACTGTGAAGGTCTGCTGGTTCATGAAGTTTCCTCTCCTCTGATCCTTCAGGGAATATTTGACCGGTTTCCATAAACGAAAAGTGGAAAGAAGGAAAGCAGCGGTGGCTGAAATCCGCAAGAAAATCAAGGAAGAGCAAATAAGAGTCAGAGAAGAGGTGGGTGTAAAGAGAGGAGAGGAATGAAAAGATATATAAAAACAGGAATAAAAATATAATATAAACTGATTTTGTATGACTGTCTGCTTTCAGAGGCATAAAGAATATATAAAAATGCTAAAGGAGAGGACAGAAGCTCTTGGTAAGTTTGAGAAAAATGTTTTCGACAATTTCACAAATTTACACGACATACAGTCACATCTCTGTAACCGAGAATACAATAAGAAAGTTATTTTGATGCCCAATTGATAAAAAGAAAAAACTCAACATCCATATACTTTTTTTTAATCCATTACAGGTAAAGTGGTGTATTTCAAGTCAATTTTTTGTACCTCGCATCATAACACTATTTCAGATATCCCACAAATATAATCCCTATAATCCCTAATCCCTCCACCTGGTGCTGGGCCGGCCACGAGGTCTCCTTCCGGTGGGACATTTCTGGAACACCTCTAACAAGAGGCATCCAGAATGCATCCTAATCAGATGCCCGAGCCACCTCGGCTGACTCCTCTTGACGTGAAGGAACAGCGGTTCTACTCGGAGTGCCTCCGAGTGTCTGAGCTCCTTACCCTATCTCTAAGGCTGAGCCCGGCCACCCTGTGAAGGAAACCCATTTCAGTCGCTTGTATCAGCGATCCTGTTCTTTCGGTCATTACCCAAAGTTCATGGCCATAGGTGCGCAGGTCCAGCTGGAAAAAGAAATCTGTATCTCCATAAACAGGGGCGGACTGGGACCATAATTCAGGCCAGGAGTTTGACTCCATCCAGGCCAGGCCAATACACATTTACACGGAAGTGCCTACACCGGCGAAAAGTTTTGGACATTTGAAGCCAGATTTAGTGAAAATAATGCTAATGTGAAGAATGTAGAATTCTTCACATTCTTCACATTCCTGGTGGCGACGCCAGGCCACCGGGAATCGGCCCGGTGATCCCGATGTTCCAGTCCACCACTGTCCGTAAAGCTTCTCAGCAGATGGAAGAATGAAGTGCGTTAAAATCTCCTGGTAGACTTTAGGCTGTAATGAGCACAATTATAACACAAAAGCGAGTGAAACGTTTAGGTTTATATGGAGTGGGTCTGCCGAATAACATTGATAGGAAATATTGAACTTTTTTCATGATGATTGTCTAGTTTGTTGAGATGCATCTGTAAGATTTTTTTTTAAAATCTGTTTCTATTTTGTCTTGATCTCACCTATCAGAGGCTGCTGAAGATGATCTGGAGGGCAATATAACAAGTACAAAAGAGTCTGTGCAGTATGACCATCCCAACCACACTGTCACCGTGACAACCATCAGTGATCTTGACCTCACAGGAGCGTACCTGCTCGGACCTGCAGGAGAGCAGGTAACCATGAGGAAACATTAAAGCTCACATTGTTTGCTCTGATAATAATTGATTAAAAAAAGACAAAGAATGAAACTTCATGTCAATTAAACTCTTCAAAAAGATTATACCTTTTGTTTAAAGGCTAATGGAGTGGGCGGGGATGAAGACAAAGAGGAGGAAGAGGAGGAGAAAATACCTACACTGCCAAGAAAAGCTGGGAATCCAATCATGAACAAAAAGTAAGATTTTCACCACTCAGAAAACTTCATATGGGCATCAGTTTTTCTTGTCTCTTTTCTTGTCTGAGATGATTGTCCAATAATCCTACATTCTCCTACCACTAACAATCCAGCTAACACATCTTCAGGTGTGGTTTAAAATTGTCTGCCTGTTGTCCTCCAGCTGTTCTCACTCCAGCTGCTTTCCTCTCTCTCTCTCTCTCTCTCTCTCTCTCTCTCTCTCCCCACCTCCCGCTGCTGCAGGATCCGCTCCCTGACTGCCTCCCTCAGCACTTACACCAGCAAGAGGAAGAGGAAAGGGAAGCAGGAAGGCCGAGGAGGACGAGGCCGGCAGACAGACAAGAGATCTGGTGCCGGGGAGAGTAAGAGCAGATTCAAGAAGACCAGCAAGTGGCAGAGACGTCGAAACACAGGGAAGAGAGGGCAACATCAGGACTGAAACACAATACAGAGGAATAAAACAGGTTTGAACCGTGGAGAGACTTGATTTACTGTGCCGTGTGTCCTCAAAGTGGACAAACTGGACTTTGGATTACTTCTGCTCCTGTGTTTCAGCAGGATACTAGAGACGTTTGTCAAATAAACACAACTTGCTGTGTATGGGGGAGTATTAGAGCCACATTAAAGAAACATTCAAGATTTTAAGACTGAAGCTTTAGCAGTATGAGAATAAGGTTATGAGTTTTAAATCTTAATATTATGATGAAAAGAATATCATAGTGTTGTCTAAGACAGTCCATCTTTAGGATTCATGTTTTTTCCTGTACAGCCTGTCAGAGTCCTGATACATATGATAATGTGGTTCTAATGTGCCAGAATAAACTCATTTAAGTTGTTTGTGAAGCCTCTACTACAGCATCACCTCACAAGTTTCCCGCTGCTCCCCTGATATCTCCCTTCAAAATAATGTGGCTTTAATATTCCTTTGTAGGTGTGCTGTACGGTGGCCCTGAGGGTCAACTGAACAAAAATGTCATGATATGAAAAACAACTTCTCTAAATGCTAAAAACATTTAGCTTGACGTGAAACAAATTTTACCAAACACACGACATGTAGAATATTTCATGAAACATAAGTTATTGTGAAATGCTCAAATATTCACAAAAACAAAAATATTCAATGAAACACCAACATTTTTTGTGAACATTTAATCATCAAACAAAAAGCAAAAGTTTTTGGGTTTTTTTTTGTTATTTTTCTTTGAAATTATTACATCATTATTAAATGAATTTGCATTTTGCTGAACTGATTTTGTGATCAATTAAATATTTATACTGAAATATGCTTACCATTTAATATTCTGACTTTGTTCTAATTGTTTTAAAATTTCACCCCAAAAATTTTGTATCATGAGATTTATGTGAATTTGACCTTCAGGGCTACCGTACAGTGTTTGTGTTATTGTGACATCCCATAGTCTCAGCAGAATTCACATTGACACATTTGTCAGAGTTGAACTGTTTTTGTAGCGCTCTGTCTGTAACATTCATATTTTGTGTTGTATTAACAAACATTTGTATTGAATAAAAGATAACTCTTGTTAATAAGTGACATCGTGATGGAGACTCATCCTACATGGGGCGGATCATGGGGGTGGCTGTGGCCTCTGTTACATGTGACCATCTAAGGTGTCCGCTCCAAAAACAAAAACATCAACACTTTAACCATCTGAATCAAATAGCTCAGAATCAAAGCAGCAGGAGGTCTTTTTCTCCTTGGAGAATCTTGAATGGTTTAATGAAAAGGTTACAAGATTGTTGTTTTACGGTTTTGAACCAAAACCAAAGTCATATGTTCCCTTCCTTTATTTTCAACCAAAAATTAAAGAATAAAGTTAGGTAACCTCACACACACCCCACCCCCAGTCTTTGCTCAAGTGGGAACTTTAGACCAGATATCTCCTCCTCAAATGTGTAATTTATTGTCATTATTTTATGTGGGAAAGTAAAAACAGGACTTTTCTCAAGCTGCTGTGTTGACACCTACCCCCTTTGTATTAGACTTAGGGGTTAAAATTGATGATATATGAATTGTCCATCTTGTTCCTGATGGTCTTGTTTGCATTTGGATATAATGAAAAGACATCAATGTAAAATTCTGTCCATTTCTTAAACACCAAAAAAATATGTATAAGAGTTTTATTCAGTTGAATTTGGTTGCCGAGATAGACACAGTTATTGAAGAAGGAAAGGGTAAAGAAACGCTGTTTTTGCCCTCCAGATGAGTCAGTGCCCACTTGGACCACCCCGCTCAAACAAGTCTGGATCAGCCTCTGGTCTGTATCCAATGTGGACACTTGGCTTTGCCATTGTTGGATAGGAAACCTGCTGCTGGTGTCAACATCCTCTGCAGAACATCAGGAAATCAACTCTCTGCTGAGTGTTTCCTCACAGTTCAGTGTTACCTGTGAGTGTGTGCTCTAAAAGAGGAGCAGACACTGTGAACCTTCCACCCTACAGCCAACAGTTTTGATGTATGTTAAAGCCTCACCTCAGCTGTGTTTATTTATTTACGTTAACCTGAGCCAGCGTGTGCCAGCTGCCACGAGCATGAGCGCTTCATTTCGCTTTCTAAAGCCCATGATATTTAATACAGCAGAGGAAGCGGCAGGCCACCGGCTCCGTGTTGGCTGCAGGGTCTGCGCTGTGTTAACTGAGAGCCACAATGGCCTGCGAGGATGCTTCAGTTTCACTCATTGTCAGATCAGCCAATCAGATTGATTTGAGAGTTTCAGGGGAATAGAGAGCATGTGGAAGAAGAGGTATGTGCATGAAGGGGGTCAGAGGGGCAGTTCATCCTCAGAATCCTGATGGCACATTGAGAGTGGAGCTGACAGCAGGAGCTTTTTCCTCTCAGGTATGCTCTTCATTTTTATCTTATTTCTATCAATCTGCTGTCTGATTGGGTTAACTCACTACAGCAGAGGCTGTGCTGCTGTTAAACTGTCTCAATTATTACAGTGCATGTGCCGTGTGCTTGCAGGTAATGCTGATCTTACACTTCTCAGACTGGATTGTGTTTCACTGTCCTCTCGTGTAATTAGTTATCACCTGCCTTAACACTTCCACTTAAGATCTTGCATGAACCATGAAATGAAAGATCCTCTTACGTATTGAATTAAGATGCTGCTCTGTGGTTACAACTATCTCACGCAATGCAGTCACATTCCACTTTACATAGTGTTTGATCTATGTAACAGTCTTGCATTTGATATTTGCATCACATTCATTTCCATTGCAGTGATAAATGCTCAGCAAACCTTAAAAATAAAAGCCCGTGCATTATGGGAATCAAACTCTGTTACACATGAATTCATACTTGTACTGAGTGCTTGCACATTTATGTATACTTTCCTGCACATATGTTAATATTTGCATACACTTGCATTCATAGAGGCTTGCATATATACATACACACATACTCTCTTGTATATACACATGTACTCATGCACACTAAGATGCATACTTGCATGCAAATATATGCATATTTTTCTAGGGCCCCCATTGATACGTATAAAAGTGTTATTTTGTTCTTAATGTTTGTTTTCTTTTTCAGCGTGCTTGTGCTCCTTCATCCTTGCTGTGGTTTAACAGTCTTCACCCCTGGATGAGATGGTCTCTCCTCCAGCCTCACCATGCCATCCTCCGGCGATGAGACCATCTGCCCCAAGTTCCAACCCAACATCTTCGACCCCTCCCGCTGCCACGACTGCCTGCGCCAGCGGCACCTGCACGCCGGCGCAGGAGAAGAAACGGCACCTCAGCAGAAAACCACAGAAGACACCAGACCGGGGGTTAAAATTGGGATTGAAAATGGGACTGGATCAGGAAAAGGGGCGCTGCTAACACCGATCCAATCCCAGGCTGAGGAAAGAGACACCAGCAGCAAGGTGAGACGGATAAGGGAGCTGCAAAAGGGAGGGAGGAGAGGAGAGGAGCTGGTTATAAAAGGAGGCAAGAGGATGAGTATGTTAGACCTCAAGAGAATGGTTGCAAGACTTTGAAGTTAGATATATAAAGCCAGATGAGGAGCTACTGCTGTGCTTGACTCAACTTGCAGATCAGAAATGATGCACAAATTGACGTTTCAAGATCCTGTCTGTTTCTTTCTTAGTCGAGAATCCAGACGGATATTAACGCAGCTCATGAGGTCATGCTTTGGCCTTTAATGCATGTTGGTTTGTGACAAAAAGTCAGACACAGAGAATAAGAGGTAAAGCAGATAGCAGCAGGGCGGTAGCAGTGGCTCCTATTAACTATTAATGAAGCTGGATCATCTTCTGGCCTCTTGGGAATCACTTGTAATATAAGACAGAAGGGCAGCTACCAAAAAGGATGAGAATGGGTCAGCGCTTGTGTTTTATATTCATCAGACTTATGTGGCCAGAACTGCAGTCATGGGATTTTAAAAAGGACATGACATCTTTTGAAGTGCATGCAGTTTCTTTGTACTTCCCTTCTTGTGTTTGCTCAGAAGTTGTAAAGGTCAGAGCAAATTTCTGATGTTCAGAGAGAGTTAAAGATCCTTCTTTTTTGACAGCCTTTTTTAAGTGAAGGGTTTATGGCGAGAAAAAAAAACTGGTGAAATATTAATGAAGAAAAGCCACAAGCCAGGTCGAGTTACAGAGGTGTTACCCTAATTGAATAGCAGGCTGAACATGTGTGTGTGTGTGTGTGTCAGGGGAGGACAGAGGAGGAAGAGATGCATATGCTTTCTAACTTCAAAGTCACTGTTCACTTTCCGCTAATCTACATCATGAAAAACATGAACTTGTCTGCGGCTCTTGTATCAAGTTTTGGTAAGTGTTGCCCTGTGCAGCATTTGTCCTCAGTGACCTGGTCAGAGATGGAGACTTTCTGATTGGCCCTCGTCTCACCTTGTCGTCCTATCAGGAGGATTCTGACGGTCTGTCTGTGGTGAGCAGCTACTGTGGTGTCAATGGAGGCCGTGTGGGTTATGAGGAGAGCTCTTTGTGCATCTTGAGCCCAGACTGTGAGCTTTACATCTGTGACGGAGACGACGACGACAGCACTGACAGGTAGGGCGAGAGCTTGGTGATTATAAGTCATTTAAGGAACAATAGAGGGTGGAATCTTTGACTTGAGGGCATAATATTAGTGTTCAAGCAGACTTTCTTTATCCCACAGTGGTACATATGATTTTCTTTTTGACAGACAGTCATTACAATATGTAGTCATGTGTTTTGGGTCTCACCAGCTCTGCTGAAAATGTCCTCTGACTAAAAGGGTTAGAGCTGTCTCAGAGCACACCAGTATATAACTAGATATAAGATAAGATATAAGATATAAGATAGATAAGATATCCCAGTGCAATCTTCTCTTTACTGATGCCTAGACTTAAGAATTAGCCAATTCTGTGTACTCCTGTTGAATATATAGAAACAATGCTGGAAAAACTTGGATTACTGAAAACACACTGTTTTTTGCTCACATTATACAGCTGAAAAAATTGAAGTCATCAGCATATGTTGCTCCAAAACCTAAATATATTGTTCTGTATCAATATAGGCTTCCCACATGTGAAAGCTACTTATGCTATTAACATTTATGCATCCCCATACCATCAAGGATGCTGTTTTTTTAGCTCTGCACTTATAACAAGCCAGGTGGTAGCTCTTCTTTGTACAGCTGAGGATACAGCGTTCATGGTTACCTATACGAATGTCAGATTCTGATTCGTCAGACAACAGGAGTATTCAACTTTATCTCATTTCATCTTCGGGCCAGGAAAACTCGCTGGTGTTTCTTAATCAATTTCCTCTTTGCATGGTACGGTTTTAATTTGTGTTCACAGACAAAGATTTTTTAAGGGACTTTGAGCCCATGCATTGATTTCCACTGAAATTGTTGAACCATTTTAACATGCAGTATCTCACAGAAAGGGGAATCTCTCTGTAATTTTACTTTTGAAAGTCTCAACCTCTCAGGAATGTATTTTTCATACCCAGTTTTATTACTGACCTGTTGCAATGCATCTCAATAGTTGGTAAATGTTCCTCCGGGCGATAATTTTTTAAGCATTGCTCAACTTTTGGGGTTTTGTTGGCTCTGTCTTGTTGGCTTTTGTTTCAACACAAGTTATTTTGTCTTTTTACTTTTTAAAATTAACTATAGGGTTTAAAGGATTTACCAACATTTAAAATCTGTTTTTATCAACATTTTACACAGAATCCAAACTTTCCAGAGCTGGGGCTATACATCAAACTCTCTGTGAACACCGGACTGTTTTTGTTTTTTTACGTAACAAGACAATGTACCAAAGGGCTGTTGATCATTTTTGAGAGATTTTCTGGTTGTGGTATGGGATTGGTGCTTTGACTGCATAGTCCTATATTTCCATTATTCCAGATTAAAATCATTTAATCATTTAATAAATTAAATCTTCCCCCATTGCTTCCACCATGTAGCTGTCGTGACCAGAGCAACTACCAGGAGTTCAGTGACTCCATCAGCGCAGAAGACGAATATCTGCCAATCTGTCGCCGCCCATCTAAACTTGCGATGACCCGGCTTGACCCTCGGCCCCATCGGGCCAACCATCGAGCCTGGATGGATGAAGCTCAGAGTCGGGACAGCTTCACCAGACAATCAGGTACATGAAAACCTTGCATTTTACTGTCTTCTTCTGTTTCTTGGCAAATGTGAAACATCTCTAGCTGAGCAGATTTCAAAAAAATAGAAAGAGAAATATCACTTGATCAATTATTTTAGCACATACATCAGGTCTGTGCAAGGCCTCAGTACACCTATGACTTACTGCACTTGAGCAATTGATATCCAGTTACACTCACAGGTGTTCTTTACTTGGCAATACCCATCTGTGTCACAGCTGAGGTGTCCAGCAGCGATTATCAGAAATACAATATAGCTCAGTTTGTGTCAGGACACCTCCAGTTGTCGCCCAGCAGTGAGCTTTGACATGTAGGTTTCTTATTTCTGATGCCTCTCACTTCTATTTCTGTCCCTTTGTAATTTCTCTTCTATCAGGGTTAAAAGAAGAGAAGCGCGAGAGTGGGTACTTCTCCTTAGGGAGGGCATCTGGTGCCCATTTACTGAGAGATAACAGTCCATCTGCTCCTTTTCGCCACTTTGAGAGAGGACATCCCATCTTCAACACCAGAAATGTTGAGCCCAAAGATGCCATCCCCTTCAGAAACCCCAATCTTGGTGTGGCATCTGAGAGGCAGGGAATAGAGGCTTTTAATGAAGACCTACCAGTAGAAATACTCCCTCCTGACCCTTATGAAATCGCAGTCGAAGTTGAGGCACAAGTCGGGCCACGCTCACCTAGTCCAACACCCTTCAAGATAGCAGAGTCGCTGGCCTCAACTGGGCGCAAAGGTTTCAACAGGTCATACGGTCAAGGGAATCCTTCCTCACAACAGTCAGGACGTTATGATCCATCTCGCTCTTCTTCTCCCTCAAGAGGAAACTCACCTTTCAGACGGAGTGAGTCTACCACCTCCCTTAGCAGTCGTAACTTTGACGGTGGAGGGTGGTCTCGCGGGATGGAACCAGCCTCTAGAAATCCCTCACAGGGGACACATGGACGACGATTAGAGTCAGGAACACTGCCAAGAAACTTTAAATCACTTGCAAGTTCGGTCAAACCCCAGCCCAGCTCTGTTTCTGATTTTAGGAGTGCCTTGAGGAAAACTGAAGCAAGAGGAACCTTGAGTGGTCGAAGTCAGGACAGCAGAAGTTCTTCTCCTTCAAGAAGGGACCACAACTCTTCAAGCCAAATGTCTCTTCGTAAGAATGAGATCACCACTTCACCTGGGCGGGGCCGTAACAGTCGCACTTCATCTCCCTCAAGGAGACATTCTACAAGTCCTTGTGACAGCCCACCAAGGAGAAACTACAGCTCATTAAGCCAATCACCCCTTCGTAGATCAGAATCGACTTTCTCTCTGAGTAGTCGTGGTCACTCAGGACGGTGTGGCTCCCCTATAAGAGAGGGCTATGACATTGAAAGTCAAGCTTTACTGCGTAACCTCGCTGCTAGAAATGGAATAAATGACCAAGAGGAAGAATATGAAAGCACCAACAAGGCTGCACTCAGGCAAGGTTATGACAGAAGTCCACCTGTGCTACGAAAGACTGAATCAAGCCCTGTCTTTGCCAGCCAAGGTCGTGAAGGCCGCAGTTCATCTCCTGGTAGGAGGGGCTATGAAACCCCTCAGTATCAACTCAGGAAAACAGACACCAGAGGTTCCTTACATGCTGGTAATAATGAAAGACGTAACGCCTCCCCTTTAAGGAGAAGCTATGAAGCTCCTTCACTGCGTAATTCCGAAATAAAGACTTCAACTCGAGATCTTGATAGTCATAACTCCCTCCCCTCAAGGACAAAGTATGATTCTGTCGACCAGCGCTCACTGCGGAAAATAGAAACTAGCACTTCCCATAATAGTAAGACTCACAATAGCCGCAACTCCTCTCCACTTAGAAAAGGAAACAGTGACCCACCAGGATACTCAATACTCAGACATGCCATGAATGGAGAGTCTAACCATTCCTCTCAGAGAACTAACACCTATCAAAACTCAAAACCTGCACCCAGTCACTCACCATCCTCCTGGCGGGAATCATCTCGTTCCCACCGCAGCTCCTCTTTGTCTCGTGCTACTTCAACCGCAAGGCAGACTTCAAGTGGAACCAGAGTTTCTATTGCCCTGGATACACCAAGGAGGTCTTGCAGCAGCAGCAGATCAGGGACTGGTAGACACAGCCCTGAGGATCACAGCCCATCCCGTAACAACAAGAAGCCCTCCCACCATGTACGGAGCCCTTCACCTCAGATTCAAATCCAGAGGTACACCTCCTCCCAGAGCTCTATGGAGTCCTCAGAGTCAGGCCAACTTTCAGTTGGATCCACAGGAAGGACCAGGGAGGAGTATGTAATGATGGCTGATGTGCCCAAGGTCAAAATGATCCATCAGAGAGAGGAACCAGGCCACTTTGGGAGGACCCAGAACCAGCAGCCCTCTCGGAAACAGGAACTATTTAAACCCGCCAGGTCAGAGACTTATCATACTACAAGGAATGCCAGATCTGTTGGCTAAGTAGCATGTGAAATCAGTGTATTTTCTGTGTTGGACACTGAAAACAACCATTTGATGCTCTTTCAGCCACTCTCTCAGCAAGCATCCCTCTAGAGAGTGGGATGACACAGGGGAAACAGAGAGAGACTGGCACTACAGTGGCAGTGGGTATCTATCCCGAGCTCACTCATCCACTTCACTGCAGGTAGGCTGGGCCAGTTTTATTAAGGGGTGACTGATGTGTAATATGTGAGTTTTGGACTTAAATTCTAAACAACCACAGAAAGTATCAACAACAGATGTAGCACCACGTCACCAATTGGTTTGTTCACAGTCTTATTTTAAGCCTTATTTACATATCAGCCTCAGCTTTGTTGGTTTTAAAGCCAAAGGTGGCTGTATTTAAACAGGAGGGTGGAAATAAAGGCGAGCCAGCGTTGTCAAACACCAAGTTATCAGGCACCACATAGAAATTAAATCCAGTGGCTGGATTAGCAAATGAGACACCTAGAAGACAGTTTGCCGCACCTAAGGACTCAAAACTACCAGGCTCCCAGTTACCTGAAAACTTCAGGCCTCTAAATAATTTCCTCTGATAGTTAATACTAAAATGTATCCTCCATACTCTTGTAATAAAAAGGAAAATAAGCTTCAACTACCCAAACTGTTTTTTGCAATCAACTGTAGTTGTTGAACATCCTGCATTAGTTTCTCTTCCCTCTGAAATAAAAGTTATCTTTCATCATTGGCAAAACTCATGAAAACAGAAGAAACCTTTATTCAATGATCGTATAATATGTCATGATACATTATGATTAGTTACGTGAATACAGGATACTTAATAATACCATATAATAAGATGGATGATATATGATAGGATACAATATGATAAGAAGTAGGACAATATGTTACATTTTGATGAAATAAGTTATGATACAATATGATACAATACAAAAAACAAGATAATTTAAGATAAGATAAACCATTATGCATCCCATGGTGAGGAAATTTGGGTATCAGCATAGCAGACATAGAAGAATAAGAATAACTTTATTAATCCCCGAAGGGAAATTCAATTGTCTGTTGTCTCACATCAAGGATCTACACAGTGATAAAAAAAAGACTGGACATGTTACTGCTCATTATTTGAGTTATTATACCCGAGGTACTTGATACTTGTAGCTACTTGCAATTGTAATAAATGTCTAGCCTTTCAATATTACTGGGAGCAGGCCTGACTGCAGCAGGAGGGAAGGACTTGAGGTATCTCTCTATCACACACCATGGGTGAAAAACCTGTCACAGAGGGAGCTCCTCAGTGCTGTTACAGTGCTCTGCAGGGGGTGGGAAACATTGTCCATGAGAGACGATAGCTTCGCCATCATCCTTCTGTCCCCCACCACCTCTACGAGGTTCAGAGGGCAGCCCAGGACAGAGCTAGCGTTCTTTACCAGTTTGTCCAGTATGGAATAATATGATACTAAACAATATTATGGGAAATTATATGCTATTATACAATACAATACCTTGCAATACATCATTATATGATATGATAAAATATGGTATGATTAATGATTTATTACAGTACAGCCTGACACAATATGACCTAAAATGTTTTCCTGTATATTATTAACAGTTCTTGTATCTAGAGACCAGCATGTTTTGATTATAAACTTCCTGCAGTCTTCCTCAGAAGGGTCATGTGATGTTGTGACATTGCCTGCCAACCTTATATAAAGGTTAGACCATTCCAGTTTGCTGTTCTCTAGGCTACTTCCTGATCTCTGCAGATCCTCTTATCCAGTGTTGGTATCTGATGCTCTTGAGTGGATGACCTTGGCCTTTTCCAAGCCTACTGTGTGATTTTTTTATGCAGGAAGTTTGTTGTCAAAACATGCCAAAGTAAAAAAAACCACACACACATTTGTCTAGTTACATGATATTATTTAATGTAATATTATACAGTATAATAGAAATTGATATGATTCAGTATCATATGACATACTATATGGTTAGATAGAAAACAATACAATATGATACGATTCGAAATAATATGATATGATAGAGGAAAAAATATGGTAAGCTACAAAACGGTAAAATTTTATATGATAAATTAAATATACGATAGAATAAGAATATGAAAGGAAATGTCAGAAAATTTTGTATGATACCATCATACAGTTACCATGATGCAATTATTTTTATATAAAACTAGATAAATCAATACATCTCAATACAAGACAGTAAGATATGACATTATACTATATGACATGGCACAATATACCACATGACCCCGTTGAAGAATTTATTATAGAGAACACAGGACTGTTTACAGAGAGAGCAGCAACAGTATAAAGATTACAGTGAAGAGCTGAGACATGTGTTTAGCAACTTTCCTCCCTGCAGGGTATCATAAATTTTTGTGGAATTGTGTCTTTTTCACCTACATTATATGTTAATGCTTAACCAGATCTTCCACATACCGAGTGACAGATCAGTTGGAGCAAGTGGATGTGAAACTCTGCAGGTTTCTATGTTTGCTCAATTGCACAGTATAGATTATCCTGGTGACTGAGTGTGTCCTTTCCAGCGTTCTGGCAGTCCCACTGCAGATGAGGGTAGTTCTTGGAAAGGTAATCACCACAGACTGGAACAAATGCAGGTATGTGATACAGCCAGTTTGTTTGCAGTAAAAATGTGTGGTCTAATTGCATGTGCATCATGTGTGAGTGAAGTAACCCTACATGTATGCATGAACACAAATATTTGTTGTGGATATCATAAACCCTGCAGCACCAGGTTCAATACGGGTTTATTGGAGTCAAGCCTATTTAAATAAGGTATCTCTCTGTTACATATTGACTAGAGACAGGCAGTTTGTCCAGTGTTCACACATATCCTGTTTACAATCATAAAGTTTTTATGTACTTGGCACTCTTACCTGTTGACATATCTAGGGAACACAATCTCCACCGTCTTTTAAATCCTCTTTTAACGGCTGGTTGTTGTCTGTCTGTAGACTTCACCTACACCCTACAGGCATTTCATAAGACTGACTGAGCTTTGTCAATTGTGGTCTGCTGGGGCATGTGTTGAAATTCCTGAGCTGAAACCAATAGCTACCAAGAGAGGTTTTTGGAGGGGGAGTGCCACTTCAGCTGAAATTATTTTAATGTAGGAAAATTCATAAAGTAAACTTCAGCTGTGTTTTTATGAAATTGAAGGATCACTTAACTTTTTTTTTTAAATGTCAATGATCCCCACAGATGACAGAGAGATTTGGCCCTGAAGAAAAAAGGGGAGTGAGACATCAGAGTACTTAAATACCTAGGGGTTTAAGCAGGGTTTCCTCTTGATAAACTTGTGTGAGTACAGTTAGCAGAAACTTTACTCTTAACCACGTTGCTGGGGACCTTATTAGATCCTCTCGGCCTCTACAGGTACCTGGACGAAAGGTTAACAGCCAGCATCGTGTGGTTATGTAGAGGCAGGCATGTTTTCTCAAACGATCTTCGCGGACCCGCCCAGGAAGTGGAAGAGAGAGCAGAGAGCAAAGACAGAGCAAAGTCAGAAGTGAATCGACTGATACCCCGGACTTGATTAAATCTTTTGAGTTTATGATAGAGAAAAAGACACTTAAGACTTCTTTGTACTTATCCGTGTGTGTGTGCGCTTTGCCTTTAAGATCGGACAGAGAGTCGATAATGGACGTTGGCGGTTCGCCTGATTAGGATAACATGGGGATGAATGGCGGGGATTTATCTCATTTCGCATAACTCTAATGAGCCCTCTTGAGAAAGTGCTCGAAAAGTTGTGCATAGTTGAGTTTTGAAAGTGGCAGAAAACCATCGAGGGAGGTAACGGTACTCTTCTTTGTCTTTTTACACCTCCCTGGATCCTGTTATCATGACGGTAAGTTGCACCTTATACATCCAAAATACATGCCTGTTTATTTATTAATTAAAATAAGTGTTTTTTTATATGAGACGAGTGAAAGTTATTCATGTATCCTCTTTTGGTTTTAACTTGTCTGTGAAAAGGCTTTTACAGTTATTTCAACGGCTCTTAACGTCTTTTAACGTCTCTTTGATTCGAGGGGTGTGCACGCGCTCACAGGGTAGAAATTTCTCCAACTTCGTGCCAGTTAAAGACCGTTTTTTAAGTCACATTAGTGCTTTTTCTTTCAGTGCAGCTTTGTTAAACCTTGTATTTTCGCATTTCCATCCTTGTGGCAAGCCTGTAGAAACCATGTCGGGTCCCAGGTGTGCTGTAATTTTATCTGTTGACCCTCCTGTGTTGTTTACAGTAGCAGGAAGAGTCATTAGCCAGTAGCTTGAGCTCTATGTGTCAGTTTTTACAGTGAGCTGTTACACACGCTCTCTGTTTGCGTACACTCAGCTACCAAAACACTACAAACACCAACTAACCACAACAATAATGAACACCTGGACAATTAAATGCAACCTTGTATTACAGCTCTGCCATAAATTATGCTCTTACTAGGAAGTAGAATTTGATGTAGAGCTGTAATGTTGGATCCAGTAGATGTTATAGCTCAGCATATGCATTTTGGTTAATCAATTTTGACATGTTTGATAAAAAAAACCATGCATTTCACAGTTTTAAAGCTTTAAAAGCTTGATTAAGGTATTAAAGGAATGCATTTCAAAGTACTCAATGATCTTAACCTTTGGATTTATTGTAAGTGCTGCAACTCGGTGTCTATGAGATCTGACACCAGGACTAAGAGGTTGAAAACAGCTCCACAGTCCCCACCTAGGTTATTTTTTTAATGTATTTTAAGGATTACATTGCTACTCACATACCTACAAAATGTCTAGCCAGTGTCAATATAATAGACAGTTATTCAAAGATATTTTTTTTTGATCAAGGTCTTTTTATTTAGTTTTACAAATTATAGTTTACAATTTAATACAAGTCCAACAGAACAGGACTGTAAATTCCATCCACCCCCCACAAATACCAGATTTACAGAATCCACAGAATGACATACATTGTTCGAAATACAGAGTTCACATAGCCAGATTGAAAAAAAGGTAATATAATAATAATGATGATGACTGAGGACAACAGCAGAGGTTTACAGTACTATATTGTCTGCCTCCATATCTTCAGCAAACATTAAGAAAGGCTGCCAAATTTATAAAAAATTTCGAGTAGACCCTCTGATAGTTTGATTCCTCACTGACGCCCAGTGATGTCTGCATAATGCACCAAGATTTAGGGGTTCCTGTTTGGTTGCTTTCTCTAAGTCAAACAGGTCCTGTACGAATAACTCGTTGATTCTTGCAACCATAAGGTGTTTGACTGGTCAAAAAATGCCAACCTGAGGATGTCTCTATGACCCTAGTTTTCCTTAACATTGTCCAGTCTGTAATCAACGCCAGTGCCACCTATTCAACAAGCACTAGGGTTAATTTCTTCAATTTAGTCAACATCTGCACGTCTGTGGTGACTGATACAGTTTTGTTTTTTTGTTTAAATCAGTCTGATGATCTTACTTTTAATGTGAAATATGCTGCTCAAAAGCTCCACCACTGCAGCATTAAGAGCAGAGAGAGTGTGTTGACTTCAGAGATGTGATCAGTTAATCTAAGCAAAAAGATGTATGGAGTAGAGCCTTGCATGATGCTGTATATCCCTGAAAAACAAAAAATCTACCAGACAACACTCCTCTGTAGTGATGGGAAATCGTACTCAGTGAGAGTAGACTTTCTTTCAAACTGCCGCCAGCGTTCGACCCTCTTTCTTCCGCTTCTGACTTTTCTAGAAAGGTCACTGATCTGAGAACACATGACAGGGAAGGCATTGTGGCATTGGTGTTGTTCAGGACTGATGCTGCCCCCCCTTTTTTTTCAGCGACCTTCTGTGGCCACTCCCTGACCTTACTCATAGGCATGTATGGACTTGATAACATTCATGTATGATGAGGTTTGACACATCAGCGCTATTGTATTTACACACTTTGAGGCTAGGTAATAAAAAAGACCTTGGTTATTACTGATCCTCCTCATCTCTTTGATGGTAAAAATTCTCAAATGGTGTGATAGAAAATGATGGGGTAGGATGATAGGATATGATGGGACTCGATACATGACAATATGATAGGATAAATACTATTAAGATAGGATATGGTACAATAAGGTATGTTACACTCTTTTGTCCAAGCAGGGAAATTTGTCTAGGATCCATTTGCAATTTATTTAACTGTGTACGTGGTAATTTTAGTAAATAAAAAAAATAATGAAAAAAATAAAACATTGTTCATGTACACAGAGAAATACATGCCGGTGACAACTAAAAACAAATATTTTACATATTAAATACATTGCTCATTTTCTGTGTAGTACACATAACAAGTAAAAAAAAGATAAGAACAATACAAAGTGTATCTCAACTTGTTACTTCCCGCTGCATGTATTTCCTCTACTCGCAGTGTATTGGCAAACACTTGACCTTAAAATGTGAAGCAGAGATGTGCTGAATCACTCAGAGAAAACTTGTCAAGTACTGTGGTTTACAACAGCAGAACTAAAGCAAGGGGCAGAGCATAAATACACGTATAGAAAGGTTAAGGCTGGAAATGCTAAAAAATCCCAGTGAAACTATATTTAAGTACTATAAGAGAGAGGAAGAGAGCGAGGAATGCAGGTAGATTTAAAAGTGAGGAGTTTACATGCTTATGAAAGAGAGATAAGCAGGAAGAGGAATGTATGGTGGAAAAGTTGCCTAATCTTAATCTGAGATCACTTCATCTCAAGGTACCTGCCTCAAATTTTCCTCATTCTCTCTACACTGCTCTGGTTTCAAATGTTCTCTGTTCACAAACTTGTCACAATGAAATGCTCTTTATTATCATTTTTCACACCTCATATGGGCGTCTTGCTTTCTGCTCACTTATTGCGTCCTTTAAACACGATTTTGACAATGAAATCATTGATTGAATATTGGCATGGACAGGGGTCAGCTATCTTCTCTCATCGGGAGAAGGGTAGCCAAAATCTGCCTTGATGGGTCCTGACACTTGTGCTGGCGAAGCTAGAGCTCGCTCATGAGAGATCTGACTTATTGAGCTGATGTCATTCCATTTTTTAAACAATGATTGGATGATTGGTTGTTTAGTGATACATTTAAATGATGAATAGGGGCAATTTGGGGGCGGGTGTTTCAAGCAAAAATACTCTTTCATCCATGGATGTAGATATGCTAGCTTGATTTTTATATAGCTATAAATTAAACAAGCTAGTTTTACCCAGAAAATAAGTTCCACCAAATTCTTTGTGAGCTCTGAAGTATCTGCTTCTCTTGAATTTCAGTATGCCACACTTGTTTGACAGGCAGCTGCCCCTTTTTTATTTCTTTTTATTTTGTTAAATAACATTTAAGATGTGCTACAGCTGCTGTCTGACATGTACTACATTAAAACAAGGCATGGGTAAAAATATATATATATATAAAGAAAAGACAAAAAAGAATAAAATAGAAACATTTTTTAAAGCCTAACAAGAACTGTTGAGTTTATTATTGTTAAGATATTTTACATTTTACATCCCTGTATTCAACATTACTGACTTTTTTCCACAAAAACTGAACCACCCCTCCTAATGAACTTTTAATTACTTTAATGTATTTTGATCTATAAAGACATGAAGCTTTATAGAGTAGTCAAAAATGACATTTTTTTGAGAGCGACTCCATACTTTGAAGGAAAAATATTTAATCCTGAGTCCTGACAAGACAGCTCTGGCACGTTCATACCAAGGCTGTATTGTTAAGCTGAAAGTGAGATGTGGGTTGATATATGAGCTGGTCCTTTTCCCATCTGTTTACATGGAGGAGACGGGGTTTAAGACTTGTGCAGCACTTCGTCCTGAAAGTTTTGGCTTCTCTTGGGCTGCTGTTGTGCTGTTCATGATTTTCCACTGTCTGATCCAAATGTACTCACATTTTCCATACTGTTTTGGAGGAGTATTAACACAACTTATAAATAAAAGCATGCACCTGTACCAGGACCAGGTTTACTAGTTTCAACATGCATTGTCGTAGAGACAAGTTTCTCCACACACTGTCCTGAGCTGCATTGTATCTTTGGTTTTCAGGTACAATGAAAGGCTTAAAATGGTAAATTCTTCTTTATAGATATGATTATATCCAGTATGCCCCACCCTACGATAGGCCTCCTATTATTGAGATAATATGGTCCTTGTTTCTGTTTAAGTCCTTTATCGCGCACACATCCTTCTCCATATGTCTTATTTGTGAACATGACACTATCTTTTTTTTCTCCACAGCCCGACCTCCTGAATTTCAAGAAGGGGTGGATGTCCAAGCTGGATGAGAGTGGCGAGGTAAGCTGCTGTAAAGCTGTATGTGTGACTCCACCCAGAAGTCACATTTTCCTTGCCCTCAGTCACTCATTTTTTAATGAGAAAGGTTGTGTGTAAGACGATAGCAGCAGATTATCCTGGTTATCACAGTAATAGCATTGTGGCTCCAGGCACAGCAGGTGTCTTCTCTTTTTCAATGTTATGCTTCAGTGACTGGGCTTCTCGCTTCACACTTCGCACACTGTTGATCCGCTGCACCTGTGATGCTGCTTTTTAAAAATCAAACTCTTTTTTGGATCACAATGTCAAATTTTGTTGCTGATATCATGTCTGTCTTGATTAAATTGACACCTGTTGTGTTTCCTCAGTGGAAGAAGCACTGGTTTGTTCTGACTGATGCTGGACTGAAGTACTACAGAGATTCAAGTGCAGAGGAGGTACATTTTCCATTTCATACTTGTTTGTTGTAGAAGTGAAAATGGCTAATGACTCAAAGTTATACACAGAAAGAACTTAATACCAGGCTTTCTTATTGATCAAAATCACAATATCAAAACATAAAGACATGCTAGCATGGGTGAACTACATAAGGTATATTTTTATTATTACTCTAACTTTAAATGGAAAGCAAAAACTTTAAATTAGTGGCCAATAACGGCACATAAAGCAGCAACAGAGATTAAAATACACAGGGAGCCAAGTGACATCAACCAAATTGAAGAAAACAGACATGAAGCAACCACAAACCATGACTCTGCTAGGGCTTTGGGTCTGTTCTGAGACTGAAAAAGAAAATGCCAACTAAAAAGTTTTGATTTTAGCTTTAATTTTTTAAGGATCTGAGAACGAGCCACGTGATTATTCATCCATTTTTGTTTCCTGTGTGTAGTTAACATCGCACTATGAGACAGTGAAACCAAATTAAAAATTAAAACAACATAAGGTATTTTTTTAGACAGCAAAGTAAATGAGAAATACACTCTCTGTCTGTGCACTTTGTGAAAGACTTTCTGTGTTTTCTGAATAGAAAGACGACCTGGATGGTGAAATTGACCTAAAATCCTGTGTGAAGGTGTCAGAGTTTGATGTGGAGAAGAATTATGGCTTTCAGATACAGGTGAGGGTATCTGTTACAGCTGAACTTTTCTGTCTAACACTCTTTTTTTTCCCTCTTTATATTCATCATCTCTTGTCCTCCTTTCCAACATTGACCACACCCGCTCTCAATTTCTGCTGCATGTTGTTGTTTTTCTGTTATCATGTCTCATCTCAGTGCGTATCTCCTCTCTTTTCTCTCTGCTTGAGTTTTCTTTATCCTTTGCATCTTATCCCACTTCTGTTACATCTTTATGCCTCCCTCACCTGTTTTTTTTTCCACCTTTGTTTTCCAGACGCGGGAAGCTGCATTTACGCTGTCAGCCATGACGGCTGGGATCAGGAGGAACTGGATAGAGGTTTTAAAGAAGTGCATTCGTCCCAGCAGCTCCCCTGACCTCACTCAGTGAGTAATAAATATTAAAGCCAAGCATAAAAACATGAAATATTTTCTGGGGTGTAAGCTAACTTTTACCCTAGAAATGTCAAAGTTGAAGCATAAATCTGGGTTGTGTTGACATTTACAAGTTCAGCTTTGCAGAATCAGAATCAAAAGTAGTTAGGAAAGGAAAGTGAAAAAAGGAAAGAAGGAAAGTGGCTGAAAGTTGGTCTTAAAGAGAAGTAAGCATGAGGAATAAGGAAAATATTTATTAAAAAAATATATATTGTAAGTGTGAATATTAGCAAAAAGGAAAAAAAATAATTATAATCAAAATGTACAAAATTAAAAAAGTTTTAAAAAGTTAAATATAATTAATGGAGCTCCATTTTTCATTATTTTTAGACCAGTTTTAGCCAGTTTTTAACATTTTTTAGGCTTTTCAGTAAAATTAAACGTAACCAATATATTTCAGTCACAAAGAAACATAAATAAAACCATCCAGTGTAATTAGAGGCACTAAGTCAACACCACAAATATTCTAAGTAAAAACTTGTCATTTATCTTATTTCTAGAAAACAAAAGTCATATTTAGCTTGATTTAATTTAAGACCTGAATTTTTTTGTAATATGTAAAAATAAGAGTTTTTTATTCATTACAAACCATCTTTTTTGGGACTTTTTTGTTGACACTGGCTTAAATCAAAGTTAACAGGATTTTTTTCTCTTATCAGAAAGAAGTGAGGCAACAAAAACTTTCTGGGACTTGAGTTTTTTTACTTTGGATCTTTCCATAGAGAACGTGTAACCACTGTGATTTGCTTGAGGGATATATTTCTCAACAGTGTTTTGCATTGACCTTTTAACCCACAAGTGTCAGGATTTTTAAGTGCGAGATCTCCCAGTGTGGTAATCTTGCTTAGACACACAATCAGGGAGTCCTTGGGGATCTTGTATCTTTAAATGTCCTCAAGAATCTAAACACTGTTGTCCCAAAAAATGAGATTTTTGTACATAGGCAGAAAGTTTGTGTGTAATTGTCATTTATGAGCTTACTTTGTGTCCTGTTAGTTGAATGCTTACATGCAACATCAAAAATTGGCCCCTAATTGTTTCAGTCTTAGGGATCTTGGCTGTTTAAAAAGGATAAAACGAAATGTTATGAATATAACTTCTGTTCCCTGAAGGAGAGGAACGAGGTACAACACATATAGTATGGGATATCACGCCCCTGCGTGACCTGACTGAAGACACCTTTATTCACGCCTTTAAGGCAGATGATCTGTGGTGACGTCTGGGAGGCTCCGCCTGCACATATATACGTGTAACACCACAGTCATCCTTCAGTTCGATAGCCGCTCTTCACCGAGCTCTGCCGCGCAGCGGGGCAACCCAGTGTTGTACCTCGTTCCTCTCCTTCAGGGAACAGAAGTTATATTCATAACATTTCGTTCCCTTTCAGTCGATTCACTCGGTACAACACATATAGTATGGGACATATATACACGCCCCGCAGAGCAGCCACCGAACCGAAGTCAAACCTCCAAAACTTTTAGTGCATTGTAGACCCAGCAGAAAGGACAGCGTGAGCCACCGAAGGTGCTGTCACATCCAAACGGTAAAACCGAACAAAAGTGTGCGGTGATGACCAACTGGCTGCAGTGCAGATATCACTCACAGAAACCCCTTTAAACAAGGCCCAAGAGGCCGCCATTCCCCTGGTTGAATGTGCCCTCACACCTTGGGGCAACGGGAGACCCCTGCTGCCGTATGCTAAGGAGATAGCCTCCACAATCCAGTGGGAAAGCCGCTGCTTAGACAGCGCCCTGCCCTTGGCTGGATTAGCAAAACAGACAAACAACTGGTCACATAAACGCACACTCTGAGTGCGGTCTATGTAAGTGCGTAGTGCACGCACAGGGCACAAGGAATGCAACCTCCTCTGCTCCTCAGATGCAAATGGAGGGGGGCAGAAGCTCAGCAGTTCAAAACTCATAGAGCTATAGGCTGTGGGGATAATCTTAGGTAAATACGCCGCGTTTGGACGCAATGTAGCCTTAGATCCATCCGGAGTGAACTGGGTACAAGAGGGATGCACAGACAAAGCATGAAGGTCGCCCACTCGCTTTGCAGACGTCAAAGCAAGTAGCAGTGCAGTCTTGTATGAAAGAAATTTCATGTCTGCTGACTCAATAGGCTCAAATGGGGGTCCACCAAGAGCCTCAAGCACCAACCCTAAATCCCATGAGGGAACACTGGGTTTAAGAACAGGTCTTAGCCTGCGGACTCCCTTTAGGAAGCGCATAGCAAGAGGGTGAGCGCCTGGCGTCACACCATCAAAGCCAACATGGCATGCAGATATAGCCACCAAATAGACCTTAATTGTTGAGAAAGAGAGACCCTTATCCAGCAGGTCCTGAAGGAATGTTAAAACATCCACAATAGAACTCTGAAATGGGAGTACATTTCGGTCCTGACACCACTGCTCAAACGCCCGCCATTTATAGGCATATAGGCCCCTAGTAGATGATGCCCTTGCACTCTGGATTGTTGCCACCACATTTGGGGGCAGACCCTGAGCCATTAAGTTGGACCTTTCAACAGGTAAGCATGTAGTTTCCACAGTTCTGGGCGCGGGTGAATCACCTCTCCTCCCGCCTGGGAGAGGATGTCCCTGCAAAAAGGGAGCTGCCAGGGCCTCGCTACCAGCAGACTGATTATCTCTGCGTACCACGACTTCGCCGGCCAGCGAGGAGCCACCAGGATCAGGGAGAGCCCCTGCTGGCGCACCCTTTCCAGAATGGGCAGAATCATTTCCACTGGGGGAAAAGCATATAGCAGCGTGTTGGGCCATGGGTGAGCTAGCGCATCCATCCCCAGGGGAGCATTGCAGTCTGTTATGGAAAAGAACAGGGGGCAATGAGTATTTGCTCTGGAGGCAAAAAGATCTACTTCTGCCTTGCCGAAGCGGTCCCATATCTGAGCCACCACTAGTGGGTGCAATCTCCACTCTCTCACAAGAGGACCCCCCCTGGAGAGAAGGTCTGGTCCAAGGTTTAAGTGACCCGGAATATGTGTGGCTCTGAGGGACAGAAAATGAACACTGCACCATAGCAACAGATAGTGAGACAGTTTTAACAGGGGAAGAGAGCGTGTCCCTCCCTGCTTGTTTATGTAAGAAACCACGGTTGTGTTGTCCGTCCTGATCAGAACATGATGGCCTGTCAGAACGGGACGAAAGTGCTTCAGAGCTAAAAGGGTAGCTAGTAGCTCCAGGTAATTGATGTGGAGTTTGCATTGTGCTGGCGTCCACACACCTCTCACTGCTGCGCCCTCGCACAGAGCCCCCCAACCCCTCAGGGATGCGTCTGTGGACACCACCTTGCGAAAAGACACCCTCCCTATCGGAGATCCCTGTTGTAGAAAACCGGGTTCTCTCCACGGGAGAAGAGCTGACATGCAAGACTGAGTTATCGTCAGCCTCCTCTGGAGGTGACGCTGCGCGCACAGCCGGTGAGACTGAGTCCAGCGTTGAAACGCTCTCATTTTTAACAGTCCGAGCGGCACTACAGCGATCATAGATGCCATCATGCCTGTCAGCTGTAAAATCGTCCGGAAACACAGTTTGCGTCCCAACTGAAATTGTGCAAGGCAGCGGTGAAACGCAGCCACCCTGCGTTCTGACAGACGTGCTCGGCTTGAAACGGAGCATATTTCCAGCCCGAGAAATGATACCTGTTGACTCGGAGTCAGTGAACTTTTCTGTAAATTTACTGAAAAGCCCAGTGTTTGGATGTGCGATAGGGTCAATGACAGCTGAGCCGCTGCTCGTTCTCTGGAGCTCGCGATTAGCACCCAATCGTCCAGATAGGCTAAGATGCGAACACCTTTCTCCCGTAGCGGAGCTAATGCCGCCTCGACACATTTGGTGAATGTTCGGGGCGAGTGATAAGCCGAACGGCAGCACCAGGTATTCGTAGGCTATGCCCTCGAATGCAAACCTTAGAAACTGCCTGTGGTCCGGATGAATTGCTACGTGAAAGTAAGCATCTGTCAGATCGATAGTTGTAAACCAATCTCCCGGTCTGATCGCGCCCAGTAGCTGTCTGAGTGTTAGCATCTTGAACCTGTAGGTTCGTAGGTATTTGTTTAACACTCGCAAGTCTAGGATAGGACGGAGCCCTCCTCCTTTTTTCGGAACAACGAAATAGCGGCTGTACCAACCTTCGTTCGTTTCCGAAGCGGGAACAACTCGTATCGCTCTCTTGTTCAACAAGTTGTTTATTTCTTCCCTCAGCACTGCTGCTGCTTCCTCTGCTACAACTGTGTGTATTACAGAGTGAAAGCGAGGCGGCCGGACCCTGAACTGTAAGCGGTAGCCGATGGCAACAGTTCTCTCTACCAACGGTGAGACTGCGCATGCGCGCCACCGAGAGAGACGAACAGTCAGTCGACTGACCTCCAGTACTGTGGGGGAGGGGTTGTCGCCCCCTAGCGTGCCGGCTGGGAACGGCAACACTTTCTCGCCCAGACTTGATTGATTCATGATGTTTTGAGAACAAAACGAAACCTTTATTTGATTCAAAGAACGTACATTTGTGACATTCACACAGTGAACAACAGGCGCCATTATTGGGGCATGTGTATGTGAGGGGGGGTTGTGCTTGGGAGACTGTGTTAAGGGAGTGCAGCGCCTCTCGGGACCGGACCCCTGAACGAACTTTAAACGCGGCCTCTTTGGCGGCAGAAAATGAAGGGCGGCAGTGTCTCCGTGCTGCTGGCCCTCTCGAGTCGATCCCGAAGCTAGGATGACTGCTGCTTCTTCTTCCTGGGCGCCGAGTCCCTCCGGAAGCTCGGTGGCGGACCCTTGTTCCAAGCCGAAGGGCGTGGGTTCTGACCGGGTACATATCGCTTCACCGGCTGGGGCCCCAAGCTGGCGGGCGCTGCAGTCCTCTTAGGGGGAGGCGCTGGTGCCGTTTTGTGCGGATAACCCTGTTGTTTGGGCCTCGCATCACGCCTGGGGATGATGCTTCTCAAAGCTTCGGTTTGTTTTTTCCTCAGCTCAAACTTAGCTTGAATGTCGTCGAGGGACTGCCCAAACAAACCGCTGGCCGACACAGGCTCGTCCAGATAAACCGCTCTGTCCCTCTCCGGAACGTCGGAGAGAGTCAGCCACAGGTGCCTCTGCGCCACCACCGTGGAAGCCATGCCTCTACCGAGAGACAGCGCTGCACAGCGGGACACACGGAGGATGTAATCTGTGGCGACCCTAGCTTCATTGAGGAGAGGAGTAAGCGGACTGTCAGGAGGCATACGCGAGCCGAGTTCTGCCAGACACATAGCTTGATATGTCTGAAGCATAGTGACGGAGCTCAGTGCACGAGCCGTATTTGCCTGTGTCCTGTAAATTTTATCCAGCTGTGACGCTGAAAATCTACAGTGCTTGGATGGGAGCGTGATGGGGCCACCGACACCGTGATTCTGGGCCGGGGCCAGATAAGCTGCCAGGGACGCCTCCATAGGCGGAGGGTTCACCAATCCAGCTTTTTCAGCTCCATTTAGATCCAGAAACTGTCCACAACCGGGCACTGTGGCGCGGGTGGACAGCGGCTTGTTCCATGTCGAGGTTAGTTCCGCGACAAAATCCGGGAACATGGGCAAACTGTTCTTAACAGTCGTCGGTTCGGGTGGGAGAAAAAACCCTGTGAACCGCGACGGTTTTTGAGCTGGAGGAGGAGAGGGCCATTCTACCTCCAGTTTCTCAGCTGCACGGCGGTACAGTGAGAGGAAGGATGTGTCGTCCAGATCAACCGGCGCAGCAGCGGCGGCATACTGACCTGAAGACAACGGCTCCAGCTCATCTTCCGAAAAACCCTGCACGTCCAGGCCGATGTCCAGCACGTCATCGTCCTCCTGGTAACAAGCTAGCCCGGATAGCGGCTGGCCAGCGCCCTCGGAGGGGCCCGGCTCAAACCCAGCTGACCCGTCAGCACACTCCACATGGTCTGCCCAGCTTCCAACTGAGCCTTCGACCAGAAAGTCCTCACCACCGGACTCGGACGAAGCCGGGTCTCTGGACTCGGAAAGGAGGGGGTCGTGCAGCGCAACAGCGGTTTTTCCAAGAATTTTCTCCACAAACTTGACCCGCCTTCCCAGGGTTGAGCTCCGAAGCCGGTGACAGGACTCACACGACTCGGGCTCAGTCAACGCCCTCCTGGCGTGGACAATCCCCAGGCAAACGGGACAAGCCTCGTGAAGATCCTTCTCGTGAAGGGAGAAGCCGCACCCCTGAGGACAGGGGCGAACAGAAGACTTCGCCTTCACCTTCATGGGCTTAGAGCTCATAACGAGACTCAAAAGCTGAACGAAATTAGCGCTCCGCGGGTAGCCGTAGGCTAACACCAACATGGGCAGTTGAGCTAAAGTCGATCAAGCAGTAGCCAGAGACAAGACCAGGCTAATTTAGCAGCAGCTAGTTAGCCCGACTCGGTGTAGGTGTTCTCAGCGAGGTGAAGAGCGTAAGAACTGAAGGATGACTGTGGTGTTACACGTATATATGTGCAGGCGGAGCCTCCCAGACGTCACCACAGATCATCTGCCTTAAAGGCGTGAATAAAGGTGTCTTCAGTCAGGTCACGCAGGGGCGTGATATCCCATACTATATGTGTTGTACCGAGTGAATCGACTGAAAGGGAACTATCACTATTATTTACAGAGTTCTGTTTTCATTATTTACTATAAGCTGCAAACTTTTTCTACTTTTTCATAAAACCTGATGAGTAATTGTTCCATTAGTTCTTGGATTTATAGGGTAAACCTGGTAGTTGACGCTGAAATGATATCTTTGTTTGTAGACATAATAAATATGTCCTTTGCCCTTTTCTCCTCTAGATTACCTGACAGTGGCAGTGATAAGGAAAACTCCCATTCCCGCTATCTGACGTCGTCTCGTCGCCCCTTATCGCGTCATGCTGATGCTCCATCAGAACCGCCGAGCTCTGCCCCTCCTTCACAGCATAGGTTCGAATACGTAGAGTTGTCCCCCGTCCCTGTCTCATCTGGCTCTCTCCCATCTGGTCAGAGAGAGGCAGGGGAGGGTCAGGGGAGGGAGCACAGCCAGTGGCAGGAGGAGAGGAACACGAGCAGCCAGTGGGAGGCCGTGCTGTCCAGGAAAGGCACGAGCCGGGGAACAAACCCAAAGCTACGAGTGGAGGAGGAAATAGAGAAAAAGTGGGCTGAGTTTGAGCGCATGCCGTTAAAGGAGATGAGCTCACTGCCATCAGTGGGGTCACGGTCGACCAGCCAGTCAGCCAATGAGGCGCTGCAGAGGGAGGTAGTGCGTGGAGAAGATTTTCTAATTTGCAAATTAATGAAAATGCAAATTAACTCTTCATCCGTCCAGATGGAGTCAACTTTTCCTTTTTCTGCCTGTTAACTCAGAATTCTGTTTTTCTCACCTGCCTCTGATTCTCAGCAGTTTTTCCTCTCAGAAATTCAAAATTAAACTGTATAATGAGAACTCAAATGATGTTAGAGGAAATACTGCTGAAACTTTTGCTTTATTTGTGTGTGTTTTGGTGTGCACCTTCTGTTTGACCCTGATTAAGCTGATTTTATAACAAATTAAAGAAAATAAAAAGTAAATTCCCTGAACCTTGTCCGTCAGTGGGCTTTACCTTCTCCTCTCTCTGTTCTCAGGTGGCGTCACTGAGGCAACAGCTGGAGGAACTACAAGTGGGAGGGGGAGTGGGAGGGGGAGGTGGAGGAAGGGTAAGGGGCGGCTGTGGTACTGATGCTCCTTGCGGCCGCAGCCTGGCAGCGATGGAGCGTGCTCACCGACAGGCCCTGGAGGAGATGCAGAGGCAGCACGAGCGTCAGATCAGGGAGCTGGAGACGGAGAAAGAGAGGCTGCTGCTGGAGGAGACGCAGGACATCGCACAAGGTCAGGAAAGGGTCAGAGGTCAAAAAGAGTACACAAGTAGGATGCCTTTTTTTTTCCCTACTATAAGATGGAGCAAAATTGGAATAAAAACACCTTCTCAAGTTCATATTTTGGTTTTGAATTCCTTGAATTACAATTATGTCATTCATATCTTGGAGGAAATACTCTACTCTGCTGATTATACAATAAGTGGACACTGATATAAAGATTCTTCATCCATGACCTGGCCTATCCAGGTTAGAGATTAGTCTAAGAAAGAAAATCTTACTTTGACACAATGATATGTAGGTTAAGATCCCTAAAATATAACTTCCACAAATAATTCACGTACACGATGCAGTTAAGAAAAAAAACTGTCAAGTCACTTCACAGCTTTTTGTTTTCATCACATCGTCGGCATTAACTGTCTTGAACTTCTGCCAGCTGTGGTTATCAGTACGTCTCACAAGAGCGTCACAGAGCAAAATGTGTTTCAGGAAGTGACAATGTGTAAAGAGTTTTGCAAGATGAGTGTATAAGATGTGTAAAGTGTGACTAATCAGGTAAAATTCTTAAAACTTTATGTAAGTGGGTTCAGGTTACTGATTATTAGGTACTGAGAATTGGGTTTAATGTTTTAAGAACTGTGACATTTTCTTGGTTGTACCTTTTGAGTGTTGTCATCCTTCACAAGGAGGTGTTGTGTGTTTTTGTTTCAGTGATGGAGGCTTTGAAGAAGAAACACAAAGAGGAGCTGGAGAGAGAGGTGGAGAAAGTGAAGAGGCTGAGCTGCGGGACGCTAGATTCACAGACGTTACAAGCTCAGCAGAAGTAAGTGACTTTTAATCAGTTTAATTTTGTGTGCAAGGAAATACCCTGAGCACCAAGATACAGAGAGGCAGCACTTTGTCAGGCAGTGTCCCCGAGGTTTAGCAAAATTTGTTTAAAACAAAATGTACAAAAAGGAGACGCTGATGCTCTTCAAGCTGCCTCTATTGCTTTGACTATAAATCCTTTGTCATAACCTGGCACTCCCTCTTTGCCAGAGCAGTCTAATATTTGTATTTTGTTTGAGAAGCTCTCTCATGCCTCTAAAGGAGTTTTCTGTGAAATTAAAGGTAGATATTTTAGACCCCACAGCAGCCCATGGTTACATGTCTAGTTGAGGCCATTACCACAGCAGCCACAGGGTCCTGCACAGCACTTTAGGAATGTAGGAGAATTTGGTCATGGATTAGTTTTCCTTTGTAGACTTCAAAAGTCCTTGTGACGTAATGCTGTTTCAGTTGCTGCTACTAAAACCTGCATTTTACGGCTTATCTCCGCTGCCTGCTCAGGGTTTCTGCACTCTGCACGCCCTGCCATTTTTTTTTGCGGGTATTGGTCTCGAGCAGAAGAGCTGTTTGAAACCACAAGAGGAAATACTTGCCTCATGAAAACTGAACAAGAAAACACATTTGCACTTTATAACAGCATCCTGCTGAATGCATTAGCGATACCATGTGATGTTTTTATACCTACCTTTTTATAGATGCACAGGAGGAGGAGTTAGCTTTTGTTTCCTGAGCAGAATTTGAAACGCACTGTCATCCATCTGTAGGTTGATTACTTCCCAGCTGAATTTCAGAGATTGTTTAGTGTTATTTTCTGCATTTATACAATCTGCAGCAGCATGATTCTTTTGTTTATCCCTCGTTTTCTGCAGTAATCAGTGAGAACCCAACATGAAAACGGTTTTATTTTTCTTCCTGACAGGGCAGAATGTCAGGCGTTGCAGAGAGAGCTGGCTGGACTGTCAGAGCGATACTCTCAGAAGTGTCTGGACTTAAACCGAGCTGAGCAGAACAATGCGGAGAGAGAGAGGGAGATCAGCTGCAAGGAGAGAGATATGGAGCAGCTGAGGAAAGAGAATCAGGTGAGTTATCTGCAAGTGATGGTGTGCAGGAACTAAAACTAGAACTAAAAGGTTATCTTACCTGATGGTTGTATGCAGGTGTATTTCTGAATTTTAGTTCGACATTTTAAACAGTTCAAAAGGGGTCTGTAGTCGAGGTAAATAAAACTTATGATCCTCTGTCTGCAAATATATGCAAACCAGTTGGCAGTCTTCAAACTCTTGAGACGTTTATTTTCCTCTGCAGGATTTGAAAGCCCGTTTGGCCGAGGAAATCAGCCGTATGCGGTCCACAGATCAGGACTCTGAGAACAACAAAAGCCGGGCATCCTGTGAACCAGAGGTAAAAGCTCTTTATATGCCAATATGCACTTTCAGGTTTTATGGGCATGATACTGAAAGTGAACTGTGGTTTTCTGTTCTCTCAGACTGAAAGACACGCTACACTCAGTGAACTCTGCTCTTGGTTTTAAACATGAATGTGTCTTTTGTGGTAAAACAACAACAACAATATCAGCGGTGATTCACTGAATTCTGATGCACAAGAAGTTTGCCACCCTCTGAATGCTTCAAGTAAATCCAGGAATTGTATTGTGAAGTATGTTTTACATGTTTTAATTGGTACTAAAACACAGATATAAACTATTTTGAGGTATTTTGGTTTTAATTTCTTTAACACAAGAAAAGGTTTCTTATTAAGCAATAGTGTACTAATGATTGCACCTTTCATTGATAGTCAGAAAGGAAGATAACTGCCTCATAATTAATAATTAACCCATGCCCAAAGACGTTTGTAGTCTGTATAATGTAGATAAAACCAAATTTGGTGGTTCACAAATCATTTAAACCCCGTATTTCATTAAAAAAGTGCAAAGACAAGTCAGGATCTCAAATTTGAAAGAAGAAAAAAGAGGTAATGGATGTTTGGGTCAAGGTGACAGCAAGTGGAGCTGTGCTGGTCAAACACCACACTGCTGTATGAGCGAATGATGCAAAGAACAGCAGGTGACCAAAAGCCTAAATCATATGCAGCATGAATCACAATGACAGTGTTTGTCACAATTACAGTGTGTTTTTGCCTGACTGATGTGATAATTACATTGATTTAGAGTGATGAGAAGATGTTTCTTTTTGTGTCTTTTTTTTCTTTCATTTTGAAGCCAATGACAAACCACTCTGTTTTTCTCTCAGGTTCTTCTCAGGGTAAAAGAAAATGAGATCCAGTACTTGCACAAAGAAATCAGCTGCCTTAGGAATGAACTGCAGTTCCTTAATACGGTATGAGAATGTGTTTGTCTGTTTGTCGTACTATATATGTTTCACTATCCACTCTTCACAAGTTTATTAAAATTTTAAATGTTTGTGGGAATTTTTCCGATTTGTGCTGCTACCCTTTTTTGTTCTTATGAGTGAGTGTGACAAGCAGTAGATAAAGCACAAGGAAGTCTGACTGAGTACCACTCTTTGCTCTGTAGGAGAAGCGCCTGGCCTGTGAACGTTACACAGAGATGCAGGATGAGCTGAGCGGGATGAAAGGCCGGAGCGAGCGGGAGATCCAGAGTCTGAAAGAGCACCTGAGGCTGGCTATGGCTGCTCTACATGAGGGGCAAAAACTTGGTAACAGCCTGGACCACTGACAGTCTGCTGCTTATACCAAACAGGTGTGGACTGCTATAGCTGTCTCTATAGAGACCATAGAATGTGCATCTATTTTTTAGTAGTTCATCAGTTTTCTCCTTTTTCTCCCTGCAGGTGTGTTTGCACCATGTTGACTGAAACACAGGGGTCCAAAGGAAAGCTGAGGAGAGGATTCCAGAACTTTTCAGTTCTGCCTGCATGAGGACCATGATAGTGCCTTAGTTTTCAATCATTCTGCCAAGGAGCAGCATAGAGTAGGTATTAAGCTGGTTTCATAAGGGCCTGTGTCCACTAAAGACTTTTTAATTTTTTATATATAGGTTACACCCATGACCACTTTTCACTGGCATTTATTTTTGCTAGGTTACGAAGTTATCCTGCTGCACCTCTGCTTTCCATAAAAGTGACCATTAGATCTTTTATTAAATAGGAGACAGTTTTTAAGGGCCTATATCCATTATTAGTCATGAAACCTTTAACCTATATGTCTAATTGATATGCATTGATAATAAAAAGGACAATTATTCTGTCAAAATTAAAAATTTGTTTAATGATCAACTCCGTCATAACACTTTAACTGAAATGCTTCGTGCAAATGTTTAATAAAACTATAAACATCATAATGCCAATAATCTATCCACACTGTTATTGAATGTTAGGTTTCCTTCATATTGGTCAAAATTTTATACAGGAAGATTTGGGGTGTAACAACACATTTTATCCATGATATGCTACATATTTGGATACATTGTTAGCCGCATGATACAAAGAAGATATTGGCTTTTTTAAAATAGTAAAATACAACACAATACAATTTCTAGAAATGGATCCATTGATACTTTTTAACCAACATGTCAATGTGTATGGAACAAATACCTGAATATACTGGATAGCATGGTTTAGGTTTTAGCATTATTTATTATGAGCACAGGGTCCTTGTCATTTCTTCCACTCTATATTTTTACCAGTATGTCATCCACAACTTTGACTTGCAGAACAAAACCTTCTCACATTCCATTACAAATCATGACTGAAAGAGTTGAACATTGTGTCTGCTCATTGGTTGAGATGGCCACACCTTCAACTAGGGAAAGTGATAGCTTCACATTTGTCTTCAACTTATCGTACAGTGCAGGTATGCATTGTTTTGAGACGTGTAGACTGCATGGTATGTTGCATCTATCCTGGGAAACAGGATTTGAAACAGCACTGTGTGGTGGCAAATCTTACAGACAAATCTGACAATGGATGCTGTGACAGCTTTAGCCCAACATGTGAAAATGTTGGTGATGTCTGAGACTTTTTTCAGAGCTTAAAGCCCTTTTCAGGGTGCTAAGTACTAAAAAACCTAAACTACTTTGGTTATCTTTAAAACAGGTGCTGTCAATGCAAAAATGCCTTCAGTGGACATAGGCCCTTAAACAGGGCCACATGTATTATATAAAACTGCACTTTTCATTTTTTATATGAGCTCTGTATGAGTGCGCATTTGGTCTGGAAACTGGAAATTTGTTGAATGACTTTTTTTTTTTTTTTTTGGTGTTGTAGAGTTTTAAAAGTTCACAGTTTTTGTTGGTTAATTTTTCATTTCTCCTGTTTTGTGCCTGAAACATCAGAGGTCAACGGTTACATCAGAGCTACTGTCATTTCGGTTTATGTTGTACAGTTTATGAGTCATGTTTACTCTTTGAAAAGGGCACATTTTCTACAAACTGGGAGCTTTTCTTTACTGTAATTTTTTAACCTGGAAAACGCATGTGTAGTGTTACAAAATATATTGGGATTAATACAGGACAAGACAGCCTAAGTATCCCATTTCACGCAGGCTGAATTGAAAGTTGAGCTATGTTCATACAGAGGAAAATTCAGGCTCAACTTTCTTTGCGGATGTTTGTAAAAGCTGTCGAATGAATGTTGTCCCACATTACAGTCTTAATTTCAAGTTCCCGGTCTCCCTGATCATTATAGGCATTAGTTTACCACTTCAAAAACAGATGACAGATGTTGCTTTAATGAGCCAAATTTTTTATTGACAGTATGAATTGTGATAAAATGACTTATCTACCTGCCTTTTGAAAATATTTTCATATTTAATGTACTGTACTGTAGAGCCCGTATCATCTTTGTAAATTATAGACATTTTTGCAATCAATAAAACAAGTTCAACAAAAACCCTTATTGTTCATGTTCTTTTTTGAAGAGTGAGTGTGAAATGAAATGTAAAGTGCCTATAATAACCCTTCCTTCCCCTCATCCCCTACCCATCCCACCCCACCCCACCCTATGTTGGCCACAACATCACAAAGACAAGAAATTAGGACACACATACAAATATACAAATAAAGTAAATTAATAGATGAGATGTAATAAAAAATATGTATATATATAATATACACACATAAATGAAAAATAAATGAAATAAAATAAATAATCAAAAATAAATATATAAACGAAAGGGAGAATCTTAAGTAGCAGTATTGCCATCTTCAGGTATTAGGTCGAGGTTATTTGCATAGTCTACAAAAGGTTTCCATTTTTAACAAAACAATACTTTGGAAACAAGTGTCATAAAATGCATCATTAATAAATGTTTTTGTGCCCCTTTGGAGAAGCTTTATCAAATTAAAAACAATTAGCATCTTGCCAGGGTCTAATCTTATTAGGTGTTTCAGGTCAAATGTAACGAGTTTAATTGTAATGAGTTCAAAGTCTGAAAATTGGGAGTTTAAGGACTTTTTGTGAAATAAAATGAGTAACACCAGAATCAGAACTACTTTTCACCCCCCCAAACTGACCTCTTAAAGTGAGCCATCCTCGCCAGTAGGCGGCAGCGCAGCGTTCATCAGCTCTATGTTATTGATAGAGACACCCGGAAACACCAAACAACAGCAAACATGGCGTCGACAACGGCGGCCCGAGCTGCAGTTGGTGCTGCTAAAGTGGTTAAACCAATTTTCAGTCGGGACCTGGACGAAGCCAAGCGCAGGGTCCGGGAGCTGTACCGAGCCTGGTACCGAGAGGTCCCGAACACAGGTATGTGGTTCTGTTGTGGCTGTTTTAATGAAGAGAAGAGAAAGCGGCAACGTCAAGGTCGCGTGTGTGGAGGATCAGCTGAGAGAGCAGTCACCTCTTAGCTGCTGATCCTCACTGCATTAAATGTTTGATTTTTACAAGGTTTAACATGGAAGGCAGTTTTGGTATTTAACATACCAGTTTTAGTCATAAAAGTATACAAATATGTTTGTTTTTATTCAGCTCTCAACACTGTACTGTGTGACCTGCTTGTGTCATAGACGATGGTAAACATTATTTTATTCTCCTTTTAACAGAGCAGTTTTGTGTTTATACTTGGTTTTCATTTTAGACAAATTGCAAGGACAAGTTCTAACTAAACAAAACAGCTGTTATCAATTTTCTAACTCAGAACTGCTCAACTAACATCTACAAGGCAGGCATGAGTAGGACTGGGCAATATGGGAAAAAGTTTATCACGATATATTTTTTCATATCAGTCAATATCGATATATATCACGATATAACAAATGAAATTTAACATTTCTTATTGGTAGCATGTCTTTTGCAATACAATAAGTTACTGCAACTGTGAGGTATTTGTGTCTCCTTGGCATTTTGTCGTAAGGGGTTGCGCTAGAGACTGGTCGGCTGTTTCGGCTTCACAGGCGCCATGGGCTCCTTGCTCCGCTCGGGGTTTGTTACCTTTTGCGTTGCGCGTGCTCTGCGGTGTTGCACTGCCTCAGGTGGTGAAAAAGATTTGAGGTATTCCCCGACTTTGCGAGAACATGTACTCGACTTAATTTGCAGTGCACATCACTCTGCTTCATGTCAGTGTTGTTGACAATGTCAATATCTGTTGAGCTTTCATTTGCATTTCTGCCTGGGGTAGCAGTTTTTTTCTCACTGACAGCCTGTTACTATGCAGTTGTTTTCTACTTGGTTCTAATTCAGCACATGATTGGTTCAGCGTGAGGCAGACCAGGAGTAACTCTCCTTTTCATTGGCTTTTCGTATAGTCTACCAAAATATGGCAGAATGCTGACTATTGAAAAGCATATTGACCATGTCTTATACTAATGTTGACGGAAATCAATTTTCTATATATAATGTTATCGTTTTATTTCCCAGCCCTAGGCAGGAGTAACTTATATTTCCACTTGAATCAAAGCCGAATGCACAGAGAAAACCCACTCTGAATGTGTCTCCCTTACTGGTATTTGTGTCAGAAGTCTGTCATTTCCTCCACTGGCAGAGGTGAAAAGCACTCACTTAAGTTACTGTAACTGAGACACTTTTTGCAGTACTTGCACTTTTCTGAGTAGCTTTTAGAAAAAAGTACTTTCACGTTTTACATAGTGCCATTTCCTGTGTAAAAATCTGCCATCGACAAACAAACTTTCTTTAACAGCATGGTAGCAAGCTGATTTGATAATGACACTGCACACATTTTTATCTTATAACAAGTCAGTTTATCTCAATTCTTGTTTAAAAAAAAAAAAAACTCCTAAACAGGGATGGGCAGTGCTGGAAGTTTTGAAACCCTGATATACTCGAACTGAATTGGCTGGTGCTGGTATTAATACTGATATAGCTACACACTTTCTTCATTGTAAAGAACACAAAACTTCTCCTGTAATAGCGTTTTCCAGTATCACTGATCGTGGCAGTGGTATTTGTCTTAGAGCTAGACATAAAACAAGACTTGATTAACTATCAATGATAAATATATTATTTTCCAAATACAGACATTTAGTAACATATCTGCCTTTTTTTTTTTTTTGGACACTTCAAAATATCTCAATACAGATCACATATTTGCTTGTGTAAGCTGTCATTTTGACATAATTGCTTAAACAACATTTTTTCTATTTTTTCCATTAAAGAGGCATTCATTTGACTGTGAAAATAGAAAAAAAAATGTCTTTTTTAAATCACCCGCTCACTTGTGAAAAAGGATGGATGGATGGATGGATAGATAGATAGATAGATAGAGGCGGGAGCTTTAAGAACAAGTCTGTGAATTAACTCAGAGGTCAAGTTGTGAGTGTTTCTTTGTGTCTTTTTCCCCACAGTGGCCTCATTTCAGCTGGACATCAATGTTCGTCAGGGAAGAGACAAAGTGAGAGAGATGTTTAACAAGAACAAGCATGTCACTGATCCACGTGTGATCGACATGTTGGTCATCAAGGTAAAGGCTGCTCACTACACTGCACCATTATCACTTTTAGGGATGCATGATGTTTGATTCTGCAGAAATTCAATATAATAATACTTTCAAACTTATTTCTGCAGTTACCGATACTCAGTGCACTGAATGTGTAGGGGATCACAGCATCTAAAAATACCTATAGGATCAGCTTTAAAACATGAACAGCTGTGGAAGTTGCTGAAATGAATCCTGATATTTAGTATTTTTATATTTTAAATCAGGACAGATTATCTCTCACCTCTCTTGAGCTCCCGCCTTTGATTACCTGCAGCACCTGACACATGTACAGCAAGAAAGACAGAGCGATAGTGGTTCTGGCGTCAGCTCTTATTTTTTCAAATCTGTCAGAAACTCTTGGTGCTACTGGTTGACCGTTACTTAAATGCAATTCAAAGTGTTAAGGGAGCGTTATTTTGTTACTTCATTCAAGTGACATAAACGGTTACTATGTGCTCACAAAGATGAGTTACACCCATGACACTGTCAGCAGAATCTTGAAGTCTGTTGATGCTGATATACAACCTTTAAAGCTTTTGTTAGTGACATTTTGTTGATCCAATCATGGATCAGCCTCTGGAACTGCAGAGTACCTAATCTCTGTGTCTGTAGACCCATCGTCCTATCACAGTTGAGTGAAAGCTGTTTCTACTTCTTTTGAGCTTTGTTGTTCTGTATTTTATGTTTTTTTCTTTTTTTTTTTTTGCCTCCAGGGGAAAATGGAGCTCCAGGAAACAATCCATATCTGGAAGCAGAAGACTCATATTATGCGCTATTTCCACGAGACTGAAGAAGCTCGTCCCACCGACTTCTTGTCCAAATTCTACCGGGGCCACGACCCATGAATTCTTGAACTGTGTAGCTGTCTGCTGACCTCTGACCCCTCTTTGCTTGTGTCTAGTGTGACAGATGTTCCCCTCTACTGTAAATATACACTCAATACATACATACCTGCTCTTTGGTCTTTCATTTAAAATCTTTGATTATGTGGGGTTATTTTTAAGGAATAGCCAAACCAAATACAACCAAAAACTTAATCTGCTAGCAGACCTCATAATGAAGGGTGAAAAGTTTTGGGTTGACTGTTCCTTTATAAGGTTCTGGAGAAACTACTGAGGGGTATTTCAAGAACCTGCCAAACCAAAGAAGTTTAATGCACTGCTTGAATGTGATTCATGTAGTGTCCTTGTGTGACTCTATGTTTATTTGTTATAAGAACCCAAATGCCACAAGCAGCATGTGTTATAATTCATATATTCTTCCCTTTTATTTGGACAAAAATAGTGCATGCAGATACCGTACGATATGTTCAGCTTTGGACAGCCCTATCATAAAGATTACAGCAAAAAACCCTGAACCCAGTGTGGACAGAAGGCGACTTGAACACAGCAGAGGGGATAACAGGAAGGCATTTATGTGCTTGCAGGCTCACACACTCATCCCGGGGATAGTGACTGTCACGGCCGGGCTGTAACAGTGACTGAGAAAGCTGACCTGAGGGGCGAGAAAAAGAGAGTTTTAAGTCCCATATTTGATCAAGTATACCTTCTTTTATTGAAGTTATCATTCTTGACACACAGAAAATGTTAACATTCAAAAATAATAAAGTATGGACAAATAAGGAGAGAGGAAATTCAAAATGTTTGAATCATAAAAAAATCTACATAACAAGGTAGTGTATAAATAGAGTCATAGTAAGATAGAATTTCCAATGAAGAGGTGATTATATTCCTGAGATAAGATGATGTATGTCACAAATATGTAAACATATAAATATATCGTGAGATTAAAAGTCTTAAATATCAGATCAAAAGTCAAGTTTGAGCACTGTCATAAATATTAGACAGTAAATCAATGAGGTAAAAAAATAAATTATGAGATTTATTATCAATATTAGATTAAAAAAAAAAAGTTACCCAAATTGTGATTGAAAAACAAAACAAAAAAAACAAATGTGATAAAGTTTGACTTAATGAGAGAAAGTGATACCAAACAGTCAAAACCAGGGAAGAGCCAGATGAATATATAGGAAAGCAAGACAGTTAAATAAAGAAGCTTGACTTTGAGAAAATCAATCATGATTTTCAGGTAAACCAAGATGCATGTAATGGGTTAATAGTCGTATATGACATAAGAAGTCAGAATTTTGAGATATTTATTGTTTTGAGAATAACAAGTAAATATGAACTGACACTTCATTAATGAAATGATAATTATTTCTTGCCTTCTTGATATTTTTTAGTAAATTGGACCTTTTCACAAAATTAATCCCTTGGATAATATGATTATTGTTTGAAAACTGACTTATCTCAGGATGCGAACTCAATGTACTGTATAATTTTGATTTCATAAAGGGCATGTCTTTTTTTCTTACTGCCAAGTGGCTTTTGTTGCTTTAGGCTTCTTTATACGGTGGCTAAGAACCGCCAATGCTTTTTTTTTTGCATTGCATTGCTACTTTTTTCCCGTTGTGGCTTTTTATTTTTTTATCTGCACTGTTTCTTTTTTTTTCATTTGCAGCGGGCTTCGGTTTCTTTTTTGCATCAGTAACTTCCATTGTAACTTCTTTTCTTTCTTTTTTTTTTTTTTTTGCAGCAGAGGTGGTTCTCAGCCACCATATATTTATGCAGGTGTAGTTTTCTAAACACGTTATATGGTATATACTGTATTCCCCTGTAGTTGACAGCTCTTGCTCCTCCTTCCCCTTCACCCTAAACATGCACATGCAACCATTCATGTCCTCGTGTGTGTACGGGTGTGCACTCTGCCAGATTCCCAGTGAAGCCCTGGATTCCAGCAGGTGTTTGATACCTGAAAACCAGGAAGTGTGCCGATCCCTTATCAGTCATCATCGTCATCATCCTCCGGGACGAAGATGTCGTGCTCCTCCAGCAGTGCCGCAAAGCTCTTGCTGATTTGAGTCCCCACATACAAGAAGGGAACCACTACCAGAGCGATCCGGATCAGGCCGAAGGAGGTCTGCTCCCCGGTGTCACACAGAAACATCTTAAGTTAGTTCATGTCAGGTAGTGTCTCTTATGTAACAAAGACAAGCTGACAGAGACTTTACACAGGGTTTTTAAACGAGGCTCCAACATTTCACCCCCTTCCTTCAGTCGATTACTACACTTTTCTACCCTGACCCTCCTCCTTCACGTCCGCTCTCCTGTTTCTTTTCCCAAACCCGACCGGTCTTTACACACGCTACACCACCGACCCTTCATATCAGCACTCACCTTCTTCGGTTTGGGCAGAATACTCCCGGACGACGAGGTCACGGCTGTCCGGCTCGGTGTGACCGTCCTCCCCGGACCGTAGGAGAGGGTCACCGGGGGTCCGCGGACGCTTCTGAAGGCTGACAGCCTGGCCAAGCGTCCGAGGGCCGACGCCATGTTGACAGCGGTTGATGCGGTAGCTATGCGGAAAACAGCAGATCTTTCTGTAGCTATGTGGAGCCGCAACAGCGCCACCTGCTGCTACTGTCGCTGTCACACGATGTGATTTTAAGATTTGTTTGTACAACTCTTAAATAAGCAGAACACAGCTTCTTTTTACCACGAGACTGACTAAAATCACGACAGTCCCCACAGTTCCCCAAGTTGTTATTTGATTATTGTGTTTTGTATTTTAATTCTTAAAAAAAGTCGTGAAAATATTGGCTTTACTGTAAAGTGACACTTTTCTGTCAATACTTACTTTCATTGTGTCTATTTTCTAATATCTTGCTCTAACTCAGTGTCCATGACTTTCTATTTTGTTATCTTTATCTGCAAATCAAGACTATCTTTCTCAAGATAGAGATTAACACATATTTTGGACTTAAAGGGATGTTCCGGTGTAAAATTAATTTAGGGTCAAACACACCATAAAACCGAGGTAGAAACCCCCTTGAGAGATGAATGTTGCCGACCACTTGCTAGCAATACACAGAGGTCTGAGGAGCCATAAACAAACCTCAACCAAAGCGCCACTCTATAGCCACAAAATAATGCTTAGAACAGCACCTATCATCAATGGTCCAGATAAGGTCCTAGCCACAGCACTAGCCACCATAAATCTTTGTAACTTGTAACCTAATTTCATAAGCAAAGACACTAAATACAACTCACCTACTCTCTTCCAGCATCCGCTTGTTTGTAGCCGGACCTCAGTCCAGTCCATTACAGACTGCAGTGGGGTGACGCAGCTCAAGGAAAAACATTTATGATAATGCCTTCATGGAAATGCAATCAGACCAAGGCGCTAAGGCAGAAGAACTACCGCATCTGCAGTGCAAAATGATTAATATGATGATTATTACTTCAAGGAAATGATAAAGTAATGATCATAAATGTTCTTCCTTGAGCTGCGTCACCCCCCAGCAGGCCATAATGGACTGGCCTGAGGTCTTGCTACAAACAAGTGGCTGCTGGAAGAAAGTAGGTGAGTTGTATTCAGTCTCTTTGCTAAAGAAAGATTTTTGGTGGCTAGGACCCTATATGAACTGTTGATGAAGTTAGGTACTGTTCTGAGCATTATTTGTGGCTATAGAGCGGCGTTTTGGTTGAGGTTAATTTATGGCTCTCCAGACCTCTGTGTGTTGCTATTGTGTGGTCGTTACTACAGTTGGTATAACTAGAGAAGCAAGCGGTTGGCAACATTCATCTCTCGAGGGAGTGTCTAACTTGGTGTTACTGTGTGTTTGATTCTAAATGAGTTTTACACCAGAATATCCCTTTAAAATGTCATAATGAACAGTTAAATTTTTACATTTTCAATTTTTTAAATATTTTTTAACCCATAAAACTATCTGCCCAACACCCCTGAAGATCTCAAAGGTGACAATTGTATCATTTGCGATCAAATGCCATTATTTTAAAGTAATGTCCTTTTTTAATTTTGCGAACACTATAATGTTACCAGCATTACACTGAGAACTGGTAGCATATGTGCTCCCTGCTTGACAGAGCGGAGGGGTGCGCCCCATGTTGTGTATTGATTAAGTAGTGAACTCTGCTTAAGGATGTTCAAGTTTTTAATTATTCATTCATTGTGTAAGTGTTATTTCTCCATGTGTAATGTTTGACCATTGTAAATATATAAAATTGATACTATGGATTTCATGAAGTAATTTAGAAGTGCTAAAACCAACAGTAATGACTTTTTATGGCTTACAAAAGAAAACAAGACCATAAAAAACTTTTTGAAGAAACTAAATAATTTTTCAAACAGCAACCGCTGCAAGAAGCACAGTAAAGGATGACCCCCCCCTTTTCAAAACCTAATAATTTTGATGACAGGTTCATTTGATTGTTAAAAACGGAAAGATAATTTATTATTTTTGTTTGTCAGAAACACAACTTGCCCATGAAAAGCAGAAAAATATGTTTGTCCACAGGGGGCACCAAAAGCAACACAAACAGAAAGTTCCTCACAGGACCTTTAATGTGGATTTTTAAAGTCATTTATTCAGCTTTTCACTTTTAGATTTTTACCTTAAACTCTTGTTCTCTACTCTTTTAAGGTCCTGTGAGGCACTTTGGGTCTGCGTCAATTTTTGCACCCCTAGTGGATGGAGCGGTCTTTGCTTATCTTGTCCACAGCATGCTCAAATAGTTTGTCCTGACAGTTAAATCTTATCCTGCTGACTTTGACTTTATAATGCTTTGTTATATTATATAATACTCTACAAGGGAATTGTAAAAACAGGGCTTGTTCTTCAGCTGCCCAACTGACAACTTCCCTCTCTAACAGAGTTGCAGGCATTAAAATTACAGTACAAAAATTGTCAATCCCATTGTTGATGGCTTTGTTTGTTTTTGTATAAAATTTAAAGGCACCAATAAATTTCAGCTTATTTCTTGGATGTCTAAAAATTCTCACAAGAGCTTTAATAAGGGCTTTCTTTTGGGCATTTGTAGTATTGTTGAATCCCACAATTGTGACCTTTTAAAAACATAATTAAGACATGATATGACTGTTTTATTAGTCATTTTTGCTTGTTTTTCTTTCGCGTCTTTAAAACACAAAAAGATAAAAGATTAAAATAAACACATGATGCAGTATGGATTAATTTACATACTTCCTCTTGCAGTTTACATTTCAATTCCATAACCTTGAGCGGCCACATAGAAAAAACTGTGATTGACTATATATACATAAAACTTGACAACATAAAGCATCAGATCAAATCAATAAATACTGTACAGCATCAAATATTTACATACTTTCTATACTTCTAGATATGAGGAGCAGAAAAACTGTGTTTTTCTTTATGTGAGTGAGAGATGATACCACATGAGAATACTGGCCTTAGAGGAGTTATGGGAATGATGAACAATGTAAACGTACCAGTATGTACATGCGCTTTCAGCAGTGTTATTATTGTGCTTCACTGTCAGTTTTAAACTTCAGTGTAAAGTACCTTTTCTGCCATCAAGTTCAAATAATCGCAAACATTGTGTGAAACTTGTAAGTTGTTCTCAAATGCGAGTTAAATAACTTAAATAACATAAACTAAAACAATATAAATAATATCTCTACCTACATATTATCTTTTTACAGAAATAGCATTTTCCCCTTCAGTAACAGATTCAAATCAAACAGAGTGAACCGAACAGGCTGTTTACAGCTCAGACTGAATCATCAGTGTCTCATTAGTGCAGAGAAAACACCCACTTGAGTCCACCTCTACCTCACAGGGGTCCTTCCAGTTGTACCATAGTAGCAGCGATGGCTTCATCACTAAACAAAACAGCACAGACATTATCATTATCCAGATTACTCACATTAAACCTTTTGAAAAATCACCCTTTACATGACCTGACTTGACTGTCTGATTAAGACATGAGTTTTTCTTACCTGCTGTTTAAAAGTCAGACGTCTGAAGAACTTGTTGAGCTCGTATGTGCCAGGTTTGGCAGGTTCCCCTGGCTTGTTGCTCTCCTCTAATCTGACGATTTTCCCCTTGGTGATGGCGGTTCTGAGGCTCATGCTCTTGACAATCTGAGTGTGGGACTCTGAGCCAGGTGTGGGGCGGAGGAGGACAATGATGTAGTAAGCGTCTTTCTGGTGCTCATGGTAACTCACTGTCAGAGGAGAGGGAATAATTATTGGGCTAGTTTTTTTATTTCTTTGACAAACAGAAGCATAATGTTGTGATGCAAACTAATATATTCTACTTAATAAAACTCAAAGGTTTTTTTAAATCCAGTTCCTAAATGCTGGAGACCCTAAAGATAATAACTTTTTATAATAAATATATATTTTTTAGCACTTTTAAAAACAGAAGTTTACAAAGTGCCTTGACATATAGTCATAAAGCACATGGAAAAAGACAGATAAAAACAACAAGCTCAGTTAAAACAGAATTGAAGGCCATTTTCATATGTCATAGGGAACCCAGACAAGACAAGAACCATGCAACATAAAATGAGACCATGAGAACCAAAATAAAAACATAAAATAGTTTTTAAAAATGCAGTTAAAAGGGGGATTGAAAGCAGAAAACAAGATAGTAAAAATAAAAGATATCAATAATGATAATAAAGTAATAACAAGTAATACTGATAATACTAGTAATGATAAAATAGAGCAACAGAAATGAGCAAGATCACCGGATTTTAAGTTCTGATCTCGAGTTTATGAGTTAAAAGAGACCAACATTTATGACTCAAACTGTAATTTTCTTTTCTAAAGCAACATCTTTTCACTTTCACCTGCTGAGGTGACTGCTTTGTCTGTGGTGCTGGCAAGCTCAAGGAGGATTGTGGGATATGCAGGATGCAGTAGGAACAATTTCCTGATGAGAGGCTGAGCTGCACTCGTACCTGGTGCCACCTGCAGTCAGTGTGAAGAGGTTTTAGTCACATTAACAGAGTATTGCTTCACATCAAACCCCTAGACAATAACTTCAAATCATTTTATATACAACTATTATACACAGAGCAACACTGATCCACCTCGGTGATGTTCTTGCTCTATTCATCAGACTTACAGTCGTCTTTGTCACATTCCTTTGTGCTATGATTGGTTCACTGGCCCAGAAGAGAAAAGCCGATTGGCCGGTCGAAGTCGTGATGGCTGAAGATTCTAACTTAAGATCGGGACACACAAACTCAGCCGACCAGAGGAGCTGCCCCTTAGCCCCGTCAACTATCTGAGCCTGAGAGACAGAGGGGAGGGAGAAACTGGCACAATTAAATGAAGTCAGAGCTAACTTAGAGACACAGTGCACCCTCCCAATGTGTCCGCAATCCGTTTTCATTTTGCATCAAGTTAAAACAGCTCAAACAAGAACAAAAGTGAGTTTTGGCTGTTACAGTGCAGCATGAGCTCTACATGGTTGAAAATGTGCACAAATAGACAGTTTGTTTCACCTGCATGGTGCCATTAGCTGCATGTTGAATGAAAAGATCAAGCACTTTGTCATCGTTGAAGTATCCTGGGACCGGTTGACTGTAACAAGCAAAGAAACAGATCAAGAAAATGGCCCAAGATCTACCGAACTGTTCAAATGCTACAAAAATGTTTTGATCTTGATGTTCATTTGACATGACCTGAAATAATATTTGTCTAGTTTGCAGTTACAGATAGTGACACAATATTACGCAAGGATTTCTGTACCAGTGGAGCTCAGCTGAGTTGAAGGTCCATTCCTTGCGTACGTCCCTCTGTCTGAGCACAGACAGTTTGGTCGAGCCGTACACCAGCACCCAGTCACTCTTCCTGGAGTTGAGGTTTGTAGCTGTGTCCAAGCTGTTCTGGTTGTTGTCCAAACCAGCCACGAGGGGAAGCAAGAACTCTGCCCTCTCAGCTCCTCTGAAAGAAAAAAACACGGATGAGATAACCGCCTTTTTTTAGGAATTCACACCTTAGATGTCCTGAAAAATCTGAGGAGGAAACAGGCATTTCGTAACAGGATCTGTATGTTAATCTCTTTATTTGTTTGTTTGTTTCATTGTTTCTCAGTGGAGTTTTACAGAGAGTCCATGCTCCCGTATGTAGCTCGCACTAACGCTGATGAAATCTGTGAGGACGTAGATTGATGATTAAAGCTGGTCAACATCAAAACATAAGACCAAAATAAATGTTTAAGTGCAAAAACATTTCACAAAATACAAAGACGAACCACAAAAGACGATAGTATCTATTCCTTTTTGTGAAAAAGTTCTATGCTGGATGAGGTTCCATGTTATTTGCACAGAGAGGGAGATGGTTCAATCATATCATAATAGTCACTGGAGACACAAAGTGTGAATATTGTACTCAGAGTTGTCCACGAATGATCAGATCACCCACATCATAAGAACCTCAAATGTACCTGTAAATGTTTATAAGGGAGGAGTTGGTCTTTTTCAGTCCTTCCCAGCCTGTATCCTTCCTTCTTAGCGCCTGAGTTAGGGGCATCTTACCAGTGGCTTTAATGTAGATATCGCGCACAGAGATCGCCTCTACATTTCCTGATGGAAAAAAGACAGTGATGCTAAGTTTTATTAAACCACAGCGACAGTTTCACCTCCTCTGTTCCTCAACCTTTAGAGCTGCTGCAAAACTTACACTGCCTGTCCAAATACACGTAGTGATTGCAGAGAGTTCTTTTACCTAGTCCAAAGAGGATGTAGTATGCCCCCTGTGGGGTCTCATGCAGCAGAGGACCAATCAGGAGTCCTTGTCCCGTCAGATTATAAGGAACAGGATGTCCGAGCTTTGCCCCCGTCAGCCCAGACATGAGAGTCAGAGAGACATCTGAAGCCTGAAACACAAAATATCAATTTGAAATCACCAGTTCTAGAGAAATGTTAGAAGAAGGTAAATTCACAATTGTGTCCACGATGAGATGATGGATGTTGTCGCCTCTTTACCTCGTCTGCAGGCAGGGTGGCTATCAGCAGATCTGGGACTGAATCGTACTGGAGGTCTGGAAGTAACACGGCCTGGGATACGATGTTCTTCAGCGAGACTGACCACAAGTTGTCCCCTAAATGGATGAAATAACATCTCATCAAAGATCATGACTCTATTTTGAAGAAAGAAACTGGGAAGGGAGCAGGAAACCACGTCATTTTGGCTGCTCAATTTGAGGGCTGCAACCTCTGAAGATGAGGTGTAGGATTCAACTACTGAGCTAAAACCTGCACCCTCAAAAAAGACCTGACTGTGACCTGATATGAAAACTACGGCTGGATTATCACTATTAGCTTGATTTTAACTTAAATCAAGAATTGAATTTGTTGTATTTCTCACCTGTAGTGCCATTGACCGCCATGACGACTGATTTGCCCATGATGATGACCACAGGTGACGTCTGGGTGCCGAACTGCAGTCCACACTGGATGTAGTTCACATTCTCATGCATAACTTTCCTCCACAGCACCTTACCGCTGACTGAAGACAGGGCCACTGCGCTGAAAACTGATTTCACAAGAACAGAAACACATTATGTGAAGTAGAGCCTGACGAAAGCGATCATTGGGCTGAAATGGGCCCACAGATATATCATACATTTACCAATATACGCGGATATGAAGATCAGTGATGGGCAAGATACTTGTAAATAAACTGAGCTAAGCTGCTAGGTACTCTACATTAGACTTAGGTTTACTTCAACAGCAACAGCAACATGGCAAAGATAGCTCAACACTGCAAAGCTATTTTCATATAGTGTATTTCTTCAACATGGTTTCATTTATCATTATTATCATTATTATTAGTAGTAATAGTAGTAGCAGTAGTAGTGGTATACTGCTCTGGTCTGTTAAATTCAAAGACAAGTCTATCTTCATGTTCTAAATTTTTAGAAATAGTATTTTGAGAGTACCGTCTCCGATGTGTCTCTCTTCATGACAGACAGAAATAACAAGTGAGACCAGAACAAAGCATCCCAACTTTGTTAAGGGAAACTGTAGCTCTTGTGCATGCTACTGCTCTAAATGTTCAAAAAACTGACAAGCCTCTAAAAAGCTACTAGGTTCAGAAAACAGTGAAGCTACCATCAAACTACTGAGAAATGCAGTTAAACGACTAATGCTGTTATCTGCAAGACCATTACTGCACTGATAAATACCTTTATGGTTCATTTCATGGAGACAGCAATGTTTTTACAAGAGCTGCTGCTCAACAGTATAAAACTGTGTCATCAGCATAGAAATTAAATGCAGCATCTAACAGAGTTTGGCCCAGATCATTCAGATAAATCATAAACAAAAGGGGGCCTAATACAGAGCTCTGCGGCACACCTTTATGGACAGCTATAATACCAAAACATAGACCATCATGCCTAATGCACTGAGGCTGGTCCTTAAGATAATACAAAAACCAAGAAACTAAATTAATACAAGTTAATTTGTGTTGGAGGATGACATCCTTGGTGTTTCTGCTTAATTATGATCAAAATGGATGAACAATCTAAAGAAGGTCTACTTGAAGCATAAACGATTGATATAAAACCACCATTAAGGTACTCTGTGGCCTTCTTCGCTAAAAACCTGGACCCCGTTAGTCTTCACAATCCAACATCAGTCAGACTCTTGTATGAATCAATAGAATAGTAAAACGTCAAGCCTTTGCAGGAAATTTATCACATACTTTTGTTTCCTTGGGTGGGATGGGTGTCATTGTTACATTCAGTGACGCCCAGAAACACATCCTCCAGTGAATCCCCATCAACATCCCACAGTGCAAGTGGAGGTGGGTTATCACCTGAAGAGAGAAAAGAAACAGAAGAAAACAAAATGACCTCCGCCTATCAGAGTACGCCTCCTCAGCGTTTGCCTGAAGCTCATAAATCCATCAGGTGATCTGAGGAGGATCAGACGGGCTGAGTTCACAGTGGTAGGAGAAAACAGAATGAGAAATTAAGCATCAAAACCTGAACAATTAGATTTGCTGCTAAAGTTTTCTTCAGAGTTTGTGATTGTAAAGTTTGTGACTGATGTGTCTCTGTAGGACGTTCATGCTGAAACAGGTCCTGTTGCAGGCAGAGTGATACTCAAAATCCTGCATAATTACAGCTGACTAATTAATGGGTGAGCCAGTCTCGTCTCGCCTCAAAGACTCCTCAGTAAGTCTCAGTAACAGGGGAACTTTCAGCTCATTTTTTTGCATCATATTTTGAGGACAATACACTTAAATCATAAACTCTCATATACTGTAAGTCTTGGGAGGGTGTTAGTTTTAAACTCTGACCGTGAAGTCTGTAAAAGAAAAAGTTACATTGGTTTTTACCCCTGCCCATCGCTCTCTCCCACTGCAGCTTCTTCTCCAGCTCCCCCTTCCGGCAGGGAATCAGAAACGCACACAGCAGCACTAGCAGAGTGGCGCAAACCAGAGGCACCAGGAAAAACGCAGTCCGGACAGCATGCTTCATCCTCATCCTCTTTTCTTCTGCCTCGGTACTATGAACTCCCATCCCAGAACCTCCCCCTGACCCCCCTCTGTCGTCCCCGGCCCTTTCCCTTCCCGAGTCTCTCTGGCTCCAGTACTGCACGCCTTTCATGTCATCTCTGTCCTGCCTGGATTTGTTTGGCAGTCGCTCCCTCCATTCATCCTCCTCTTCGTCCTCGTCCTCCTGAGCTTCATCCTCGGCCCCCACCAGCCGTCCAGATCTGCTGCCCCGCAGTTTGGAGGAGCCAGCGCCAAGGCAGCTGTCCCTGCCAAGGCCATTTCTGGGGTAGTTGAGCACGAGGTCATCCTCTTCACTCTCATCCTCGCTGTCTGCTTGGGTGAGAGGGTCGTACTCTCCAAGCTCGGAGCCCTTCTTCCCTGTAGAGACACAGAGGCTGTTGTTTAAGGTCACATGTCCTGTTTTCACACTAAGATAGAGTGTAATAGTGAAAAAAGTGGCACTTGTATCATACACTACTGCTAAATAATCAATAAACATAAATTATATTCTTCTGTATTTTCTCCTCCTAAGAACAATTAGATCGGAGCAGCTTGTAAAAAGGGACATAAAAATTAGAACAAAGACTGTTATATATATTTTTAATTTGGTAGCATTCCCATGTTTCAAAACAGTAGGGACAGAGGCAATGCATAATGAAAAAGCAGTGCTTTTCAAATGGACTCAAAGAAAAATAAAGAAAAAACTGATTAGGTTAATTTGCAACACTCTCAGATGTAAAGATGCAGCAAGGTTCATTGCTCTGTGAGAGAATGCGTGAGCAAATATTTCAGCAATTGCAGAATAAAATTTGTGGGATTCATAAATGTTCTTCCTTGAGCTGAGTCCCCCCCCCGCAGCAGTCCGTAACAGACTGGCTCGAGGTCTTGCTACAAACAAGCGGCTGCTGGAAGAGAGTAGGTGAGTTGTGTTTAGTCTCTTTGCTAAAGAAATTAGGCAAAGTTAAAAAAAAAATGTTCGGTGACTAGTGCTAAGGCTGGGACCCTATATGTACTGTTGATGAAGTTAGGTGCTGTTCTGATCATTATTTGTGGTTATAGAGTGGCGTTTTGGTTTAGGTTTGTGTTTGGCTCCTCAGACCGCTGTGTATTGCTATCGTGTGGTCGTTACTCAAGTTGGTATAACTAGAGAAGCAAGTGGTCGGCAACATCAATCTCTCGAGGGGGTGTCTTACTCTGTGTTACTTTGTGTTTGACCCGAAATTAATCTTACGCAGGAATATCTCTTTAAGATGGGTTGAGGCAAAGTGGAAAGCTGTGATGTATTCTAAAGAATCTAACTAGCAACTAAAATCTTGAATAAAATACATAATAATTGCCTTCAGGTCCCTTTTTTTTTGGTTGAGCTTGTTGTAGTTTTTGCATTTGTGCTCTGTTTTCCCTTCTGTTTTTCCATTGTAATGCTGACTGCCATAAACTTCTATTATAATCTAGTTTTACAGTACATTTCTCTCTAGCTATCTTCTGTTTTTATTTACACTTTACTCAGCTTGCTTACATATCTGGTACACATGTTCCCATATCTTTAATTCAAATGTAAGTTTTTGTAAGAAGAAGTACTACTGTATAAAATTTTTTTCACCCATTATGCATCTCTGGTCGTTGTTCAGCACCTAAAACACCTGGACAAGTGTCTCATATGTGCACCCCTGCTTTGTCATACACATTCAATACTCAATCTTATTCTCAAATGTTGCAAACATTACAAAAAAATGAAAGTGTTGTGTGCACCTTAAAACAAAGACAAATGCCTTTGTATGTTTTTCAAATGGTAAAAATGTCCTGTTTGTCGATACACAGTGATTTCTTGCGTTATTTTCGATCTTTAGCTCCTTCTTGTTTACCCTCCATCATGTTGAATTGTGTTACCGTTAGCTAGCAGTTAGCTCAGAGGGAGCGACCAGCAGAGACGTTTAGATAGACATCACTCAACTGTACTCTTTAAACAGACAACACAGTCTGTTCAATCTGTGTATTCCCTAATTTAATTTGATAAGGAACAATTAATGTCAATGAGTAACAAATCTGAGCATCAAATGAATCAACAACACATGAGTAACGCAGCAGAGAGAGAGGATACTTATAGAGAAGCCACCTTTTACTAATGGTTAATTAAGCAACATTCATCTTTTGTTACAGATGTTTGTTTACTGTGCCGCTAAAATACGAGCAGAGCATCTTACCGGGCAGTTTAAGGGCACGGGACAGAGCTGCAGCCATTTCTCCTCTAACGGATCCCAGAATCAGAGACGTGAGGCTGCGGTGATGAGCAGCTCCAGGGCACCAAGCAGGCAGGTTGGAGCTTCGCCTGCCCCGGTGCATCCTGGGACATGGAGTTTTTTTTATGGCTGCAGTTTCAACCTTATGCTATTCAACAGTTTTCGACTTAAATGTATACATTTATTTACACTTCCTTTTGTTGGTTTTTAAAATGGTGACTTTGTACAAACATCTCTTTGGAGATCTTATACAAGTTATATTCTAAGTGTTAAGGATTTTGTTATTTCACTTTAAATTGAATGTGTCAGGTTTCACAGAGCATTCTCTTGTACGGTGGTCTTAAAGGGTCAACTGAACTGGCAAAGCTGCAAAAACAGAAGAGCCAAAATTATTCAACTAAACACAGACAAAATTAGTACCGAAATGATCTATGACAGACAAAAACACAATGATGCAAAATATATATATATATATATATAGGCAAAATGCTAATACATTTTAAAGAAATAAATATTAAACATAACAAAAAATAGTCATAATTACCAATCAATTTTTTATCTGGATTGTTTTATTATGTGTGTGTTTATGTGTACATATGTGTATGAATACACTTGTTTATATGTTTTTGTGGTCATTTTGATTATTTCTTTATCTTTTCTGCCATTAATTTATCTTGACCATCTCCTTATCTATTTTTGTACCTCCTGTGTTGTTTAATCATCTCTAGCTTGTTAAAACTTTTAAATATTTTGTTACTGTATTCCTCACATTTTTAAGAATCTCTTTTCTTTTCTATTTCTGTTTTTCTAATTTGAAAAGCACTTTGAAATCCTTTTTGGATTGTTGAAAAGGTTTCTTCTTCCTCCTTTTTTTTCATAATATTGCCATGCAAGGCAGTGACCTTTCACAGAATCAAAAAGTGCACAAAAATGTTCTTGTTTTTTTAATTATTGGTTCTTTGTTTTTTTTTCTTCTATTTATGATTTTATTTTATGCCTTTTTGTATTGAATGAAATGATTTTACGGTTTGTGAGAATACATTTTTTTATGTTTTTAACATTGCTTGGGGATTTTTGCGTAATTTTACAACTTGTCTCAAACAACATGCTGGTAAATTACAAGCATGTTGTTTGAGACTGCTTGTTTTCTGGTGTTTGTTGATTTTATTTCTAAGGATATAAAATGTCCCTAACAAAGTGGCGTTGTACTCCTTTGGAACAGCATACCTTCATTCTACCGAGGAATGGTGAGACGAGTTACAGCCGGGATGCTGCAGTTACTTCTTTCTGTTTATTTATTTCGACACAGGAGGGGAGCGGGGAAGGCCCTGGAACTGCGAGGCATCTCGCGAAGTAAGCGAGTCACCTCAGCAGGCAGGCCTTTACCCCTTCAAAAATTCTTCTCGTAAGTTGTACGAGGATACGGGCGTCACCCCGCATCGTTATTTTCCTTACTCATCAGTTTAAGGCATGACTAATAGAGGTCCGAGTGCCGTTCAAGATACTGTGAACTGTTGTCCTCTATCACGGTGGTAGATGAAATTTAATATGGACAGTCTGTTTGTCAAAGCTTTCACCGTTATACTGAGCAGTGTTTTTCAAAAAATTACCAGCTCACTTATTTTACTGTTTAGTCACAAACTATGCGAGGAAAAGACCGTGTTTTCTATGGCAAGATTGTTGCAAAGGTTCATGGGTACCAAGGCATGAATGGATTCCAAAATTTGTCGTGATTAATCGACCACAGATACAACCTGAGAAAGGAACAGTTCATGCACACTAAAGTGATAAAGTCTCTGCGTTTCAATACTCAGTCATTGGTATTGGTATCATAATTTAGTAAACTGCGTACAATAAGTGATAAAAACATAACAGAAACCGATTTAAGTTTCCGACCAGAAACTCGAAGTCATCCTATGTGGGCTTCCGTAGTCTTTGTTCAAATTGTACAATGCGCATGCGTTGCGAGGCAGTGCGAGAAAATGGCAGACGTCTCTTTGGATGAAGTGATACGACAGCGCGGTATTAACCTCAAGCCACCAACTAAAAGGTATCCAAACATCGCAAAATCAGAAATATACGTGGTTATTAGTAACGTAGAAGTGTGAAGTAACACTTTCGAGAGCCTAACGAGCATTGAGACATTTTGTAAATAGTCGGCTAGGCTAACGTTAGCCCTTGTAACTAGCTGGAGTCCACCATAGACGATAGCTGAAGTTAGCCGACAGTAGCCAAAGGCCTGAACGTCTGCATCGTTTTAACGCTAAATGTTAAACAAATGTGAGTTATACGTGTAAATAAATCCACTCATTATCGCGTTACGCTGGTGGGCTAGTATTTATGCGTGTGTAGCTTGGTCTGGTTTCATTCTGTATGTCAGCATTACTCTCCAGGCTTTGCTGTGTACCAAGCTAATATTGATGTTGGCAGTAAAGCAGGTTTCTGCTCCTTCTGTAATAACCAAATATGTTTTCTGGAAGCAGCGGGTTTATCAGGGTGGTGGCTCGTCGTCCAGCCCCAGTATCTTTGTAAATACTGGCCCTCATGCACAGGGAGGCATTGTTAAACGCTGGAAAGAGTAAAAATACACACTACATAGGTATAGATTTAGTTGCTACAAAGCCAGTTCATTAAAGTAGAAGTAAAACCATCTTTCTGTCGATAGACTTTGTTTAAAGTTTCATTTATTTGTTGAAAATGTCCTCAAACCAATGAGTACTAGGCCATTATTTCAAACCTGCAAGAGTAGGGCAGTATGATGTGCTCATCCAATCTGATGGTGTTTATGTAGTCGACAGAAATTTGTGTTTCCTCAGTTATTGATGCAGTATATGGCCAAGTGCAAGTTTTATTCCTTTATTGGAGAGCATAGGACAGTAATAGAGCTGGATGCAACTTGGAGTGACATGCAGGAAAAGGGACAGAAGGTTTGAATCAAACCCGGGCAGCCTGTTAGAGGAAAACTCCGCAGATATAATTGTTCCACGGGCCAGATTTGGCTCCCGGGCCTTGAGTTTATTACCTGTGACAGAGGGCAAGTAATCGAGCCACTGAACCAACAGCAACCCCTATAGCATACACTAACATTAAAGGAAAAGAACCACATTGAAAAACTACTCAATAAAAGTACAATCGTATAAAAAGGCTTCTCGATTATAGTCATGTGAATGAATGTTATTAGCTGATCATTAGTTGGATCATATTGGTGAAAGTGTGACTTTGAAAAACCTGAGTAAGTTTAGGTAGCTGGAATATTAAGAAAAAAATACCAAATGTTGTGTTATTGATGAACTTAAATGACCTTTGGTGTTTGTGTCCCTCAGACCAATGTTTGGACGAGGTGCAGGAGGGACTGGGAAGGGTTTTGATGCCCGCCAGAGGATAGGTGCCAATGATATGAGACAGCGTCTTGGAGGAGGAGGAGGAGCAGCAGGTAAGAGGCATTACTACTGCCCTGAAGAACACAAATGCTGTATCACTCATGCATTTCCTCCATAAACTCATCTTATTTGATAGTTGCAAACCCTGAGAAAACATGCATCCATACATTATTTGCAGACTCAAACTCTCAGGTGGGAACAACAACAGTCTTCATACTGCTTTTCGTGGTGGCCTGCTCAGTCTTTACTTGTCTAAGTTGCCAAAATTCTCCCAAACCAAGAAACCAAGCTTTGACTTCTCATGGAAACTTGATAAGTAAATATGCAATGAAGGGAAACATACTAAAGATGGACTCTATTGTTGGCAGTATTGGCAGATAAAAGCATAAAAAATGTGTCATCAGTACAGGAGACTTTCTGTCTATTTCCATCCTACACGACAGCAGGCCATACTTAAAACAGTTACTGGCTAATGTTATCACTAGTTCTGTTATTATTCATCGTACAACGCAGTTTAGTGTTGATCCTGACTGTATTAGGGATATCACTGTGAATTTTCCTATTTGATGAGTTCATTTAAAACCACAAAATGTGACCGGTGAAGATAACCATGTATACAAGACTAGGGATGGGAATCGAGAACCGGTTCTTGTTGAGAACCGCTTCCAAATGGTTTAATCCATCGACATTGTTTATATTCTATCTTAATGATTTCTTTCTTCCGGGTGCCTTATAAAACGGTCTCACGAGAGCCAGTCTACGCCAACAAGAACAGAGACTTTAAGGAAATAAACATTGCGAACGGTACGACAAATAATACCGACCGAAGAAAATGCTGTACAAATAGTTCGTCGTTTGATTATTTTTAGACAATAGCGATTGAATTGTTTTGTTTTTTTTATCAAACTGTGCATTATAGCCAGTAATATAAGTCTGCTTGTCACTGGCTCTCACTGAAGGTGGCATACTTCTTTTTTTCTGTTATCAGACACTCAATTAAATTTTGAGTTAACGGTGAAAACCTATCGTCTACTTTTTTTAAAATAAAGAAAGGCATGATAAGGGAATCGTTAAAGAATTGAATCAATAAGCAGAATTGATAATGGCATCGATATCAATAAAATCTTATCAATTCCTATCCCTATACAAGACTGCAGTGTGCATGGACTAAGAAATTATGACTCACTCGGGTATTCTTTGTATTTTTTCGGATTTAACACTTACAGAAAGTTGGACAGACACCCAAAAGTCCCTTATTTTAAGAAGTCCTTATTTTACTCAGCCAGATATCTTCCCATCTTGAGGCAATGTTCTGAAATTGTCTCTATTTGCAAGTCTTGTAAAATTGTTGGGTTTTTTTTTTTTTTTTGTTATTGCTCGCAAAACAACAACAACAACATGACGTCAACGTTACATAGCTGCCATCAGCTGGCCTACTTGTTTATAACAGTGAATCATTGTGATGGTGTTTTGCTCTAAAGCAGCTTTGTGACTAAAGATTAACCAGGAAAATACAACAGAGATGACTGTAATTGAGCTTTAACTAATAGAAGCCCATACATAACCTTGCTTTTATGTTTTAATCCACAGAGTCAACACACTTTTACAGGGGAGAGGGTTTTGATCAAACAAAAGTTTGACTCAACAATTATGGGGAAATGAATATTATGGACTCAAACCATTAGGGAAAATATTTAATTGTGTACAAAGTTTGTCAAGTTGCTCACAGCTGACTCAGTCCGTCTCTCATCCCCTGTCAGGTTTTCAGGTGAAAGATGCCAGAGAAATGCTGGGCCAGAAAGACGCCCGCTTTAAAATCCGAGGCAAAGGAGCAGCAGGAGGAGTGAAGGACGCTCGTCAGATGATCAACTCACGCAAAGAGGGGCAGCTCCAATTCAGCGTCCCAGTCCAGACCACACAAAAGACTGCAGTAACGCACCAGCTACAGAGCCAGACGCACATGCCACAGATCCAGATACACACCAACAACAACCTGGCAGGTGTGAATCTGAGACAACTCACCCGAAACGTACAAGGACTGAATGTGAGGGGCGCAGCGGCACCACAGCAGGGGAGTACGAAGAGAGTGATGGATGCTCGTGATAGGCTGAGCCTGAAGAGGAGCATCGGAGGGACACAGACACAGGCAACCACCGCACCACCCCTAAAAATAACAAAGACCATCCAGGTGAGTTGAGAAGAAGTTGTCCTCTTAACCACCATGTATAAATGTACACAAAGCAGCAATCTAAAGTATATCGACCTGCTTTCTGTTTCTACAGCAACGACCGTTGGGGATGTCTGGAGGAATACGTGCAGCTACACAGGTAGAAAAGTTCTTCATTGCATATCTAAGCAAAATAACTCTTGTTGGTGAATGTTGTCCCCTGAAGAGAGGGGTTTTTTTTCTTGAAGTGACAAAACATTCAGCTAAAGTCGACCATTTTGTCTCCCTCAGCCTATCTCAAATGAGCATGATGGCATCTCCAGTAAACAGGTAAAGACCAACACAGCTAAGCCACTACATGACAGCAGTTATAATGACCACAGACACTGAAAAACTCATTGGTTATCTAGAGCCAGCAGGTCCTAAGTAGAACAAACTAACTGCTTTTTGTTTGTGTTCTTATACAGTCTGGTGCGCTGGGTTCTTCATTCTCCATGTCAGCCCCCATCACCAAGGTGGTTAAAAACGACGCTTACACAGCTCCACGTCCCCCCGTTCCTGTGGCTCCCACCCGACCGAACACCAGCGCGGCTGCTGCCCGGTCCTCAGCTGCAGCCTTACAGCCTGTCTCCAGGACTCTGCAGCAAAGCGCAGCAGGAGCAAGCACCACAGCTCCCACACCCCCTCAGGTAAACACCCCTGCTTGTTTCAGTTATCAGTCTTTGCTCTATCCTCACATTTGTGGCTGCACTACTCTTGTTATGATGAACCAGTTGGATGCAATACCACCATGCCCTGGCAAACCCAAGAGAACTGGAAACCAGTTGACTCATTTTCAAGTCATGGAAAACAAAGGATATTTTTCCACTTCACAAGTTAATATAAATCCATGTGAAATATATAAGATAACCAAGTGTATTAGATTTCTCTGTGATCTCATCACGTACTACACTGTGGTCACAAGGCTGCCCATGTGTGATCCACTCACCATCTCAGATTAGATGTAAATGTTAGGAATGAACGCGGTCAAAGGCTACATTTCTTGACTCTGTTTGCTTCAGTTATCTTCACTGATAAACTCTGATCACATGGGTTTGTCTTTTTTTTCCTTGCAGCCTGCTTTCAGTCCGTTGGAGGGGACAAAAATCACAGTGAACAACCTGCACCCCCGGGTCACCGAGGAGGACATAGTTGTGAGTAAATTGTGCCGATAGCTTTTTGCATAGTTTGATTTTCAGTGATGTTTTGACTGTGCTGCGCTGTTACCACTCATTCATAGTGTGTTTCCATCTGTTTGTCCACAGGAGCTCTTCTGTGTGTGCGGGGCCTTGAAGCGAGCGCGGCTGGTGAAACTGGGTGTGGCCGAGGTGGTGTTTGTACGTAAAGAGGACGCAGTGAGCGCATACAGGAAGTACAACAACCGCTGTCTGGATGGTGAGTGATGAAAACATACAAATCTCTTCTTTTACAAGCTTTCTGTTTTCTTTTCTACAAAACTTCAGGCCTATTTTTAGTTTTTTTGATACTTCAATGTTTTTGTTATCTAATAGGTCGTCAGGTCAGACAAGGTCATCGGCAGTTTGAGTTGAGTGCATTTTTCTGCAGCATCTGTTTGATATTTTCTCTTTTTTTTTCACCTCCAGGGCAACCAATGAAGTGCAACCTCCATATTCAGGGAAATGTCATCACTTCTGATCAGCCCATTCTATTGTAAGTCCGCCTGCAAGGCTTCACTGCCTCTCTACAGAGAAATCTGTGATTGACTGTGTTTACATGTACATGCAATACTTGATTGATCCTCGTCAGCTACAGAGAGCCTCTTTAAGGACTGAAAATCAGAAGTGTAAAAGGATTGCCTTCAGAAATTTTCCAAACAGTCGCTAGAAAGTACTCTTGAGCTGTTTGCACAGATGCACAGAATTGTTGTGGGTGGGCTGCATGTGTGAATGCCAGCAGCCAAAAATTTCACCCTAACTTATCTAGACTTTCTCCTGCCAGGCCTCTTGTGAAATTTCCTTAAGGACTAAGTAGGGGTGAGTCGGTGTGAGCATGCAGCTTTTGTAAAATGTCCTGCAATCGAGCAAAGTAGGGGATGGTGCTGTTTTTTTTACCATGTGACTGATATGAATCAGGAAAAATGAGATGCAACTTCACAAATAAAACATCTGAGGCTGAAGAAAAGAATCATTATGAACAGGGAAGATGTCTGTTTACATGGAGCATTGATAAAATTGTAAACAATAGGGGTCGACTGATGCTGGTTTTCAGGGCTGATACTGATCCTTAGATGTTCATGAGACTGAAAACAGATTTATGAAAGCCTAATGTGTTCACAGTAGAAATGATAGTCCTGACAGAATTGAGACTTCAGGATGTTTCCGTCTCCACTGGAAAACTTTTTTTTAAAGCAAATGTTCGATCAAAACTGAAACTTTCAACCTCATGTACAAGAGATTAATCAGTTACACTTACAGCACCGTTATGTCACACTCCTGTGACAGCTAACAGCCATTCACGGGAGCTTCAGTGTGAAAATGTAGAGGTTGCTGGTGTTTGATGTTGATTTTGACTCTCACTGTATTCTGTGGATGATAAATGTTCAGCTGAGGTGATGTGTTAATTCTGCCTCCCTGACTCTCGCAGGAGGCTCAGCGACACTCCAGGCACAGGCAGCAGCACAAAGAAAGACGGTTTGCCCCCCTCCTTGTCTCGCCCCGCGGGTCAGCGAGCCTCCTCTCAGCCCACCCCAGAGGTGGACCCTCAAACCATCCTCAAAGCTCTGTTCAAGTCCACCACACAGTCCACATCCACCACCGAGCCCCCCAGCTCACAGGCCACCGCCTTCCGCATCAAGATTTAGCTCCTATCCTGTGTGAATAACTCTGTTCATAAACATGTTACTGCATTCTCAGTGTTCACGTACAAATCACGAATCCCACAGCCATGTCCTCTCATTGAAGCAGATTTTTACACATTTGATAAACGTGACTACTACAAACTTAAATTCATGGATACAGAACATTCTGATTTTGTTTTTGGTAGGACTGAAATGTCAACTAGATGTTCCTGAGATTCACCAGTGAAGGAACTTAACTAAATCTTATTTTAATCCAGTGTGGTGGGAGTTACCAAATTAACTGGGTTCTTGGAAGTTTTCATTAGATTTTTTTGTCAAGTCAATGGCAGCAAATTTAACAAACATGAATTTAAAATATTTGGGTCTAAATCAAAACATTGGTATGTTGTGAAATGGGGAAAAGCAGGAAAAAACAAAGACACTACACAACACTGTCATTATTGGAAATACTTCCTACTCGGGGCCTTGAGCTTCCACAAAGGTTTTCTTTTTTAGTTCTGTATGATATTTTGGATTCTCTGGGTGCACACAGACCTTAAAACAGATGCCATATAACACAGCAGATACATTATGTACCTGGTAAAACAGCACTGTGGTCAGTGCACCCTCAAGAGTTTATCTTAAAACACGCAACTGGTTAAATCAGGAGACTTAAACATCTTCACTTCAGTGAACCAGCTGACGCAAATTGTGTTTTTTTTTTTGTTTTTCTGACCATCAGATTTCCTGTGCTCTGTTTGTGACTGGTTTACTTTGGAGTCCAGTTTTTAAGCAGTACATGTTAAATTCTTTCATATGTTTATGTTTAAGAACTGTAAATTGCTTTTTTGTTGCTTTCTTGGTCTGTCAGTGAAGAAGAAGAAACTAGAGAGATCAGATCTGTCTGTGAAACCTCATTAAACATTTAGCTTTGTACGTGTTGTCTGAGGACGTGTCTTTTCTCGCCTTCATACAGGACTGTTGCTTCTCTTGAAAGTAACAGTCACATTATCACAGTGTTTTTATACTTTATAGATCAAGACTAGTTATAAAATTACAAAACTAAGTGCTATCAAAGTTTATCATCTGAACTAGCGTAAATTTTAATATTTATGGCTCATAAAAAATGACTGAAGCTGATCAAAGTGATGCACAGTTAAACAAAAAGCATAAAATTCCAATTTGAAAGGCCATTAGGATAATCAGAAGTAATTGGGATAATAATTGGAGTTTATTCAATAATAAAGAGTAGTTTCTTTAAATGAGTTAGTATATGTAGGTATTTATACAGATCTTTGTAATCTGTACAAATAGATTTTAATTTTTAAACCTCTAATTTGCAAGGGAGGGGCAGGACTAGATGAGCTTTTTGCTTCACTCTGTTCCTTCACTAGCTGTTTATTTTGACATATATATGTTGTGTACATTTATCTTTGACATGTACAGTTGTTTTGTTTGGTTGTTTCTAGTTAGTTTTTTTGTTGTTCTTAAAGTTTGAGGTAATGAAGAAGAAAAAAGAAATAAGAACATTACAAGCTACATTTAGAAAACCGAGAATATCTGCAGTATTTTAATGTATTAATGTAACACCATAGACTGTATGTACTATGGACAACTTGGCTCCCGCCTCCCGCCAGTACACAGATTTGTAGCCAAAAAGCTCTCTGTATTTTCGGGATTTTTCTTCACTTCCTGAAACCAGCGCTGCGAAGTAGCATTGTACGCATTGGGCGGGAGAGTCGCCAAGAGTCGCTGTGATGACACTCAGCTCAAACAGTGTATCCCCCGGGTGAGCTACGCAATCTTCGTACACCCATAGACTGTATCAGGTGTCAATCGTAGAAAACATGAACCCCCTAAAAACTTTTAAAAACGGAGCTTCACAGAAAAAAGAGGACTTGAGCACAAACCAGTCTTACTGTAACTACATGTCAACACTGCAAGCAGGGGGGAGAAAATTTTATATTTTGTTTAATAATTTCTTAAATTTGTCCACAGCCCCATAGGGATTGCTGGAGGAGGTGGGATTTATTACCTATACTGCAGCCCGTCACCAGAGGGTGCTGTTCTCGGAGTGGCTTCACCCAGCAAGGAGGCAGACACTTTTCAATATTTATACAGTCTATGTGTAACACATGCCCCTAAAAGAAGTATAAACGAGAAAAGACGAAGAGATAGTTAAAAAAAAAAAATTCGGGTTTTGACTGAGTTTTTTTTTTCACCAACGCTCAAGTATTTTTTCGGAGAGTTTTTTGATTTGTTTAAAAAAAAAATAAATGAACCATCGCAGCCACTGCACAGACATTTTTCTTCCGGTGTGAAAGGTCACATCAAGATGGCGCCGTCCGGGAGGAAACATGCGAAAAGCCAGCCTCGTATCATTCCTGGAGGATTTTCTGGTATCATAAACAAATTAAGAAATCTTTGTACATTTTTCTCTTCGCTCACTTATTCTGAAATCCACGGAAATCTGTTGTACTTCATCTTTTAACATATCTGAGTGGATATTTTGAGTTAATGTAATCTTGAGCGTGGTACAGATACTGATCGAGTGTCGTGTGATCGTTTCTCTTGTTTGTTTGTGTGTTTTGTTGCAGTTCTGCCCATACAGTTTGATTCCGACAGCGCAACACAGCACACGCTTTACATTAAAGAGCATAAAGTCCGAGCAGAGAAGACCTCTCGAAGACCTCTGGACCGGACTTTGTTCGTGCTCAACATCCCTCCATACTGCTCAGAGGTTCACTTTTCAACGCTGTTATTTCACAAACACAACACTTTCTGCTCTACGTGACTTCAAAACTATGATTTACCTTTACTGACTGTTCAAATACAGCCTGTAAATGTTAATTTCTGCCCTGGTCTGTGTGTGTCTTGTGTGTGTTTCAGGCTGTTATCAGAGACTTGTTCTCTCAGTTTGGCAGTGTTCAGTCTGTGGAGCTCAGGGATCATCCAGGCTCCTCTCATGAATCCGAACTGAAGCTTTCAAAGTTGTTCACACCAGCTTCTAAACAGGTTGGTCTGCTTTGATTTTACAGTATTTCTGTTCTGAGTAAACAGAGTAAAACACTCCATCCCTGTCTCTCTCACTGCTCACCTGGTATTTGAGTGAAAATTGAGGACCTGTTTTTAACCAAGATTATTTCCTAACGAGACTGGCCCCTTGACACTTGAATGTGACTGAACTGTAATTGCAGAAATACAATGTCATTAAAATGTATGGCTGCTTGTCTGTTCAAGGTTTCCATAATTGTCCTGTATTTGTTTTGTATATCATTACAAAGGTTATGTCTCTCTGTTTCAGGGTTTCAAAGTGGGTTACATCGTGTTTCAGAATTCCTCTGGTATAGCGGCAGCTAAAAAACACGACTATGACGTCCCTTTGGTAGTTTCAACAGAACAGCATCCAGTGAAGACAGGAGTACAGAGTGAGTGAGGCTACATAAGACGAATTGATTTCTTTTTTTTCCCATCTTATTAAACCTTCATTGTATTAGAATTATTCTCATGGGAGCACAAAATTTAGACTTTTACTCCTTTTTTAACATTTTACGTCAAACGATCCAGCTGATTCTCATGTCCCCAGGAACTCATAATTTTGCCCAGTTAGCTCTGAGTAGAGGCCTCAATTTACAAGGATTTCTTAAGTTAGATTTATATTTCAGTATCTTTGCTGATTTGATTTAGGGGGCCAAAAGTCTCTCTTTAAATCTTAAGATTTTAGTTTTATTAATCAGAGTGAGACAGGTGTCTTTTGTCAAATGTTGTAATCCATTTTTGTCTTTTGTTTTGTTTTATTCACCAGAATGGATTCAGGAGTACAAAGAGTCTTTTATTCAGCCAGACAACCTGCAAGAAATTGTCGACTCTTTTATGCAAGACTACGACAAGCGGAAAGAGGAGGTGAGAACTTTGCAAGTTTTCCTCCTAAATCATCGACTGAAAAATAAGTGTCCATGAGGATTTAATTTCGGTGTATTTTCTTCCTCACAGGAGGCAGAGAGGCAGAAGAAAGAGGCTGAGCAGCAAGAGGAGGATGAAGAGGGCTGGGTAAAGGTCACAAGAGGACAGAAGGGCACCAAGGCCCGCCCTCACAGCGAGGCAGCCAATAAGAGGACTCTACAGAAAGAGATGAGGAAAAAGAAGAGGAAGGAGCTCATGAACTTTTACACCTGGCAGCACAGAAACACACAGAAAGAACGTAAGTGTTTAAATTTTTTTTTTCTTGAGCCGGTATTTTAATGTTTGGCAGAGTTTAAAAAACATTTGACGTCTGGTTTCAGATATCGCTGAACTGAGAAAGAAGTTTGAGGAGGATAAACAGAAGATAGCTCTGCTGAGAGCGCAGAGGAAGTTCAGACCATACTAAATCATCTACTTTGATTTTTCTGTAAACATTTTGCAGCTATTGTATGTTGAAGTTTTAATAAAAAATGTTCATATATAAATCAAACTGGTAATTGTATGACTGAAAACCTCAAGAGGTTGAAAATGTGGGAAATCATCTTTGGGGGTAGTAGTAGGTACCGCGGATTCAGGTAGAAGGTTAGTTAATTAAACTTAAGATGTCTTAATACAATGTCAGGGAACTTTTTGCATGATAGATTTTGCTCTGAATGCACAACTACAGCTGTGAAATCAACAATTACAGGTGAACTTCTAGCCTAGTGGTCTAGGTGAGCGCTTCAGACATGAGGGTTATGTCTTAAGTGCAAAGCTCAGGTCCGACTCCCTGTGGCTTCTTTCTCACGTTATTTCCAGCTCTCTCTTTCCCTGTTTCCTGCTCTATTAACCATTAGACAGTGCTCAAATAATCAACATCAAGAATAAAACAGTGACTGCACATCACAGGAGGTGAAATATTTTATTCAGATTCCTCGGTGTTAGCTTGCTTCTTCCACTTTCTGAAGCTCATCCATGTAGTGAACAGGAGGATTAATAACAGAGCAGCACCAACTCCAGCGAGGACGTACACAGTCACCTGAAACACTGGGACAAAAAAAAAAACATCAAATGGATGATTTGGTTTTTATAACAGGGGTTGTTGTAGATTTCAAGAGGAATAGACACAGGGGATCGTAGTCAGCTCAGCCCCTTTGTCAAGAAAACAGGGTTAGCTCTACCAAGTAATACACCAGATTTTAAGACATCAACGTTGTAGTTGATGCTACATTTCATACCTTTTCAGGGCTTTATCATTGGAAATTTACTTTTTGCACTATTTGCATGAGCAACATATATGCATGCATTAACCCAAGTTTGTAACAAAGACTCAGCAGACCAAAGAAAAAAAGGGGAAGAACTTCTGAGCTAACTGGAGAGTAGGAGATCCCAAGTTACCCATAAGTCTCTAGACTGTCAGTGGGACTTTGAAACAACAGTGTACACCAGCTGCAGGCTGCATTATGTACTATCCAGAGTTCTGTTTTCCAGTGAATGCCAGTGTTTGTTACCTGCTATCTTAAATCTTTAGAAGTCTAAACAAAGTGCACACACACACTGACATCAGTGTTTGAGTCAGACGTTCTTCAAGTTAGCTGAGTCAGGTGGTAGAGCTGATGTCATCTGCAGCAGCTGATAGACTAGTCTCCATTTTGGTTGTCTGGTCACGTTTATAAGACAGCAGCAAAGCTGACCCGGGTTCCCTGAGGCTTACACACTTCCACTTCCAGTGTTTTAATACCATGTTAACCCATTACTCTGAATGTTTAATTTGATCTTACTTGTCTTCTGTTTGGCACATGGACCATCCTCCTCTGCTGTGTTGTTTTGACCCAGCAGCAGCGGCCCCAAAGTGACCAGCTGGACCTGGTCAGAGGCTGATATTGTGTCTCTTCTCTTTCTATCTCCCTCTGATGCTGTGGGAGATGACAAATTAACTTTAGCACCACTGCAGACACATCGCACTCAGAGAATATGAAATAAACACACAGTAGGGCTATTATACTTACAAATGATGGCACAACGCTGTGCACAGTCAACGTCAGCTGTGCAGATTTCCACCCAGCAGTAGAAGTACAACTGAGTGAAGGATTACACACAATCATTTCAAGTGGAAAAGACACATTTATCTTTCATTTTTATCACATTTTTTAAAGGAAGAGTTTGCAGACTGCTCTAGAGAATAACTAAAAACAACACTAACAAGGCTGGACACAACAGTAAGAAAATATTAATATATGACTAATATCACATTCGGCTCTATCAACATTTTACACAACATCTCAACTCTTATGTAATTTGAGTTACAAAAATTAGATGGGAGAAGTAGCAAAATAAAGATATACACCTAAAAATATAATTTAAATGTGGTGGAACCTTACTTCTTCAGCACTCGGGTGGCCTGTATGGGGGTCAAAGAAGGCAAAGGTCTTTACATCAAATCTCCTGACTTGGGAGTGGGAGGTGGTCTTTCCCCGGTTGTCCACAGGGACAGAGCTCCTCATGTTGTCAAAAGGGTTAGGACAGCTAACCAGGAGGTGAGGGAAAAGGGTCAGTTGCACCTAAACTCCTGTCATAACTTCAGTACGAATGCTAACCTTACCCGTCGTACAGGAGCGTCCACACGGAATGTCTGGACGCGGGGTAGGCGAAGCAGTCCCGTACCCGCAGCGACAGTGAAGGGTCCGGGGAAGGCTGACCAATGGAGATCTCCACAAAAGCAGCCTCACGTAGCGGCAGGGTGACAGGAAGCTGGTCTTCGGGATAAAAGGATGTGAAAGAAGAATCTAGAGGAGTGGATCATCACAGAAACAGTAAAAACTTCCTGTAACTGACTGGAATTGTAAATGTAAAAAGACCCACACTTTTTTTTTTTTAATGTTACCACCTTTTGCTATCCTCATCTGCACTTTGATGGTTCCCAGTGCGATCACAGGAGGCGGGTTGGTCACTGCAAACAAGGATCGCAAGTCTGCTGCACGTTTTAAATCTGACGCCTCATATTCACACTGCACCTGGAGACTTGGGAAAATATGTTGACATTAGTCACCATTGTGACAAGTGCATCTCACAGAATTATACAAGATTTCTTATACAAATCTGCATCAAAAAGGTGAAACTGCTAATATTTTTAACATGTGAAATTAAATATTTCAGACATGTTCAGTTCCATTTGTGAGGATTTTGGCTTCTAGCTCATGAAAGTCAGCACTTCAGTAATTCGCATTAAAAGAATATTTAACCTTTCTCATCTGTGCTTTCAGAAAAGTTTTTATTTATTTTCCTCTTGACAAATATTCTACAGATTCTCACTGGGGTTCAGGTCAGACAAGATGGCTGGCCAATCAAACACAGAAAAATCTTATCTTGTCCGCTTATATGTATTGCAGAGATGGCAAAACTCCTGTTGTGATGGAACACAACCCAACTAATAATAGCTCATTGTAAAATTCAGATTGTCCTCTACATTGTGCAACAGGTTAAGAGAGCAGAATAGGTTTTAGCAATATCCATAGCAGAGTTGTGTCTACTACCAAGAACAAAAATGAATGACTTGGCATAAAAGCACATTTTAAGAAAATAACAAGGGTAAAAAATTATAGATGACGTAAGGACAGCCTCACCTGAATGGGGATTTTTTGGTTTCACTTTCGGGATTCAGCTCCTCTACGTCCACTTCATAGATCATCACATCTCCATCCATCTAAAACAAATTTATATCAACCATCTTCTGCAAAGGATGTGATACTTTTACTCAAACTCTTTGTGCATAGTGTCACCTTCATCTTTGCATCACACTCTGTGACTCCAATCTTGAACACAGCCGTGTCTTTGGTGGTGAGCACAGGGAAACAGTGTGGCTGGTCCTTCACTATGAGGCTGGTGGGATCAATGCGCAGGTCTGTGTCAGAGGCTTTTACGGAGAACACAAAGTGTCCGTCCAGGGAGCACGCTGAGGAGAGCAAGGCAACACTGAAATATCAGATTTAATGCCCACATGTTTGAAAAGGTCAGACAGAGATAAAATATTCACCATAGGGCTCACCGTTCAGTCTGTAGTAGCAGGTTGAATCATGAGCATTGTAGCAGCATCCAAGTTTGTGGCAGGCTTCTCTTGAAATGCTTTGGTGGCCACAGTCCACACGTAGAGCTAGCTCAATGTCACAGCTTCCAGGCAACGCTAAGTGGTAAATTTTTGTGTCTGAATATGGAACAGTACATTGCGCTGCGCTAAAGCCTCTTCTGTGTTAGATTGAATAACAGGCAATATCAGCTTTACACTTGTGCAATGATTGTAGACTGGATTCTTAACCAGACACCATAGAGAATTGTGCAAATTTAAGATTTGATTTAAAAAAAAACTCAGGAAAGACATACTCTCACTTCAAACAATAAAGACATAACTTTGTAAGAGATATATATTTAACATGTACTGACTGTCCCCACTTACATGCAGGTATGAGTGGACTCCTCTCACTGTGTCTCTTTATCAGAGGGCAACTGATATTGACCCTGAACCATCGATCCTCTGTTGTCAGCTGCACCTGCAGAGGAATGACCACTCTGCCACCCTGCAGGTCAGAAGATGATCACAATGTGGATGTCAGGAAACCACTCATGGTATGTCACACTGGCACACACACACAAATACAGTGCATGCTGTTGTTCTCAAAGATCACACAATATGAAATAGGAGGCTATGTATATATAGGATATAAAATTGGAGCACTGTTAAGCTGTTGAGAAAAACAGAAATTGATGATTTTCCAAACATTTAAAGGATTTTCTTAATTAAAATACTGCAAAGACAACAGATCCAGTGTTAAAAGTGAAACATGTTTTTTTTAAAAAATACATATGCAAATTAAATTTGCTATACATTTGTGTTTTATCTTTATATGTTTTCAGAATGGGGCAGCAATAGCTCAGGAGGTAAAGAGGTCGTCCAATAACCGTAAGGTTTGTGATTTGATTCCCCCCCTATCCCTAGTCTGTCCGTTGTGTCCTTGGGCAAGCCACTTAACCCACCTTGCTCCCAGTGTGTGTCCTCCACTGGTGTATGATTGTGAGTGTTGTGTGGTGGTGGTCGGAGAGGCCGTAGGCGCAAACTGGCAGCCACGTTTCCGTCAGTCTGCCCCAGGGCAGCAGTGACTGCTAAGGTAGTTTACCACCACCAAGTTGTGACTGTGTGAATGTGTGAGTGAATGAATGATGTATCCAATGTAAAGCACTTCAAGGGTCTCTGATAAAGCACTGTATAAAATCTGATGCATTATTATTCAAAAAATGTGGTAAAGGGACAAGAAAACTTTGAAAAAGTTGTATGGTCGTAAACAATCGTTTGGGTTATGTTCTTATGATATGTTAGGAAAATAAAAACATGTTGCTCCAGACAACAGCAGCTTTCATACTACTAGTTTCTTAAGTAACTTGACAAAAAGCTGTGTTTGGACAGCTGTGCATGTTTCACCTATGGAAATTGAACTTCACTTATTGACTAAGAATGGTTAAAATTGTGTTTCTTACAGGAGAGGCCTTCTACCTTAAATAAGCAATGATTTTCCACCCAATATCTTTAAGTAGTTCCTTCTTTTACCTCAATCAGAGCATAACAGCTGTCATATCTGCTGAGGAAGGCCAGGCTCTCGTTTCTCTCTCTGCCCAGTCTCACTCCACAGGATTCCTCAGACTGAAGCACGGGGATTACAGCCCCCGTGATGTCTGACAAAGACAAAAAAACACACACAGAAATGTCACATTCAGTCATTTCCCTGAAGCCTGGTGGAAAATTAGGCAAACGCGTTCGGTATGTAATAATTTTGCAATCCACCTCTTGGGTTAGAAGCGCATTTTTGCAACAACAGCTCCAATCTTACCTCTTACATGTAGATTACTTTTGACCTGCGACCCAAACACAGCTCTGATCCCCCGGGCAGAGCAGGTAACCCTCGGCAGAGCGAGCTGCTCAGGTGTTTTCTTCACCTGCACGGCAGTGAAACACCAACAGTATTGCCCCATGACGACAAACAGTAGAGATATTAAAATGTATTTTTCACAATGATTATTCATCTCTTCGGTAGTTTCAATGTTTGGAAAGTAAGAGTTTGAATCCAGAGTTACCACATCATTTCTATGACACGGTGGTTGTCACGTGATTTCTTCTAATTAGCGTTAATTAGTTTAGAGCTTGTTGAAAACTGGAGCTTCATCAGATTTAGATAAAAGCTCTTTTTTCACGCAATAAAAACGTTTCACTCGTGTCAAATTGATCGTTGTTGTTTGCCTGTGTGCCATGAGAGCTGTAGTGTTCAATCTCATTCAAAAAGGGACAGAATAATCTGGTAATTAGCGAAAATGTATGCCTTTAAGTAATTCGTATGATGCATTCACTGCTCCTCGGATAGCTTCACTTTTCGAGCTGTACAGTCATTTTTCGTCTTCTGTGCATTTCCAAACCTTTGTTATGATTTAGAGATGACAGAAACGTCTGGCACAACAATCTGTGATCTACTTTACTGCCTTAAATATTTAGGTACTGAGTAGTTTCATAGGATTTACGCGAAGAATTACAAAGTATTTGACACTAAAGCAAAGATTTACCCTGTTTTATGTGCAATACCAAATCAAAAATGTTAAAAAAAAAGTATAAGAGACATTTGTTTGTAAATTTCTAGAGTTTTCTTTTCGGATTAGAGGGCAAAGTTGTGACTTTACTCGTGGGAAGCTCACATTTCCGAGTATATCTGACCCTATGTGAATGCGGGATTTTGCTAGAAGTATCCAGAGGTAATAGAGCTATTGAATAAAGTGCCAGCATGTAGTGATGGGCACAGCAGTTCTTTTAGATGTACTGAATCACTAGAATCAGTTCACTAAAAAGATTCGTTCACCAAATCACCGAATCATTTAGCGCCTGGGCGGAGAAGCCTGTGACTCTGACCTCCTGAATTGATACACAGCTGAATGGTTCAGGATTCAGTTCAATTTGTAGCTTCTGGGACCAGGAGGCGAGAGTGTTTGGCTGTGTGGCTTTGGCAAACAGGTTTGTAAAAATGAACTTGTATAAGTCATGATGTTTTAAGTGTACTGTCCAATGGTATGATATTTACCAGGTCTGTTTGGTAAATTGGGGTCAGTGAGTGATTCATTCACTGAACGTTTAGCAGAATTCAGACTGAACATGCACCGTTCCCTCGCGAACTGCTGAAATGATAGGATGCTGCAGGTTTAATACTCTACTTGTTAGATGCAAGTTGTTGTGATGGCAATTTAGCAGTGAAAATAAAGGTAGTTTTGTCCAACAAAAACGATTCCAGAGTGTAGTTCAATGCGTGATTCGTTCACCAAGTGATTCAGGCGTAGGTGCATGTGGTCCCTCGTTCGCCAGCTGCTGGCCTGGCAATGCTGTTTCTCACTTCAGCTCAACTGAAGTGAGAAACGAACGAGTCACTCGAGGAAGTGATTCGGTTCAGTAAGTTCACTTAAAAGATTCTGTTCTTTTGAACGAAGCGTTCGCGAACGACACAACACTACTAGCATGAGGGCCTTTCAAACCTGAACCTCTCTTCTCCATCTTTTTGGCGATGCATGCCATGATTACATACACTAACTTTTTTAACTGTTGTTGTATCATCTCAAGGTTTTAAATTAATGTTTGTAAATCTTGTTGTAGTGTTGTAGATTGTTTGAAAAATAGACTGGTTTTTGTTCCATGTTACTGTGGGATGGTTGGTGATTTACACTGGTAAACAGCAGGTTGTCTGTTGCCGATAGTGTTGTTGCCTTTACGGAAAATCACGAGTTCTCGGCGTGTCGTGACGTTACCACTGACGTATCTCGGGTAACCCCGTCCAACTGACAATCAGACAGACTCGCTCGAGGCGTCGCAAGAGAGCTGGACGTCTCCCAAACATGGCTCTAAATCGGAACCACTCGCAAAACGGCGGCGTTTTGATAAACAACGGAGAAAGGTATGGTTTTGGTGAAACATTTTTGTAGTTATTCTGATGAATTAGTTCGCTGACTTCTCTCTTTTAGGGCTGTTTACACTCAACTTCCCAGTGCGTAGTCAACGGAAAGCTAGCCTCCCTGCTAGCTGGCCTAGTTTGCGTTAGCATAATAAACACAAGTGTGCCATCTTGAATTACACGCTAGTTTCACAGTCTATATTATTGTCAAAACATGCGCTATATTTAGTGAAAACATGTAGGTTAACTATATTTTTGAAATAGAGTTACATAAGATGGTTAACTTTTTCTAGTAGGCGACTTTTACTCCAGGAAATAGCGGCTGGACTCGCCGGGATGTTGACATTTGAGAAAACAAAGGTGTCTCCATAATGTGTAGTTATGTGCCAATTTACGATAATTTTAAGACATTTTAGTCAGCTTTGACACCAAAAAGCAACCCCTTTATATCCAACATGTGACATAACATGTGTCACTGTGGAGCTATTATCACTATTATCACTGTTTACGTCCGTTCTTATGTAATCAGACAGAAAAGGAAGACCTGAGGTATATTTGACAATCTTTTTTTTTTACACTTTAGCTCTTAGAGGGACTAGTTTTCAAAAGTAACTTAAGCTCTGATCATTTATTAACAAATATGGGACACTTCAGTTACAGGAGTGGAAGAAAGGGAAAGGGACAAGTTGTAAGAAATTAGCTTTATAGGTTTATAGACAGTTGATGTAAAAGAGAAAATCCAGGTCGATATATGTAAAAATTTATTTCACGTGATATTTTTCTCCAATTGGACCCACCCAACCTATTATGGGTGGGTCGTTATTTTGGCCAGTTTATTATGAAAGCCTTTTTGCTCGCTGTCAGGAGTATTGTACCACATTTTTTTACACATTCATTCCCCACCTATTACATACATGTATACTAAAACCTGGTATGGAAAGTAACTTATTTTTCTATTTAAATTACTGAAAGTGGGTACCTTTTTGTGTATTTGTTTTAACATCAATATGTTAGATTGGAAGTGTTGTACCTCTACATTTTTGATGACATCTCTGACTGAGTAAAATTTAAAAGAAAAAGTGAAAAAGATTTGAGTAAACTGTGTCTGTAGGCAGATGTTTACTACTTGATATACATGGAAAGCATGCTCTAAACACTAAACCGGCACCCTGTCCTCATCCAATTTGTGAGATTCAATTTATGCCCCTACTCTGTGACTCCTAGTTGTAGTGCGAATGACATTAATCATGCCCTGAACCTTTTAGGTCATTTGATATTCTTCAGTTTATCAGATATTGCGATGTTTCATGATAGGATTTAGTTCCAGTTCATCAGTTGTCGATTTGCAATATCATGATGCCATTATTGCCAGTTACCCCATGATTCCGGCCTCTGATATTTTTAGATTCTCCTTCAAAAAGAAAACCATTGTCACATGAGTTTTCATCTATTTTAATTTACTGAATCCTTTGTTTTATGGGTTGTAATATTTAAATTCTTGCTTCTTTTTCCAGTGTTTTAAGGGATTGTAAGAATGTGGAGTTGTCGTTCAGTGATGTTTCCTGCAAGACAGACCTGCTGAAGGGGACCAAGAAGGGAACTGTGTACCTGACACCATACAGGGTACTGCCAGTGTTACATACAACTCCCGATGACTGCGGTCTTGATTACACAGTCGGCAGAGTTTATTCTGCAACTGTCGGTACAACCTGTTGTAACACCATGCGCTCTTTGTCTCTCCCTCTTTCACTTGTCTAGATGGTGTTTGTGTCCAGTAGTACTAAGGACTGCCTGGGTTCAGCCATGTTCCCCTATTATCTGATGAAGGGCTGCAGCATTGAGCAGCCTGTCTTTGCAGCTAATTACATTAAAGGGACAGTGTCAGCTGAGCCTGGTGGTACGTGACCCCTGCTTTTATCTCTAAACCACAAAGCCTGGAATTCATCTTTTTTTAAATGGTGCATCCATGGAAGTAACTAGGGTCATACACTGTCATATTCATGTTGTAAACTACAATAAATACACAAGATGCACTAACTTCCTTAAAAAGTGAGCATGCTGATAAATCTCCTGACATATAAGACAAGACTTAAACGTCTCTCTGTATTTGTTATAAATCTTTTTGACTTCCTCCTCAGGTGGCTGGGAAGGACAGGCTCATTTCAAAATGTCATTCCCCAGTGGAGGAGCCATAGAACTGGGACAGCATCTCTTCAAACTGGCAACAAATGGTTTGTATGATCTATTGTTCTGAGCAGTTATTAAGTAGCTTTCTGTGGGGGTTGGTGAAAAGTATTCGAATACGATGTATTAAGGATTAAAAGTTGAATAATAGTGCATTGTAGTTCCTTGTAGTTTCTGATGAAAAAGCATAAAAGCACTAAGGCCCAGCCAAATAAAAAAACAAAAAAACAAAAACTGCTGAATAGTGATTCCCAAACAAGGGGACATGACCCCCTAGTGGTGCCCTGAGATATAAAAGTGAGGGAGCAGCATGGCTTCATGAAATAGTACACACACTTTTGCAGTGCTGCCAAAAGAGGGTCAACTTGAACAGTCTGATGAATGTAAGGCTTAAAAGAAATCTACACCAAACATCAGAATTATGAAACCTAAACATATCAAACCTTATTGATAAAACTTTGAAGTTAATATTAAGAACGCATACACAGATTTAGTAGCCTCCAAACTTCTTATAAAAGGCCTCTCGTTATTTGCTCTGTTTCAGCTTCTCGTGCTGCTCCAGCCCAGAACGGTGCTCCGTCTTTTGGATATCCATCACCTGGAATGATGAACGGATATGGCCCACCTCCACCAGCTCCTCATGGATATCCTTTTGCACCCCCTCCTCAGCAGAATGGATTCTACCAGGGCCCTCCACCCGCTCCCACCAACATGGGCTACCCCTGTCCAACAGCTACTGGAGGTACAGTTTCAGACATTTATTATATGAAATGTTCAATATTAGATTCTGATATTTAACATACCATTGTAGAGGAACTTTGAGGTAAAACGTAATTTGATGAAAGAATTTTAACCCATGGTTTTGTAGATAAAAGTCATGTAAAGAAAAAAATTCATTGAAATATATAGACTTTATGTGTTTTCAGACTTTGGCTGTGTCTCCCTGCTTTTGCATTCGCATACTAATGCGAATACAAAACGAATACCAAAAGATTTTACATTAAAATGTCAATGGAAACAGAAGTTGATGGCATACAACTGTTTTAAAACATGTATTTAATTGTGACTTGTAATGTATATGCTCATTTTGAATTTGATGATTGACGATTAAGAGGTTCACCAGTCTGTGCCAGACTGTGAGCAAATAGTTGAACCATTTCCCAGTAATGTTCCAAGGGGTAAAACTGCAAAACATTTCTAGAATTTTTCATCCACAGTTCATATTATCATTTGAAGATAGAGAGGTCTGGAGAAATCTTTGTACAAAAAGCACAAGGCCAAAAACAAACACCAGACATACTTGATCTCCTGGCTTTTAGGCGGCTCTGCATTAAAATCAACATGACTCTGTAGTGGATTTCACTGCATGGGCTTAAAATCACATCCTAAGAGCGTTGTATGTGAACGCAGTTTGTTCCTGCTCAGTTTACAGAATGTTGTTAAAAGCAGAGGTGATGCAACACAATGGCAGTCATACCCTTGTCCCAATTGTTTTAATACATGTCGCTTGCATCAAATTTAAATTAAGTGTATATTTTTCATAAAACAACACAATCTGATTACTATGCATTATTTTCAATTCAATACAAGCTTAATGATTTACAGACTATAAATTTGGTTACTTTAATTTAATATGGCGTCATAACCTGTATGGAACTGGGATGGAACTTGAAACTTGTATGTTTGTCGGTCAAAGTACCATCAATTTGCTTGAGTAAAAACCCATCAGGAACAAATAATGTTGTTTTACAGCTCCCTGTTGATACCTTTTAGTTTTGTCTTCTAGTTTTTATCTTCAAACTGAAATGATAACTCTCTTAATTTGAAACTTGGTCTGCTTTTGTTTCCTTTGTTCCAGGAATGTACCCAGCTGGTTTTGACTACATGGCACCACCTCCCCCCTACCCTGGCCCACCCCAAAATTGGGCCGGACCCCCTCCGACCTGGGCAGCAACAGCTCCAGCACCACCTCCAGGTCTGTTACCCTCTTTTTTTCTCTCTCTCTCGTTTCCCTCTTTATTTGCTCCTCCCTGTATGTCTGTGTCACCGCACACATCAGATCTAATCTATCTTCCTGAAAGTGAGTCACTCCAAATCATGCAACCAAAAAAAAGAGACGCTGATGTCTCATCGGCTAAACATCAAATTTACCAGGGATAAACAATCCCACCTCTCCCTCCCCTCTCTCTTCATCTGCTCATTTCTAGCACCTCATGGGTTTCAGTGTCTCTCCCTGCACACGGGGTGAGGTCGGTGCACTGAGCTGAAATGTCAGTTTGGCACATCTCGGTTTAAGGAAGAGCTTAAGTAGGACATTTGCCTCTGTGCGTCCTCAGGGTGCGCCATTAGATTCAGTCTCAGAGATTCCTGGAGCTGTCAGATGTCGTGTTTTGTATGACTGACAGTGTGCTCCTCGCATCACTTCTGCTTACGGTTTTAGGAGCCGCAGCATCTGTTTCTAAATATGTTCATCAGTCATCGCTGTCCCTCTTTCTCTCTCTGTTTTTGTCAAATCTTGTTTTCTGCACAGGTAACTCCAAGGCGGCTGAAGCAGCAGGCAGTGCGTACTATGATCCAAACAATCCACACAATGTCTACATGCCCATGGTATGCTGCTCTGCTTGTTATAGATCTATAGAAGTAAAATGCCCATTCCCTTTTAATCGGCAATGATTTTCCTCTGCATTCCCTAACAGGAACGACCTCCACCATATGCACCTTTCCAAAACTCTCCTGAGAAGAAAAACAACTGAGCCTCAGAGGCCTTTACTTCAGTGACACTCCTCCTTCTTCCTCTGTCTCTAAAATATATCCTTAAGGCAAGAAATGACGTTGATGGGAACCTGCTGGATTGTGGAATATGGAAAGGAAAATGTATGTGACAGAGGGCTCAAAGATGTCAGATATAAAATGATGTTATTTTGGATACTGCAATAGCATTTAAAGCAATCACAACTTTTAAAATAAATATTGCTCTCTTTCTTCAAGTTCATGCAAAATACCGACAACTCATCTGTCAGTTTTATTGACTCTTTTAGTGATAGTTTGAATTCTGTCAAATGTCTAGCAGGATGGTAAAGACCTAAACTGTCCTTGTGTGGCGCTGAAAGCAGAAGACAGTATGGGGAATGTATTTTCAAGACTGAAATTTATCATCAGTTTTGTAGCCCTGTCATGATTGCAGTTGTTTTAGTTTTTAATGCATATAAATCATACTATACAGTGTTTTTGCAGTGGTAGTTTCCCAGTATGAGCTTGGTTGAATAGTTTTCAATAAACTATCTGACTGATCATTTTACTATAACCTCGAAACAGTAGGTTGAAGCTTTCTTCTTATATGACCAATATGATGTGAACCTACATCAGTTATATTTAGTAATTACATTCATTGTATGACCCAAATTCAAACATGTCTTTCATAGGGTAGTGTGACAGAGGCTCTTTGGTTTAGGAAGTGGTTTAGAAAGGATTTCTTACATTACAAATCTGTCTATGTGCAATATTTCAACCACTTAAAAGAAGGTTAATTCTCTGGGCTGGGGTTACCCGACTGATCCTGTGCTCTTAACCTAGCTTCTATTGTATTCATGTATGCAAAGCCGGGCTGAAACCAGAACTCTACTCTGCATAATTACATCAGTGTGGAGTTTCAGGAGCCCTGGCGTTAGATTAAGGACCCATCAGTGTTTCCTCGCTGTTGAAAGTTCTGAATAAATGCCATTTATTCTGGGTTAAGATGCGGTGAGAGACCTTTGAGCCATGTAATCACATCCCTACTCCTTGTGTATCAGTTAACACCTGTTTGAAGGACTATTTGCAGGCTATTGTAGGGGATGGAGGAGCTGTTTGAGTTTGGTTTTAGTTTGCCTAAATTAATCAAATGTCTGTATATTAATATCTCTTTTGCAGTTCTTATTCCTCTTCCTGAATTTTGTCTGTCAGAAAAAAATCTAATAAATTAGTTCTTTATTGAACATTTTGCTTCATGATTTATAAAGCGCTTTTGTTTTACACTCTTAATGGTATGTATTTGACGGAACTTAATACATTTGAAAGACTGCAAGATTCAAAATAAGCATTCAAGTTACCCTAACATCTATAAACAGATTATAAATATGTAGAGTCTATGCACGGGTCAGGTTCCTGCTTGAGCAGTGCCGACCAATCAAACTTCTGTCGGGTTCAGTTCATCCATGAAAAACACTGTAGAGCAGTGTTTCTTAAGTCCAGTCCTCGAGCCCCACTGTCCTGCATGTTTTGGATATTTCCCTGCTCCAACACACCTGATTCAAATGATCAGCTCGTTATCAAGCTCTGTAGTGGCATAATAACGAGCTAATCATTTGAATCAGGTGTAGAGTAAAATCAGGTGGAACACGACCCACAATAATGACATACAGGCTGCCATCTGTGGTAACCTTACAAGGGTGTGTTTATCTGTATAAAAAGCTATCCACATGCTAGTGCAGCTAACAATCTGTCATACATCATCATACATAAATCTGCTTGATACTGTGCCAGTAAAGCAAATCAGTATTAAATTTTCCGGACTTCCTGGAATGCATTGGAGGAATAATAATACGATGTCTTTGCTTGTCTTAGGTGTTACTCCAGGGAATGTAACAGACCAGAAATGACAGGCACTCTCGATTACTGACATTGATGCTGCTCCAAAAAAGGAAGTCTTGGCTAAAGTCCTTTGATGCTAACAGCTGGCTATGCTGGAATTAAAGAAAAAATGACATCTGTTCCCAAAGGATTATCTTGCATTACATACCCACACAATGACAGGTAATTGCAGAAGAGCTCTGAGATTGATATTTTCCAAATTAAATAAATAAAATAAAAGAGTAATAATAATAATAATGGTAAATCTAATATCAAATAAATCCTCTTCTAAAGATTTTTTGACCTTTAAGCCTTGATTGGATAGAGCAGATTGCAAAAAAAAAGACAGAAAATGTGAGGAGAGAATACCACAACAAATTATGTTAGGCCGAGGAATTAATCCTACAACCATAGCAACAAGAATAAAAATTGGGGCACCTGTTCTACCATCTGAGCTTAACAGGCACTCCATATTCCACACAAGTCTAATGCATTTTTGTAGGAGTGTTTTCTCCAAGTCACCATGGCTGATCTCTAGTTCGCATTGATCAAAGTTACATGTGGGATTTCTGATTAAATCTGTATACATTCAGTCATTTTATCATACAGTCTCTCTCTCTTGCTGTGGTTCAACTAAAGTACATTTTGCATAGCTGGATTGTCCTGTCACTTCTGCTTCCACAAAATAAAAAAAAAATAAAGAAGACAACCAGAGTGAGTCACACTCTTACTGAATAATATATTTATTATGTTATGAAACACTATCAAAGTTGAACATGGTATTCACTGTTATCACAGAGAGTCACACTGTACAGATGTATCGAATAAATAAATAAATGAAGAAACCTTTGTCATGCACTAAATCACAAAATATTCACCACACACAAACAGATCCACGTGTAACCACAAAGTTCACAACATTTAGAACTAGCTACTTTACAACCACAGCTGTCCACCTATTATTTGATAAAGACTAGATCTACTTTATGGCTCAGCTCCTGTTTCTCTCCAGTTCCCCACTCAGGAAAAGGAAGTGTGCTTTTACCACCATGTTCCTTAAGTTGATCCAAACATTTTCCTGTACCCATCACTATTATGTATACTAAGTTATAGACGTTCAAAGCCCCACTATGTGTTCTTATAGGGACTTAATCCACTATAAACAGCTGTAAAGCAAATGAAAATACAGTTAAGACTCCAGTGTCGTGGTTGAGTCACCAAACTGCAAGTCCAAGTCTAGTTTTGTGTCTATTATTATTTGTGTGAAAAGGCAAGATAAGTCAGTGGGAAGTCCTCATGACCAAATCAAAGCTCTGTCAAGGGGAATCACTGTAATGCAAAACTATTGACTGTTTGAACCTGTGGGGCCTTTTGGAAACATATTTCATTTGTTGATGTTAGAGTTAGACTGATCCTGTTAGCCTGTCTGGAGATTTAAATTATCACTTAGGTTACTGTGTGATGTGGATAAGTGTGCATCCCTGCACTCTCAACATCATGTAGCCCTTGCCTTACTAACTAACTGACTAAACAAATAAATTAATTCATTAATAAGAGGACAAGCACATTATTTCAGTAATCATGTGTTTTGTCTCAGTCCTAATGCAGTCACTGCTTGAGTCTAAGTCTAAGTCGAGCCACAAGTCCTGAATTTCAGGATTCAAACATAAGTCTGAGTCCTGGACTCAAATACAACAACACTGTTTAACACATATCAATGTTTAATCACTGAGTCGCAACCCCAGCTCCAAAAAAGTTGGGACATTATTAAAAATGTTGTTCAAAACTGAATTTGATGGTTTGCAAATCATTCAAACTCTGTCTTCAATGGAAAAATGTTTTGGGATAACATATCAGATGTTGGAACAGAAAAATTAGCTACTGCAGACAGCTATTTATGCAGTTTTAAAAATTAAATGCACAATTTTGGGCTCCTTTAGGATTTCTGCTGCTCAACAGTTCAGTCTTCTTTGTTTACTGATGCATCAAATGTTTTTAATAACAAATCCATAATTTCCAAAAGACTAAGATTTTGACTCTTCAGGCCATAGAACAGTATGTTTCCATTTTTGCATAGAACAGTTTTAACCAGCATTTGTGGTTGAAGTAATGAACTGCTGGATGTAATTGTAATAAATTAGGAGGCGTTTCTTTAGGAGTTTTTGCTAGCATTACACAGCTTTCTTTGTGTTATTTGTATAAAAAACAAAACATAAAACAAATTTAAATGCAAGATTTAAATGATTTTCAAACTATCACTGTCAATTTTTATCAGCAGTTTACAGTGGCCCAATTTCTTTGGAACTGAAGTTGTGCTTAGATAATAGTTCATCTAAAGGTAGTTTATATGGGATCTATGTTGTAAAAAACTAAACTCTTGTCATAGTGCTACAAACTAATTTATTTGAAATCGGACTGAGTTTATATGAAGCTGTTTCTGCTCAATGTGTTCACATCTAACGACAGTGTAGCTACCGTTTGCGCAACTAGCAGGGCCACAGTTGTTCAGAAGGTTAAATCCAGAAAAAGGTATCTAGATTTAGAAATTCACATGCTTTAAAATGTATGATCAGGGAATCCAGCTTGATATTGTTTTCTCTTCACAAGAAACCAAGCAGACATCTGAAAATTACTAAATCTAGACTTCCAGTGTCCCAAATGAGACTACAAGCCTTGGCCACAGGGGGTGCCAAAATCAACACAAACTAAAACATCCTCACAACTGCTTTGAATTGTGAGCTTGTTCTAGTTTGATGTAATGCATCATGGACTAACTCATGGACTAAATCATATATGTCTTTGAAGCAATTAATTTTAAATGTTCGATCCCATCTGGCTTTAACCAATCATTTTTACTTCTAAACAGCTGGGCCCTGAGAATTATATGGGTAAAGGCAACATGGGTAATCTATATCTGTCCATCTAGGTTTAAAGGTCACCATATTGCTCTTCCCATTAAAATACTGTTAGAGCTACAGGATTGTCTGTACTAAAAGAGTTGACAAGGTTGAGTTGAGAATTCAGCATGTTGAATTTTGACTCAGATCTAGTTGGGTGTCTCCTACGGCTCTTCCTGTAGAAACCACACCTCGTTGCGGCGTCCATAAGGCTTCAGTGGTGGATCGTAGCTGCAGCAGAAGTATTGCTTGCGTTGAAAGGGGGCCGTTTCGCCAAGTGTGCGTGTCAAACGCAAGGCCTCTGCTCGGTACTCGCTCTCTCCTGCAAAGCCTCCGAACTGCCTAAAAATGAAAAACACCAAAATTTTAAATGAGGAGGGTGTTAATGAGGGGGGGGGGCTCAAACTCTGTTTCAGCTAAAATCAGTTAGCTTAAGTCAGAGAAAATTTTGGCTTTCTGCCACTCACTGGCTAATATTTCTGTTAGCTAGAGAGTTGCTAATGCTAATGTATCATTTGAAATGTGTGTTTCCACAACAAGAAGGGTGAAACTCTGAGTTAATGTCAGCTAAGAAAATACTTATACTTGTTGTTGCCTTGTGTTAGCTTACAGGCTATGTTTAGCAGTAGTCTTAAGCTAGCTAATGGGTTTTAAGACATTTTGCTAACATGAAAAACAGCCGTTATGCCCTTGAAATTTTACTGCATGCATTCTCACTGCTCCACAAATAACGAAACTGCAAAATTATATCAGCTCTCTGATAACCATAAAAGGGATAGTTCAGTTTTTTAGCGGGGTTATACAAGGTCCTTGTCCATAATGAAAGTAATAGCCATAAGGGATGCCTATCAGCTCATACCCTTTGCTAAGAAACCTGCTGGAGGACCGAAACATTGAAACTAGGCTGTCAACAGCTGCAGACAGGGTCAGTTTGACTGTGCAATTTAGCTAATTTTAAGAAACTGACCCCAAAATAGAATCAAAGCTACACCCACTCTCATCATATGGCTATCACCAAGTCACTTTGTGTTTTTCAATATTCGTCCCACTGATCAGCCAGTTCAATAAAAAATGAACTATTTTTTTTAATAAATCGGACTTACACTACAATATATCAGTGAAAACTTAACAGGATGTGTGCACCCCAAGCTTGATGGCAAGAAGGAAAATGTCTGATGTGAATTTGGTAAATTAGTGCATCAGCTTAAGCTGGTGGGTCGAGTGGATTTATTACTGCTTATTCTGTCTTCCTGAAATTATACAGGGTCCCAGAGGGCTCACAGTGGTATTCAAACCACACGCAGCTGTAAGGTCAAGTTAAACCGCCTCAGGACTAGTTCTATTAAAAGAGCCCTCCAGGTGACTGAACATAATAACTAAGATCTCCAAAAATAGAAAAGCTGCTTGTGCTTTTGGGTCAGGTTGGGTAATGTCAGCAAAATGGTAACTAGCACTGAAGGGAACTCATGGAGAGACTTTAAAATACAGTCCTGATACTCTGCTACACACACATTATCTCTTTTAAATGCTCCAACGTTTCTGCCTGAAACATCAAAAATGAGACCTACAGAGCATAGACAGTCATGCCAGGTCGCTCCTCAATCCTGATGGCCTCGTCAGTTGGAGTTGGGGGGCTCTGCTGGTATATGGTGGGTATACGGATGCCAACTATCAAGCGACGAGATAGGACACCATCATTCCTTGGGTACACATTGATGATGATGGGCGCTGCTGTACCCATGGCTTCACCTGCACCAGAGGTTGAAGTTAAAAGGGGGGGGGGGGGGGGGACATAAAAGAAGACAAAGGAGCAAAAATCTAATTTTAAGGGTACATGCTGTACAATATAATGTTTTATGTGAATGACAACAATCATACTTTTTCTCTTGTCACTACAAAAAAGCTCATTAGTGCTTCAGACTATAAATAGAAACCATATTACATGATGTTTCTGCACTGAGACCCAGTTTGCAGATTGCACTTCCTGTTGCCCAGGGTTATATTTTTCAGACAGAACGGGGATAATGACCTCGATCAACACTAACGTCTGCACATTTCCCAGCATCATCGGGCTGGTAATTCCAAAAGGATGTTCTTAAAAGTGAGACATATATCTGTGCCAGCTTCAGTTGTAATCATATGGCTTTTAAGCACCATGGGATGGACCATTTTTTAAAATTAATTAGGCACTATGAAAGATATAAAAAGAGGAGTATGAAGTTAACCTAGCATCAGGTCATGTCCACAGTTCCTAAAACAAGAAATGAGTTAGGTAAGTCAAAAAAGGAGAAATTGAATACATTTACATGGGCTTAAATTTCCCTGTAGGTAGCTGTACCTGATTTATCAATTTTCTTATCATGCTCAGGTGTTCACAAGCACACAGAGAAACCTGCTTACTCATATCCTGTAAAAGGAAATGAGAGTGATGGCAAAGATTTAAGTTGACTTTAACTCTGAATAGCAACACCACCACCATATTGGACAAGGAAAAGATGGGTATACTTTCCAAAGTGACCTGTCTTGCTCTGCTGTACAAACTGGGAATCCAGTGTCCTGCTCACCATGAAGTTAAATAGGTCAGCACTTTGATGATTTCTACCATCTTGACTTCCAATTATATTGAATTCCTTCATTAATAAAAAACAAACTCAGCCTTTTTGCCTTTTCAGTAGTAGAACGCTTTGGAGACATCTTAATGTATAATATGACACAATACAATATGATCTAATAGAATATGATAAGATACCACACGATAGATGTGATATGATAGAATAGGCTCAATATGAGATGAAATGATGTACATTATGACATGATACAATGATATAAATTGACACAACATGATATGATAAAATAGGATAAAAAAGCATAACACCACAGGACATAACACGACACGACATGATAGATTATGATGTGATATCAGATACGATCCGACACAGTAGATGATCCAGCAGAAAGCTTTCCTCTGACTGGCTCACCTTGTTCGTTGCTTCCTCCAATGTACATGAGCAGCTTCCTCACCAGCTCTCCTGTCACTTGGTCAAAGGTCCTCCCCTCAGAGGAGACAGCAGCATATTTGGCAGCATCATACCTCCGTACCTCAAAGCTAACTCCATCCTGGGGGATAGGGGGAAACGGGGTGGGGATGGGGGCGGGTCAGAAGGCCAACCAAGGCTACACATCATGGCATGCACAAATGCACCAATGCAGACATTGCTCTTATACACATGCACCCACACACTCTAAAACATTTTTTTCTCATCCTCAGGATGGGAGTAGAGATGTTGAACTCATATATGATTCACCTCTCACACATTGATGTTGACTATCTGCACCCTGGGGAAAAATCCTTCAGCCAGTGGGTTTACACTTGGAGGGGTTCCCTGTGTGTGTATTTGTGTGTGTGAAACTGATGTGGGCAGCCAAATAATAAGATGCAGATGAAGCATATTTACACTGATCTGATTTAATTTCTTCTTCTGCGCTGCAGTGTGCAGTCAGCCTACAGAAAATAATGGGCAAGAGATGTGCGGTCTTACATAACAGCACAGAGGCAAAATAGCCTCTCACACACTTACACACACACAACTTGCCCCCATTCACAGACACTCAGTGGTGTTGATATGATGCAACAGTTTTGCATTAAATATGATTAAGTGGGGCTAATATGAAACACACCCAGCCAGCTGTGCTGCTGAGCAATTACTTTAAAAGGTTTTGAAAGAATTTGGTCACTGCAGAAAGAGTGATGAAGGTTTCATTAGCAGCTACTCACTCCTCTAATGGGATTTTCTCTGTGCGATAATACACAGTTTACAGCTCTGAATGTGTCCGGAAAAGGTTTTGAAGCACTAAAACTGAACTTCAAGATGTGATTTAGTTAGATTTTTTCCAAATAACACATAGAAACATCACCGTAGCCAATCAGAGGCAGAAATGGGCAGCAGCTTATTTCTTTTTGCAACAAAATAAAAACACAATTTACTCCTGAAAAAAGCCAATCTGTTTGATAAATAATGTTCAAACCAACACACAGACTATTTTGACAATCTGATACTGAACATTCTCTTTCATGAATTCATGATCCACAGTGTCAAAAGTGCTTTCAAAATAAAAATTACCAGCGCTGAACAGTCTTCTTTACTAGTCAAGGACTTGATAAAAGTGTGACTACTGTTAAAGCAGCTGGTATAGTGCTGTGTCTCTTTCTAAAACCTGATTGCTAATCAGATCAAATATTATCGGTTAATGAAAAGTGTTTGATTTGGTCACTTATTAAGGGTTTTAAAGTTTTGCTGAAAGATAAAGTTCCAAAATGGTCCTAAAGTTGTTTAAAGGTATGTTTCAAGGTAAGGCATATTTTATGAAAGCATGAAGGCGTCTTGATATTCAAGTGTGATGTGAAGTTGCCCTCTTGCTGTAAACAAATTTTGGCTTTTGGTCCATCTCCATTTTCTGTCTATTTCCAAAACATGGACATAGTGTCAGTGATTTTTCTCTGAAGGACAGAGGTGAAAGTAGGATAAGGTTCTTGCAGGTACTGTACCCATTGGCTTTGTACAAGAGGAGCACATCCAAGTTTAAAGTAGTGCCAACTCTGATGCCACAGTATCATCATCATCTGCTGCATCTCTCTTTCTCTTGAACCCCAAATCGATTTTTCTCTGCATTTTGTTTTATCTCTGCGTTAAGATTGAAGCAGCTGTCTCATTAAAAGTTCCCTTCTTCCGCAAAAGGCGGGAGGCGGTCCCCAGCGCCTAGGCAACCAGCGTCCAATCAAAAGTGCGCACTGAGTTCTCCCACAGCTTGTTTGTTTGCGGAAGCAAATACGGCTCATACGAAAGCAGCATGGTCCAATTGGATTACTACGGTTACAAAGCAGAGTGCACACTGACGTGCGGCAACACGGTAAGCTAATGTAGCCTACATGCATTGCAGAGATGAAAGATTGCGTACCGCTGCGTACCGCTGTGTACCGGCTTACTTTCACCCCTGCTGAAGGAGAGTTTTAAAGTCATCTTGTAGGAAACGCTGGCAGTGGCAGTGGTAGAGTTGAGGTGGGCCTTTAGCCTTCTTTAACAGCAACAGTGTGCCCACCTCTTAGTCATTTTGCCATGGCTCGAATGCTGCAAAATTCATAACCCTCATAACTTTGAAATTCATCATTATAAAAAATGATTTACAACCCATTCTGAGTGTATGGTAGAGAAATAGGCAAATCAGATCAAATACCCTTTTTATACCAGGCTGTAAACTTGTTTTATGACTTAAATCAGCTTTATTTCTCAAGAGTGGGGGTTGCTGCTTTGATATAACTGCTGTGGCTGGTTTAATTGACTTGTTTGGCTCTTTGCTGAGTATCAAAGTTTAAAGCTTTAGCTCTGTTTCTATGCCTGTTTCGAGATTAATCAAAAGTTAGTTGGAGTCAGTATTTCAAATACAGTGACCGCCATCTTTGGGCTTCAAAACTTCTGTCCAGAAACCAATGGGTGATGCCACTGAGACTATTTCCATGCTTTATCCTGGCTATGGTCATTTCTTTGTGTTCAAATGTGTTAATCTCCCAGTATTTGATTGTCTTGAAGTTGCTGTATTTGTGTCATTTATATCCTCCTACTTTAACCCCCCCTCAGGAAACCCAAACTTAAGTAACCACCCTGTTATTATGAAGTTCTAACTTGTGACAGGTGCCCACGCTCTCTCTCGGTAATTATTGCAGCTCTGCTCTGTACGGCTTGTCAGTGAGACCAACATTAACAATGTTTGTTAGTGACAAACCAAGAACCTGACTTCCAACTAAGCAGTGCAATTAATTTGTCTTCCTTGTGTGTGTGTTTAGCTGCTGTCTAATGTGAGCTTACACAGTTATAATTACTGTGGGCCTCAGCAGAGCCCACTGAAGGTATTATCAGCACCCTGTGTGTTAAATTGTCGTGTCATTCTAGATAATCTTCAGGCAAACTTCTGATTAAACTCCACCTCTCTGATGCTGTCACTGTGTGTGTATACCAAAAGTTTGTGTGTCTCCTGTTAGATAACTCCCCTGTATTGTGTGTCAGTTTTAATTAACAGTGTAAGGTGTCAGATTCAGGCCGTCGCTCCACAGATCAGGTAACAAGCTCTGATTCCAATACCTGACATTTAGACGGGTCGGTCAAGCTCTGAGATTTAACAAGCCCTGAGCTCTGACCTTTAAAGGAAGAGAAAAGTTCTAACATGCTGCTTCTGGATTCGTTTACTGAATGATTGTTCTCTGATTATCTTCTTGGGCCACTTTTCAGCAGACCTCACTCAAATGTTCGACCTTTTCTTAAAGGTATCTGCAACAAAATGCTTGTTTTTTAAGTTTTAATATTAATATAAACTTTCACCTAAAATATTTTACTCATGCAGCTGATGCCAGGACTGTTTCTTTGAATTTAAGATCCAAAAGAAGATAATGCTTGTGCTGGTGTTGCTGCCTTTAGTTCATTTGGTACTGGTCAGTCTGGCTTGAAACCCTCATTGTCTCAGTCAGAGCAAAAAAGTGAGCTACTATTCAGATATTAAAAACACAAAAGCCACTTTTAAACCCTGAGCCAAATTTTACGTCACATGGCAACTTTACAGCAATGCACCATGGGGCATCAGGACAAAGAGTGAAGACCCTTCAAATGGCTGTTTGACAGAGCTTTAGCTTACAACTCCCATCAGTGAGTTTACTTTAGTCTTTCCAAAGTGTGCATACTCCACACACACATCCCCAACTTTATAAGGATTAGGAATTTGATGGTCTGACATGTCTCAAAATGGTTGGAAAAGGGAATATTAAAACAGAAAAAGTTGTGTCATATAAAAACATCTTGAGGAATTAGTTTTCTTTATTTGCAATATGATAGTAACATGACTGAATGCAGAAGATGACATATCATTTTATTAGAGAATCCAGGAAAGTGGCTATGATCTTCAGGCTTTCAGGTACCCTTCTTAAAGACAGACATGACCCCCATGTCCCTTTTTCTTCTTCTTACCAGAGAACAGTTTAAAAGCCAGCTTCCCTGGTGATATAGGGATGTGTAAGTGTCCCTGACATGGCTTGCTTACCCATCTGGAAGGGCACCATTAAAGGGATATTCCGGCGTAAAATGAATTTAACACACCATAACACTGAGTTAGACACCACCCCGAGAGATGAATGTTGCTGACCACTTGCTTCTCTACTTATACCAACTTTAGGAACGACTGTAGGATAGCCATACACAGCAGTCTGAGGAGCCACACACAAACCCCAACCAAAATGCCACTCTACAGCCACAAATAATGCTCAGAACAGCACCAACTTTCTTTCAGCAGCCACTTGTTTGTAGTGAGACCTCGGGCCAGTCTATTATGGACTACAGCGGGTGATGCAGCTCAAGGAAGAACATTTATGATCATTTCTTGATGGAAATGGAATCAGACCGAGACGCTAAGGCAAAAGAACTACCGCGTCTGCAGTGCAAAAATGATTAATATGGTGATTATTACTTCATGGAAATGATAAAGAAATTATCATAAATGCTCTTCCTTGAGCTGTGTCACCCGTTGTAGTCCATGATGGACTGGCCTGAGGTCTCACTACAAACAAGTGACTGCTGGAAGAGAGAGGGTGAGTTGTGTTTGGTCTCTTTGCTAAAGAAATCAGGCAAAGCTAAAAAGATGTTTGGTGGCTAGTGCTATGGCTGGGACCCTATATGTACTGTTAATGAAGTTTGGTGCTGTTCTGAGCATTATTTGTGGCTATAGATTGGCTTTTTGGTTGAGCACCTTGCTCTCTGTGTTGCTATCTGCAGTCGTTATTCAAGTTGGTATAACTAGAGAAGCAAGCGGTCGGCAACATTCATCTCTTGAGGGGGTGTCTAACTTAGTGTTATGGTGTGTTTGACCCTGAATCAATTTTACGCTGGAATATCCCTTTAATGCTGAAGAGTATAAGCAGGTTTTAGTGCTGTCTTCTTTTGTGACAGAACTGTTAAGCATCTGAAATCAGGCAAATGTGGGGTGTTTTGCTTTTAAAACTCCAGAAACTGGTGCCCTTGATTCTCTTACATTTAGAAAGTGTTGTTAAAGAAGATAGATAGATAGATAGATAGATAGATGGATAGACTTTATTGATCCCAAACTGGGAAATTCACAAAAGAAGAGGGGATGCAACATAGTGGTAAACAAGTCCCTGTCCCTATTCCGCTATGTTGCTGGCCAAAATGTGACATACATTTCTCAGAAAAAGGTTTAATTTCCAACTCATGGAAATGGGGCTGTATTTTGACCCAAGCATGAGGAGAGGATGGGTGAAGATGAGGATGAGGATGGTGGGTCCTGCATTAAAAAGGGCATGCCCTTCTTCCCCTGTCACGTCAGTTGTCTGTGTCACTGATGGTCCCTGTATCAGTGTACACATCCTGTCAACTTGTGAGCTCATGGGTCAAGCTCATGGGTCAACCACAAACTAGATCTGCATCCTCTTCTAGGCCAGCTTGTTCCCTGTGGTTTCACATGCACATGAACACACGCGCATGAACTTCTTTTTTCCGTGCGCACTTACATCTATGGTGTCATGACGCAAATAGATACTGCTTTCTGCGCAACAATAAATCAGAAACAGACCCTTTGGCCGGAGTGAACTGTCTGTGCGCGCTTGTTTGCGTGCGTTTGTTGTTGTAAGGTGACGCAGGGCTCTGTATCACCATCTTAAATCGAGTCTGCTTGTTGATTGGCAGAGGACCGCCGGCTGATTGGCCCCATTGCCTCACACTGGGGCTCAGCAGGCACACTTATAGGTCAGAAGTAATTAACTGCTGTCAGTCAAGGTTACAGGGGTGCAGATAACCGCGGGAGGAAAACTGCTAAGGCAGTGACCGTTCAGGAAAAAATATGTAACAAAACATACTTGGTAATGTTAAATACAGGATTGAATATATCCCTGCAAACATAAAGGACGCCCTGCACTTCACAGCTCGGTGCGTAATCGTCGCTGCACAAGCGCGCACATCCATGGCGAAAGCTCATAAGAAACAAGGAAAGGAGGTTAAAAAGATCACGATGACGAAGTTTTTGCAGCTTACCTTCGTCTCACTGCTGAGCAGTTTGTACTCCGTCTCCTCGGTGTTTCCGAAGAGGGAATTTTTAATCATGCCAAACATGTCGCTTCAGCTGGTCACCTCTTCTCTCTCCACTTTTTGGTTAGTTGCTCTTCCTCCCTGCCTTCCCTTTTTAAGGTTTTGTGCACAGATTCCCCTATAAGGCTTCCCTCTGGGATCGTCCAATTCTTTAGGCAATCTCTGTAAACGATTGGCAACTTCTGGCTTCAGCGCGCAAAATACGCGTCCTGGTCCAGCGAGCTCCACCACAGAAGTTGGAGGTGCTGACTCTTCGCCCCTTCGCCGAACCGAGGTATGAACAAATCAGCCTCCACTGTGAAGGGTGAAGTGTCTCCGCCCTCCTCCTCCTCCTCTCCTCCTCTGAGTTTTTTCTTCACTGCAACTGGACGCAGACTTATGTCACTACCTTTCACTCAAACACGTTTAAGTTCACTTAAAGTGGGGCATCAGGCTGACAGGATCGGGCTAATTCTCCATGCTTTATTACCCCCATATGAGCTCAGGTTGCGCTGACATTAAAAATATATGAACTTGCATGACTAATCCCTGGTATAAGCTGCCCCACAGTCAAAAGAAGGTCAGTGTTTTCATCTAACCTCTCGACGTAGTGTAACCTTCGGTGGCACGCAGCTTTTGTTGGACTCTCCTCTCATTGTTTATCAGGCCCGCTGTTCCATGATGCGGAAAACAGTGGGCTTTGGAGAACACATTTACATCCCGCTTTCTGTGCTGTAAAAATTTTGACACAAGCCGTTGGTTTGTCAGTTTGCATTGGACTTTCTTTCCCTGGCTGACTGTGTTGGTGTGTGTATGTTGGTTTGGGGCAGTAGCATGGGCGCACGTCTTGCTCCCTTCCCTGTGTCACTGTGAGTTGTTTGCTTAGGGGTCCGTCTACTCAGATTCACACTGAGGGCAACGTTAGTCAGCACTGGAGAGTAAAGGGAAGCAGGAGGGTGGAATTATTTAGGAAAAAAGGGGGGGAAAGGATAACATGAGGCCAGGGGAGCAGATGCGGAGTGTTAGGTAGCTTCACACTGAGGGAAAAAACAGGAACATGACCAGTGGTGTATTTAGTTGGGGGGGCAAAGGGGACGACTGCCCCTCCTGGTGCCCTCATGTGCAAAAACAAACAAGCAAAGGCTGCAGAAGTGCCCTTTTGGATGCCCTTAGAGTAAATAAGCATTACAAAATGCCCTCAGGTGCCCTCCTTTTGGAAAACATGTTTAAAAAAGTCCTCTGATGCCCTTCCAGCGAATAAAACATGGTTCTTCACCCCTCTTATGTGTGTTTGGTTATTATGTAAGGTTTGTGAGTTAAGTTTTGTACTCTGAAAGGCATTGTTTTTAACCATACAGTTTGTAGATATTGTAATATTGAGTGATATCTCATGATCAGGTTGCTGGCTTTCAAGGACAAGAAGTACTATGATCCTCTATTCTTTTGCACATAACAACCACTCTCTTTCAACCAGAAATCATTTAAAGACTGTATCTAATTGAAAATGGACTAAGACAAAGTACTAAATGTTATTTTATGAAAGTTTCTATGACTATTGCGTCGTCAAAATAGTTGGAAATCTGGAGAAACCTTTTTACAACAGGGAACAAGGCTTATAGTTGATAATAGATAGCCATGATCTTCAAGGCCTTTAGGCAGCACTACGATAAAAACAGACATGACTCTGTAGTGGAAATCATCACATAGGCAGCCCCGAACCATTTTCTGTGATACACTTTGTTGCTGCATCAACAAATGCATGTTTGAACTGTACCATGCAAAGAGGAAAACACATATGAACATGATTAAGATATGCAAGTGACTTTTGGGCCAAAGTAAAAGATCAAAATTTGACATTCTTTTCGGAAATCATGGATGGGAAATACAGGTTTTGGAACAACATACAGGTGTGCTGTCTTCTAAAACTCTAGAAACGGATCCCCTCTGGTCTCAAATATCCGCTGAGTGCTTGATTTTAATATGAGCCCTCATCTTTCATAGAAACCCACTGAGCATTTTTTTTTCTAAAACAAGTCTAATAAACATCTAAATGTAGCCTAGACGACTGGTCTGAAATCAGGCTACCACAGGTCTAAAAATTAAAGTTTTTTTAGATGCCTAAATTTTGACCAAGTTTAGACTAAATCTAAATCTGGGCTATATCTAAACTACACTGTATATTGCTCAATGGCAACTCAGTTGCTTTTTGAAATAAATAGTTATAGAATAATGGGTTAAAGTGCAACATCTAGATTCTGTCAAAAAATAGACAGAATTTAGACGGTTGAAATTAGGTCCAGAAAAAACCCTCGGCCTTTAACAGCCGTCTGTTGCTCAGTGGGACAATATTAGTTTTTGGTTTTCATAATTTGTTTACCTGTATTTGCAGTTTAAAAAAAACAAAACAAGAAAAACATGATGTAATGTTCCAGTAAATTCATTATAATTCATTTACAGCTTTCAGTCTGTGCCCAGTGATACATAGCAGATGCCCTTTTTTATGCCTCCTCTCTTCAAAAAACAGCCTGAGTTCTCCATGAAACATGATTTTATCCCAGTATTTATTAAACCACACTTGAATATGGTTGTTTTTATGTTCATGTTGTCCTGGAAGGCACCAATAAGTGTGTCTTTCATATCTGCTCCTGGCTGATACTCTTGCCCGCTGTTTGACATGCACTGTTGTTATTTTTTGGATTTTTCCTCTTACATAATGTAAGATTGTCTACCACAGGAGCACAGAGATAACATCATTCTGGCTTATGTACACCTCTGCGTGCAGCCTCATGCTGCCTTGAAACTCCCCTAAAAATAGTGAGAAACAGCAACGATTTAGCTGTTCTGATGCCGGGGCTAACCTGTAACTTCATGCAGACATGCTTCCATACGTTTTTATACTCTTGTATGATGTCAAAAGGCCTTTTTGTTTACCACCAATCTACTTGAAGAGTGTTCACAGGGCACTTCATTCACATTTAATCAACTGATAGGGCAGTCAGTGGTCACTTTCTTCACATTTTGGCCAATAGAAGAGCATTCAGAGGGCACTTCATTTAAATGTATTAATCTATTGACATCTTTGAGGGCATTTCGTTGTCTTTTGTTTCCTACAAATGTACCAAATGTAGAGGTTAATTTACAGGTAATCGGGAAAACGAAACAATAATCTGGTCTCTTTAACAGGGTAAATCACCACATACCATGCTGCCATCGCCCTCAGTACTAAGTCAAGTTTTGTGTAATACAACTCTGGGGATACAAGTGATTTGCTGACCTTAAGTCAAGATCTTGAGAAAGCAAGTGAAATTGAGTTATCACGCCCCTATGCATAGAGGCTGTGGTCCCTGGAGCAGGCGACCCGGGTTTGATTCAAACCTGAAGCTCTTTACCAAGTCATCCTGAACTGTCTCTCCTAGTTTTCCACTCTATATGTTGTCTTTTCCCCTCATTAAAGGTGCCCCCCCCTCAAAATAAATAAATAAAATTAAAAAATAAATGAATTAAAAAACAAATTAAAAAATGATACGGGTTGCCAACAAATGTAAAACATACAGGTTTAGGATATTTATATTTAATAGGATCTCAAAAACTCTGACTCAGATTTATCTGATAAATGGTCAAAATTAAGTTTACTTACAGTTTCATATGAATAGATGCTTTTGTAGTTAACATTTAGGAAAAATGTCTAAAAAGCAGGTGTGGAAATGTTGAATGCTACGTTATATTTACAGCTTAACACATTTTCACAGTTGCTTAAAATACTCTCAGATCACATTTAGATCATGTTTATTCCTTTTGACTGTTGACAGAAAAACAAAACAGAAACAGGTGACGCTTGCTTGAAGCAGTCCATGACGGTACATCCTCTTGTCTGCCAGACTCCAGCCAAATGTTGATGTTTGATCAGCCATAGAAAAGTCATTGCCAAAGTCAACATTTCCCTGTGATGCTGCACCCTCCCGTGGCCTCACTTCTCCCAGCCTTTACCTCCGGGCTGAGTGGGCAGTCTAAGCCCCACCAGGCCTGCAACTTCCTCGGGGCTGCGTTCTCCCTTGCCGTGGTAAAGGTTGTGCAGGATCAGGTGGTTCCTTGTGGAGGCCAGCAAACACAGGTAGGTGTGTGCATCATGGTGTGCCTCCTGCTGGGCACGGCAGTACCTCTCTCCTGTTACCTGTGAGAGGGGAAAAGAAGAGAAATATCAGAGCAAATCAACTGGTGAAGACAACTCTGATGGTCGCTGCAAACTGGACAGATTACTTGAGTCCTTGTACTTTGCTCATAAATTAATCAGCGTAAAGAAAATAATATCAAGTGAACATCTATGAAGAAAAGTCTCTAGGTCTTGCTGGTGGAAATGTTTCCCCAGTCACAGATCACAACATAAACAAAGATGCCAAGGTTTCAGGCTTTTCTGCTAAGAAATCCCTTTTCCTTATTCACTGGAAGAGCTGCATGGACACTGAGCATTTGGTCCAATCCCTATATACTCTGACATATACATTATAACGCCTCTGGGATGTTTCAGAGCAGGGACAAACACACACTGACAAGCAAGAGTTGCTTCTAGCTGTTTTGCTTCAGTGACTGCACATGCATTCAACCACCCTGGTGAGCCATGCTCTCTCAAGCATGAACAATCCAAGCTTTAAGCCTATATGCCCAACAATCCTGAGCCTTCATCTGAACTGGCAGCTCCACTGCGCAAGGATACAAACAGAATCACAAGCACTTAGGTGGATATGATGGGTACAAACTGACTGATGTATGCTGTGATTTCAATGCAAATACAGTCATACATATTTAGAATTCAGGACTCCCCTTGACCACAACAATATTTACCTGGAAGCTTTTTACAGGTTTCTTATTTTATTTATTATAAGTGATGATAAAAATCTGGACTGTGTTAATGCAGTCATCCCAATGCAATCTGATCAGAGATTAGAATATTTTTTAATTTCAATCAAATGCAATTGGTCACTTTTAGCACACTGTAGTTACATCTGCGGTGTCTTCCTGCTGTCAATATGATGATCAAAATGTCATCATTTGACAACTCTTATTAAAAAAAAATTCCAGGTTTCTCTAGAGGTTTGGTTTCTGTAAAACGGAAAACATTATTAGAGGTGGACCAGTCCTAGGACAGTTATGGATAGACATCTAAAAACTTGACTTAGTGCATTTATTTTTCCCAGAAATGACAGCAAATTTAATATATATATATAAAATTTACTGTTACTGTTTTGTAATGTTACTTCTTTCCTCTTTGCTTCTCAATCCTGCACATACAAGGCCAGGGAATGACTGTATGAACTCACATTGAACAAGTAACTTGTTTACGACAGATGACCAAGGCTCACAACTCGTGCTCTCCCTGTACACATTTAACTACGACAGGATTAAGACAATTATCAGTAAAGTTTACTTTGAAAACTTCCACACATGGAAGCTAAAGTCAGAGAAAATCACTTTGATCATAAATAAAGGGTACAGTTACAGCTTCTCTGATCTGTCTGCAAAATCTAAAAATACAGGAGCTTTGCAAAAGCAAAATCTGAAGTACAGCTGATGTGTATAAAGTGTGTATAACAGCTGTCCACATCCTAGGGTGTGTTGCCAAGGTGCTTTCAGATGCTGCTATTTTGCACAGGCACAATCAGGAAAAACTATGAAAAGTTCGTTCGATTCCTCTACGATTTTTTGGATGCCAATTTGACTTAAATCGGCATTCTAAGATATTGTCAATTTTCTCGATTTTAAGTCTGCATTTTTAACACCAGTGAAACAGTTGAATGATAATGATTGTCTACTGACTATTCCAGGAACCATTTTTCCCCAAAAAATACACATCACATGTAAGTCAGTTTTTAAGATTTATTCATAAATTTGGAGAAAAAAAAAACGATTTTTGAACATAAAAATTGATTTAAAATTTGTAAACCAAAAGACTGCAATACTTTTGTGAATTTTCTCCCACCCCTAGCATTTGGTTAGAGGCAGTCTTACCTGCAATCTTTAATATTAACATGTTTAATATCTACAGAACCCATGTCAGGAGTTAATTTAGTCTGTAAAATAGCTGAACTGACACCACAACCTTAAGAATTTTTTTTTGACAAATACTCAGTTCCAGCAGGTCTCAAATTGGACCACACCACTGATTTTGGGGGGTGGCAAACTGGGTGTAAAACCATCTATTGTGTGGCCAGCCTTTTACGGCTACCCTCAGCTTAATTCACTTCTATTTGATTAGTGTATACCAGGCCTTGATCATGTTTTCATACACTTTCATCCCACTTTATTTGGCTATTCAGAAGTCTTAAACCCTGCAAATGTAAACAAAGGCTGTTATGGTAGTGTGTGCTTTAACTCATAAACTCCCATTGGATAACAGTGGCATGTAGAAATAATCAGTCATGTGGCTGGTGGCCTCCTTCACTTAAACAGGTCATATATAAGCATCGAAGTAAATTTTCAGCCCATTTTAAACCCAGTTTCAAACTCCTCAAAGGAGCTCTAATATTATAAAAAGAGAATGCTGCTTCTAAGTGAGCCAATTTGGGCTTATAATTAATTTTATACGTCCATACAGGTCAATTAATTCCGAAGAATAACACAATGTATGTGTCTTTAATGTACTTCGTAGATGACTCAATTATCACCAGTGTCAACACATGCTACAGCTGCTGCTACTGTTAGCATGTCCTCTACTCCTCAGTCACCTTGCTTTACTTATATACCAATGCTGGTGATGACTACTTCCCGGTGTCACTTTTCGCATTTGCAGAACTCTCGTGTCTGTAAACGACCGAAACGCAAACAACACATCTACTTATCTTGCCAAATAAACACGCTATCATTAAAAAGTAATCGAGTTAGCTAACGTTAGCCACGCACTCCGATGTTTGTTATGATAGTTAGCCAACTGAGCTAACGGTAGCTGAAAAGCAAGTGACGCTTAACTCGCCTTGTTCTTGCGAAACTGGTCCATAACGTAGCTGTACGCCAGGGACTTTTTGTAACTTGGTCCTTGGATGGCACGTAGTTCTTTCATGATCCCTCTACAGACTCGTAGAGGTGATGATAGCGCTGCCATCTCTAGACGCTGTGTTCGATTGTGCAGGCAGACTCAATCGAAGTCAGAAAAGTCATTACATTACTTTACACCGAGCACAGGAGGGCGCCAACTTACAACAAGAAGTTTTTTGCCCGCACGACGCTGTTCCCAACTATAATGAAAAATTTTCAATCTCGCAACACCTTTGAAATAGTTTCATTACCTAGTGTTCAAATAAAACGAAAAACAGAACCGTTAAATGTCACTCATGACCGAGTTAAACCGGACGGATGGGATGGATTTACAACAGCAGATGGACAAACAAACGAAGTTTAAGCTAGCAACAGCGTGTCAGAGTTTCGTCTTTGTGATCGGTGTATCACAAACTTTTTTCTGAAACCCTTGAATACAGATTAATATTTACACACTTTTGCAATAATCAACGTTTTAGCTCATTATTCAACCTCAAAATAGCTGGTTTTCTCCCTTCAAACTTATCTACTCTTGGGGTAAACGACAGGAAGGAGTAGACACAACAGGTGCAGCAGGTAAGTAATTTTTTTTAGCCTTAGTTCATGAAAAATGTGATTTCCCCGGGGTAAGGAAAATAGTTAAGTTAGGTTTGTGTTGATACAACAATAATACTCAGAAATGTTAAGGTAAAAGTGCTGTATTTTCCACCGATATTGAGTCTTAGTATGAAAGTGGTGGAAGATGGGAAGTATTGCAATTGAAGTAATGTAGATTACTTTGTCACCTCTGCTGCAACCACAATTCAGTGAGGGTTGAGATGCCAAAAACAATGCTGGTAAAAAAGAATTTGATGGTTTGGACTTTTTTAGACCCCATGTTTAATTTAGTTTAGATAAGTTTATTTGTTTATTCGAACAGGTTAAAAGAAAAACAAAATAAATACAATATACAATGTGCTTTGGCAGAAAAACTAATAAAGAGACAGCTCTGTAGCAACATAGATGATCATACTTTGTTCAAAAGGGTGTAAGATGAAGTTGATAACTTATTTAGTCCTATCCCTTTATTGTTGTGTTACTGTAATTTAATCAGTCAGAGCATGTGTAGGAATAACAGCACAGAAGAAAGAAAATATATCAGAAAAAAAGGCACATTTCCCATTGTTATAAATTCGTGTTTCAGTTTCTCTCTTGTATCTACTCAGAATGTGGTTTATAAAAATAAGTTTGATTTTCTGTGTTGTTGTTTAAAAATGCACATTCCCCTGAGATTATGTTTGTTTTTCTCTTATTTGAAACAACTTTTGGATGCCCTGTGGTAACTGATTCTGATTTGCTTTGTACATGCTCTCAATAGTTTTGAGGTCGACCAAATCCTTGAACTTTAGTGCCTGCAGTTTGACAAAGAGTGCAAAGACAGCATATTATCATGTTCCTGTTTTTTGTCTTCATATAAATCTCATTTTCTGCATATCTCACAATCCCATTTGTAAATCAAACATCTTAGTGGCAGATGACTATCTAACATGATTCTGGTCCTGTTCAAGGTTTCTGCCTGTCAAAAGAAAGTCTTTCCTCCTTATTGTAACTTGCTCAGGGCTACAAAATCTTCTCCTCATAGTGGATAAGAATGTGATAAAAATGGGAAATATCCGGATGAGACTTGATAAAAACAGAGTATGGTATCGAACAGTTCTTTGTTTTAAAGCGCTTTGAGATAACATTTATTGTAAGTTAGTGCTTCATAAAAGATGATTGATTGATGTAAAAAATGTTGAACCTACATTTTTTAATTGTTTTATAAAAATATATTTGCTTAGTCCAGGTCTGATAGCAGCAACATGTTTCAAAGCATTTTCAAACTGTTAAGACAGGGGCATTTTGTGTTGCATCAAGGTCTTAACATTTCTAATAACTAAAAAGCATTAGTTGACACAGGCTTCTGTTTTATTTTAATTCTAGGTAAACAGATGGCTAAGGTTGAGGTTAAGCAGAGACAGCTGTAGGACTTCAAGAGCTGTAGTTCCCTGTGTTTTGAAGGATCCATCCAAAGTCATCAAAGAGAGTTGAGAGCTGTAGCAACTGCGCTCGGACACATTTGAAGCCCTGTTCAGCTGGATTCAACCTACAGCTTCATCGTAGGTAAGTCCCCCATACTCAGATATACTGAAATGTTACTGAACCTCACACACCCCACCTGTGATTGTGAATGAATTCAGATAGAGGTTTGGTTCTGAATGAAATAATACAATGGAGTGATAGGGCCTCACAAAAGATGAAATAATGTTGAGACTTAAAGAACAAAGTGGTACATGTTATGACAATAAAGTTCTTGTGTCAAGAGAAAGAATGTCATTATGTTAGTAAAAAATCTGACAAGGTGAAATATTAGGGGGTTAATAGTATGATAAATGGAGCCCATGTTCATATTTGTGCAGAAACAGGTTGACAATAGGAAAAAAAAGTGTTGGTAAGAAGAGCATTTATCTTGACATAACTGCTGCAGATATGCAGCCACACACTGAGTGATGCCACCTATCTTTTTGTGTTACTACCTTAGATTTGGACATGTGGAAGCTGTCATCTGTTACCATGGCAACACTGAGTTTAGCTCAGGGGAGATGCAGAGAAAAGGATCAGTGAGTTTAAACACTATGCAGACATGAATAAATCGGCGTCTCATGATCTAAAGAAACAAGAGATGATGATAAATGCTTCAAAAAAGAAAGAGTATTACATTTTACTTAGAAAATGGAATTATTTGAAGGTTGTATTTGATGCTTTGCTGAGTTATCCCTATTTTGGTGTTGTCCTATTGTGGCAACTTGGTACCAGAGTTTTTTTTTTAGATTAGCCCTGAGAACAGTGATTATTATGAACAATCAATTCATGCTATTTTCTAACGATGCACGATCCAGATTTTGAAATTCAGCCCATTACTGACCCAAATAGCTTGATTAGATTTCAGCGACGAGGAGCTGATACATGCTACTGATCTGCTCCATTCAATTCCATAGTTTGGGAAACAGAAACACTGTGTATGTTATCTCGTGCCATCAGCGCACAAGTAGGCCTCTGCATTTTGCTGGGTGGAGCTAAAGTAGCATGGCCAACAGCAAAGGCTTTGCAATTCTGATAAATGACTTTTCTCTAGAAGACCCCGTGACTTCTGTTTACATGGAGCATGATCTCCTCTGATGTGGTGTTTACATGCTCCAGGTGCCCTTCGTACTCTTAGTAGTGTGACTCACAGTGAGTGTGACATCATAGCATAGCAACACAATAATAGCACAGCAGTTGAGGGTCTGTTGTGTAGATGAGGAGCTTTTGTTGCTGTCTTGTTTTTATGAAAAGAGAGGTTTGAAAGACCTTCATATCATATCTAAGGTTCTAATCCAGAAACAAGATGTAGACATTTGCAGAACAAAATCAGCAAAGGAACTTATGTATTTCTTTCTTTCTCTTATTTTCTCTTTTTTCTTTCTTTATCTTTCTTTTTATATTTCTTGTTTTCTCTTTCTTTTTTCTTCTTTCCTTTTGTCTTTGTTTGTTTCTTTTTTCTTGCGAAAGACAGAAGAAAGGAAGAAATAAGGAAGGAAAGAAACAAATCTCTCATTCCCTTTTTTTCTTTCTTTCTGTCTTTCTTTTCTTGTTTTCCTTATTTCTTTTTATAGGTTTTATACAATTTCAGCTTTATTTTTATAGCTGCTTTTGAGAGGTTTTTTTAGCACCTGTTTTTTAAACTGAAATACAAATCTTAAATATGGCTATATTAAAGGTTATTTTGAAAATTTGCGCTTACTCAAAAATGTGATGAATGGCAGCCTGAATAACTCAAAGAGCGTTCACCTAAAATCTTAAAATGAAGACTTAAGGCACCTTTTTCGTGCCTCTGGTCTGCCGTGGAAGTACAGTTTGGTATTTTGGTGAGTGGCGCAGCCCAGCCCAAGTACCCCCCATAGTCTTGACTCCTCCCAGCGGCGCAAGTAGGAAAGAGGGAAGGGAGAAGGTGTGGAGTGGGTTAAACACAGTCGAGTCCAATTTTCACCAACCACACCAGCTCCTCTCCTCACCCTTAAATCTGCCACCAGCGAGACGTATTGCAAATTTTGTGAAGTAGTTGAAGAGATGGCTGGAGACAGCAATGTCAGACAGGGGCGACTGGAGGCGGCCCCTCAACAACTGTCGCTGTGGGTGTCACCTCAAACATTGTTGGAGATTGGCTGTTCTGCTTCGCCGAAAGCACAAATGATCTATTAAGGAGAGGCAATTCCAATGATGCAATTACTTTAGTAAGTTTCGCGTTTTCTTGCCATGTACCTATTTGAGCAGTTTACACCTTTTTATTTTAAGATTATGACACCATATGTTTACCTCCTGATTTGAAACTTTGCATACACCCAGTATGGAGACCAAACTTTGTAATTTTATATTTTTTGTTGTAAATGTGTAAAGGACAATGCCACCCCTTTAAACATTAAACGCTACAAAAATAGATATAGAAATAAAACAACTGACTAAATAGTAAATAAACTGTAGGACAGAAACTGTAAGACAGGTCCTGGTAAGTCAGACTGGTCCATCCAGCTGCTCAGTCCCAGTGTTTCCAGTTTATCAGAGCCTGAGTATCAGTGATTGACTCTAGGGGGAGCCAGTCTCTTATCAGTCTCTCACACAGGTTTGGTTCCTAGACATTTGTTGGAAGGCACCCCCCTCTCCCCCTCCTCTCCCTCCGCCTCCTCTCTCTCTCTCTTTCTCTCTCTCTGCCTCTCTCTCTCCCTCTCACACACTCTTTCAATGAATACTAATGCAGCGTGTGGGCCCACCTCCCTTCCTCCCATCTTTTCGCAGGGATGGGCGGGAGAGGGGAGACAGAGCTCTGTATCCTCGCTCATGAGGCAGCCAGTGCTTGACTAGCAGCAGTGCCCGATGCCTTTTTTTCCTCCCACTGGGGCAACATTGGTGATACTTTTGTGGTGCCGCCGCAACAATGTCCAACCTGTGTGAGTGGCGGGCGCTTTCAGAGCAGAGTTGAAAGAGAGGAGGAGAAGGAGAGGACGTCTGTGCCTGCTTTTTGTCATCTGGATGGGAAGTGATTTTTGGGAGGAGAGACAGAAGAAAGCAGAAGGCAGCCGGGGAAGGGGAACAACTGGCAGCAGCCAATCCCCCCTTCCACACTCAGACTGGAGACAACGGAGGCCACTGGAGTATTTGCTTTTATCTTTCGTTTTTTGTTCTTTTTTTTCCTCATCGCGCTGCTGGGAGGTGCTTTACCTTTTCATTTGCTTGCTCTCTCGGTCCTCTGTCTTCTCATTTATTTCGCCATTTACCTGGTCAACAATTTCTTCTATTTATGAGCCAGACAAGGAGGGGGGAGAGAGGCAGAGAGACAGAGAAAAAGAGAAAGAGAAAGGGGAGGGGGATTTTTTTTTATATACATTTATCTACCCCCTTTTATTCTCTTTTTTTTCTCCCCTTCATTCTCCCTTCCCTCCTCATCGCTCTCTCACTTCCAGCCTTTTCCATCCCTGTGCAGCCCACGCTCCCTCCTCCCTCCACTGCCTCCCCCCACCTCCTCTCCCCTCCACTGTCCACCCTTAACTTTGGCTACTTTTTTGACTCCACCTGTGTTTTCACTTCCTCACTTTACAATCCTTTGGTAGAGACGTTTTAATTGGCTTGCTTGTCGTTTTCTATTTATGCCTTTTTCACTTTTGTACCTTTTTCCTATTTCCTATTCCCCCCTTCTCTTTTTTCCTCCCACCATCCTATGCATCTTTTTTGGCCGGTTCTTAATTCTAACCATAGGTAGGTCAATTATTTAGTGTTTAGTGTCTGTCTCAAAGTCTTTGTTCCTTTTCTGTGTGTGCAAGGTGTTTCGTGTGGGGTGGACATACATCAAACACACACACACACTCTCACATAGACATACACACACATATGCACACGCACACACTGGCCTGTAATCTGCCTCCATGAATCCCCCTCCCATCCGGCACTCAGCTGATTCTCTCCTCATGCCGTGTCATCCTCACATCACTCCCCTCCTCCTGCACACTCTAATCTACCTTTTCTCACTTTGTTTTTGTTCTCTTCAGCCACAGTGACTCATCAAGCACGCAAAAGGACCCGCTGCTTCCTCATGTACAAGTCTGTTTTTCCATTAAAGTGCCTCAAACACCTCCTTTGTCGCTCATTTGTCCTCTTTTTATGTCTGTTTGTCCAAACCGAGCATCAATTCTGCAATAAATTCTGTTCTCATCGAGCCGCGGTGCGTTCAAGTCCCCCCCCTCTTTCTTTTTAAGTGTTTATCAGGTGAAGGTCAAACTGAGCGAACGGCCTGATTCATGAGCAACAGTGCTCTGTTGTTGCAAAGGCCGGCTCTTGTCCATTCTGTCTGGGTGTCATCTGTGTTTATACACTCCTCCCGCTGCCCTCTCTCCTCCCTCTCTCTCTCTCTTTCCCTCTCTTCCCCCTCTCTCTCTTTCTCTGTCGTCTCTTTTTCCCACTCAGACAGACACAAGCACTCAAAGAGAATGGACTAAGAGGAAAAAAATAACCTTACTGAGGATTTTTCTCCCTTTTCTTCCTCCACCATCACTTTTTTCACCAACTTTTCGCTTCAAGCTTGAGTCTCTTTCACCACCTCTCTCCTCGTCTTCTTTTCTCTCTGTCTTTCGATCACTTCTCTGAATTGATCCACTCATTGCTTCACTTCTCGTTCCATTTTGTTTTCATTTTCATTTGTCCCACCGCTCACACTTGCGCGTCACCGACTCGCCTGCATCAGAGAGGAGTCGCTCTTTATTTCACATTTCGGTGACGTGCAACTTTATCACCTCCACTACCTCCATTTATTGAAATACAAAGGAGGCAGATTATTCACCAATAATCCTTTGCATTTCAGGACTATCACACTCAAAACGAATTTATCTGACAGCAAAGAAACTGAATAATATGGTGTGTTAGTGTGTGTGTGTGAGAGAGAGTGTGTCACAGCAATAGACAGATGCATAGCAAAGTGAAACGAACCACACAACTCATTTCTTTGTCCATCTCCTTTGTTTATATTTCCACCTTTTTCCTGAAGGAGATTTAATGCCTCTCCTCTTCAGTGCGTGAAGATAATGGGAAGTGGGACTTTTGATCAACTACCACCATGATAAAGGCACTCTGGATTTAGCTGTTTTCCTGTGGAATTACCCTTTAAATCCTGGATTCGACCCCCTAATGAAAAAATGATAATCAGTCATTAAAAACTGTCCTAATTCTGGACTTTTCTTTTTGACTCCTTTTTCTAATGGACTGAAGCTGATTTCAATATTTCTTTTTCCAACTATTCAATCTTAATGGGATTTCACTAACGCGGATTAAAGACTCAAGCAACTTCTTTGTCTATTAGTCGATGTATTAGCCCTGATTCGTACATTTCTCCAGCCTCCAAAACCAATTAAAATCAATACTTTTTAATGTTAAGGTTGTAATAGGTGAGTACAGTGCTTGAATATACACATGCTATTTCTTTTGCATGGATGATGTAGATTTCAAACGTAATATTTCCTATATTGAGCCACTTTTTGTGCATGTATGTTTGTATGTGTGCATATGCATCCTGAGGTATGTGTGTGTATGACGGCGGTTCAGGGGAAATTTAAGCTGACCCCTCTGCACGACTCACCACCATCCATTCTTTCTACATAAAAATGTTTAAATCTGCTCGACTAATATGTTTAAGGTCATATTCCAAAAAAGAACATTAGGGCCAGGGGTGAGGACAAAATAATTTCAAGAGGAAGATTTGTCTTTCATGATGTATTGATATAATCAATTCAAAATGTCAAGAATCAAGCCAAAATGTTCAAAAAAAAAAAAAAAAAGAAATTGTGAACAAGGTTGAAACTCTGGGGTAAAAAGAGTTGAAATGCATTCAATTTGAATAAAGTCATTTTTTGTTGATAAAGTATTGTTAAGTTTCAGAGAGGAACTTTTAGTTTTGTTGATTTTGGCGCCCCCTGTGGACAAAGTAGTACCCTTTGATATGTATCACTTTACATGAATATTTGCTGAGGAAACAGTTCTCTGTCAATCATCCTGACTGACACCTACCACCTGCAGGAGTCTCTGGCATTCAAAAAAAACTGAAAAATGGTCATCCAGCATTGCTGATGGTGTCGTTCACCAAGTTGTTGCTCGACTTGTAAAAATTCCTAATAGTAGCTTTAATAAAGTAAAATTTCCTGGACAAAGGCAAAAAACAATTTCTTGAGAAAAGTTGAAATTTTGAGGAAAAAGTCAAAGTACAATTATGTGAATACAGTTAAAAGAACAAGAAATAAATGAATACCCAATTATTAAGTTCATATTTGATGTCAAGTCAAAATAAGTTTTGTGAATTAAGTTAAAATAAGTTTTGAATAAAGTACATTTTCTTAAATAATGTCATAACTTCAAGGAAAAATTCAAATAAAACATTCTTGTGAAAGTGGGAAAAAGTTGAAATACTGTACAGTCTTCAATAAAATTGAAATAATGAAATAAAAGGGAAAAAAATTAATACGTAAGGTCAAAATTGTAAAAGAAATAGGTCAAAAGTTGAAAGTTGACATTTTTAGGGAAAAAACAAAACAAAAACAATTTTATGGATAAAATCACGATAGAGAGAAAAAAAATCCATATAAAATTTAAACATAAAAAGTTGACATTAAAATGGAAAACTTTTTTTCAATCACACTGAATTAAATAAAAAAAATATATATAAAAAGGTCAAAATACAATTACATGAGCTGTAATAAAAAAAGACAAAATATCTGATATCTTAAAAATTGTTGAAGTTTTGATGCAAGTTAAAAAAAGATTCCCTGACCAAAGTCAAATTACCAGGAAAAAAAATTGTCGTAAAAGTAAAGTTAAAATTTCAACAAAAAAGTTGAAGTACAATTTCTGAAAAGTAAAAAATCTACCAAAATACATCAAATACGATCAAATGGCGCAAATGTCTTAGGCAGTTTGTTGAAATTCTTGAAAAAGGAAGAAATTTCTAGAACAAAAACAGAACAGTATTTTAATCAAAGTTAAAAAATTTTCAAAGATATTCAAAATTCAATTGTGTGTATTGGGTTAAAATGTTGAAACAAAAGGTTGCATTTGATGGTCAGAATTAAATTCCAGGTTGCTTAAAGGCGATGTCATACGCCCAAAAATAACCATGTCACATGGCTCCTTAAGTGGTTAATGGATATTCAATTTAGACTTTTTCCTTTCTAAAATTTTGACCTTGTTCCCAACATTATTACTTTACTCCCAAAGTGCATAATAATAATAATAATAATGATAATAATAATAAAAAACATCCTTCTCTTGTTTTTTTCCTCATCCCTGTCTCCAAAACCCTTCTGCACATGCTCAGTTATGACATTGTCTTTTAATAGAAAACTGTATCAGGTGTTCTCCATCTAAAGGAGAGGCCACTTCTGCTTATCAAATCACCTGCCTAGTGCTGTTTTACGCTCTTATTTAAAGCCAAGGGGTGTGTGTGAATGAGTGAGAGGACTTTAAAGTTGGATCAATAAAGTAATCTACACAAAGACACACACACATACACACACACCACATCGCCGTTTTGTCAAAAGTTATTTGATGAAAACACATTACTTTACATAGCAGACTTTCATTATCTCTCTTTCAGCGTGTAAACGCAACCTCAAGTGTGTATGTTGCAGCAAACCTTTGTACCTACACGCCTGCAGACCATCCATCCATCCATCCATCCATCCATCCATCCATGTCATCCATGTCATCCATCACAGGTGTAGCAGCAATTGACCCCTTTTCACTGATTAACTTCCCCATCATTCAGCTGACTCTAGTTTGGATTTATACCATGTATGTGTATGTGTGTGCGGAGAGCCAAGGTTACAGACCCATACCTGTGAAACCCACCTGGGACCTGCTCTCATAACTGGGGACCATTACCTATTCTGTTCGCTGCTCTTGGCACACATGTGACCCCTGTAGCCCCTCTACAGATGGGCGCTTGAGCTCAGGTAGTCAGTCAGAGCTGTCACAGCTGCCACACTGCAAAATGGATGCCTCTGATGCACCGCTGTCTTTTTACTGTAATCATCACACAAACAGCACATGTCAATTTACACAAAGAGAGATAACATGCCCTTTGTCCTAAAATGATTGTTATTTTAAGCTTGGAAGGGTGAGTTTGAAGCAAAATAGCTATTACTGAAGGTCCCTCTGCACTTGAAAAATGGGTTTAATAAAACTAAATTGACCAGTTTTAAGAAGAAGATGCTGCTACTGTTGGAAGTGATTTCTTATTTTGGAGGTAGACCTCAGAATTGACGGTGGAGTTAACGTTTTGGAGAGACATGCTCAGCTGGGTGTCACTTTTGAACAAACAGAAGCCATTCCTCGTGATTTTCAGAGATGTTGCTCGATACACGTCCTGCATCCCTGAGACATAAAAATGTGAAAGGACACAGTAAATTTACTACTCCTGAGTCCCAGGGGCGTACTTCATCTTTGCCATGCAAAACCATAAATTGCTAACCATCAGTGGAGCTGGGGGAGAGACTACTTAAGCTCAAGCCTCTAATGATTTCTTTAAAGCCCTGAAACTTTCAAGCTATAAGGTAATTTGTCTTACACCTTGTTTCCACTTGTGTACGTGCATGGTGTCTGTAGGTCCATAAAGAAACGTGTGATACCTCCAGTGTTAAATGCAAGGAAGTGCATTTCTTTATGAATGGATACAAACCATAGAGTATACCTGTAGCTCTGAAGTAGAGATTCATTTGTCTCATAACTAATGAATTTGACTGTATTTAATATCAAACTGATAAAGATAATCCTGACATTTTTAGTAGATATGAGCAGTAACATTTTTTAATCGTACAAACTCACAACCAACACAAAAACAACTGAGATAAAGGAAATGGCGTCTGTGAGTGGCAACGAGGCATTTTCCACTTACCGATGTCAATGGGCAACTGAATGGAAACCAGTGACAGTCTCTCTGAAATGCATCGCCAAAGTTAATGTCTTTAATGTACTTGGGTTAGATTACAAACCGAAATGTTACAGTGGCTAGGAGTTTTGCAGGCACATCAAATATCACACAGATTCACGTAGAGATGAATGAGATGATTTTGGTGGTGTCAGGCCAGTGAATGTGCTTGTTAGCAAAGAGACAGTGAGGTGGTTGTAGATCAATGTTTGCACGGTCGCATTAGCTTGTGCTACATCAGTCCTTTTTATCAAGGGGAGAGAGCGTAGAGGTAGCGTGTGCATACAAAGTGAGAAATCGCTGCATCTTGCGTCTTTTTTGGACACTCAGAGTGTTTGTTTAGTGTGCGTTCTGCTACTCTGTGCACCACTGATTTAAAGCGTCTGAACCTGTATTGTTTAGCTGCCCCAGTCAACCAATTATAAATCAGCTGGGGCGGGACTTGTCATCTAGGACAATAGATGATAGTCGGATGACCATCACAGAGACAGAGAAGCTTATTTTTGGGACAATTTGTCTGCTGTTGCTGAGTGCTGCCATAGATTGTGAGGAAAAACAAAACTAGGGTGAAAACAAAGGGGGTCCTGCTGATTGATATGACATTATGGCAATTTATGTATTGATGCCAAATTGATAAAATCAAGCTATGTTTTCCCGTAGTAGCAAAGTATGAAAATACAGTATTTCTTTCGTTTCCTGGTATATTTTAATATGTCTTTGAGTTGAATACGTCAGAGCAGGAGATCAAATACTTCTTGAGGACCTGTAACATTTCCAAGGATCCACTCAGATCATTATCCGTCGGTCCCTTGGATTGACTAAATTGAAAAGCTATCAACAACAGTGGATTGTGGTATTTTCTCTATTTAGGATTGTGCAAGAAAAGGAAATATTTGCACAAACTGGAGTCACCTTGGAAAGCATCAACACATTTTGGAACATAAATGAATGTTCCTGCCAAGAGAGACATCGTAGTTAATGCCTCTCCCAGTGTGTTTCTTAGTTTTACTCTAATAATTAAATTGTACTCTCTTTGTAACTTAATTATCTTAGTGTAAATAATGCCAATAAATCTTATTGAGCAGTAAATCTGTTGTATTCAGTGACCAGAGGGCACGGCCACATATTTCAAGCCACTTGTCAATTTTTAGTGTCTGAAACCAGTTGGATGCCAGAAGCTTAGGTGAAGAAGAAGTCTGCCAAAAGTCTCCAAACGGAGCTTAAGAGATTTCAGAGGCGCCGTGTTTGCAGTCGTCATTGATAAACAGGCCAGGAGAGGAGACAGCAGGGGCTGAGGAGATTCGTAATCCTTCCCCCCTCTTCCTACTGGTTCCCTCTCTGCCTCTCTCTCTCTTTCTCTCTGTGCTTCCTAATGAGACGACAATACGACTCCAGCGTCAGGCTCTCCGCGTTGCATCTGACTTAATGAATTCAACAAGAACACTTAATGATTTATTTCATCTTTGTACATCTTAGAGATGTTCTCGTACCGCTCTTATACCAACTCTTACACTGCTCGCACTGCTGTGTTGTTTGTTGATGTTACATGAAATTTACCTGAAACAAACTGATTGCAGTAGATTGGAGCCACAACTGGTATACCTACCCATAGTAAAAAGCCAACACCTGGACTGGTATTGTTATGAGACTGATATTGATTCTGCTACTGGTGACAGAAGCAGGTCATTACTGTTTTTTTTATCAGAGGCAGTGACAGATAATACCTGTATCTGTATCAAATACTGATGATGTTATCATTCTTAAGGCCAATACTGTTGATATTTATTAGAGTGTGATACAATACTGGTTCAGAAACTGAAAGCAGCTTTGATACAAGAAGCCAATTCTGATACTGGTGCCAATATTTAAGGCAGATATCGGTGTACTGCTGATACTGATATTGATCCTGGTATTGCTGTCAGAGGTTTGTATTATGCTGGTGTTCATAATTTAGCTTGAAACTAGCACTGGTTTCGTTGATAAGGGTTGATATCGATTCTGGGTTTTGGACGCAGATGTCAGTATTATTAAAGTGGGGACAGATACTTATATTGATGATTGATTGAATACTATCACCAATATTGGAATATCTGTTGAATGCAAACACATATATCATATTTAGTGGCTAATACCTAGATTGATTTATGTTTTGGTATTAAAGGCTAATACTAATATTGATTATGCCATTATTAGCAAAGGCAGCAACAGATACTGGCATTATCTGGGGGCAGATACTGATACCGGGGTTGTTATTAGAAGCAGATACAGAAACTGGGATCAAGGCAGGTGGCTTGGCTTGTGTTGATATTGGAGGCTGATTGTTTGACTGACATCTGTATTGGAGGCAGACAAAGAAACGATGATTAACATTGGATGCAGATATTGTTAACATAATCAAATGCCAATACCAGTGTCTCACTGGCATCGATAGGAGAAACTTCTACTGGTGTCCATGTTGGAAGTGGATTCTGACACTAAGATGAATATCAGAGGCATGCAGATACTAGTATTGGAGCTGGACGCAGATACCAGAACTAGGATCGGGAGAGTTGGCAGATACTGATACTGAGAGCAGTTACCAATTCTGGAATGGATGTTGGAGACACATATTGATAATGATATTTGAAGGCAGATTAGATCCATAACCATGTTAGAGACACATACTAATATATGGACAGATATTTGAGGCAGATACCGATACTGGGAGGGTTTATGGAGACAAGCGTGGATATTAGTAACAATATTGGAGGCAGATACAGATACTTATAGGGAAATTGGAGGCAAATAATGTTGTGGGGTATTGTTGGCAAATGTATTTTTGGAGGGATAGAAGAGGGAATATGGATACTTAGAATGATAATGGAGGCTTATGTGGAACCTTATGGTGATTTTTAATGCTGATACTGATAATTAAATTTACATGGGCACATCTTTTGTGTAGCATTCACTTGTGCTGTGCAAGGGAATGTTTGTGCGTCAGACACTGTGCTTTACAGAGTGCATTGGAAGTGTTTTAAGTACAATCTTAACACCTGAAGTTTACATCTGCTTGTTGCTATGCCACGCACTTATCTGTCATGCTATGAATAAGCGTCTGACTTTCTGCAGTGTGCGTCTGAATCCTGCTCAGCCACTGAAATAGCGAGCGGGGAGCCTATGTGGGACGACTTAAAAAGTACGTCTCAGTGTTATTGGCAGCACATTCACTTCAAGCAAGCGGAATATGGGTCATGATCTGATATAAAAAGGCTACTCAATAATTCATCCGAGCTGATTAGGACGACTTGTATCGACGCAGACAGTGTCCATGAGGAAGCATCAGAATACACAGTAAAGTGAGCGGGGGAAAAAAGCAACATTTAGGCTCCTTTGTGGCATTAGAGTAAGCTAGGGAACAAGCTCAAGCAGCCTGGGTGTTTTAAGCGAGCAGCGTTGGCCTTCTTTGATGTTTTAATCTACTCCACGTTCACCCCTCTGTCATGTGACGTGTGTGTTCGATTGTGGTTATATGTTTGCTGAGAGTGTGTGTGCACGTTGTGTGAGGACCATCGAGCTATTAAATATGAAAAGTGCAATCTGTTACCCCGCAGAGACTTTTTTATTATTCATTGACATATTTCAATTAATCATTCATTTACTTAAAGAATGGCCCACTCTCGCCTTTACCTCACACTCTCTTATAGGCTAATGTGTTGATCACACATGAGTCCTGTATAATCTGGATTAATAGCAGCTATTTATTATTCTTCTGATCTAGAACATACTGTATTTGGGCAGCTGTTGGGGAATGAAGGCAGAGACAATTTAGTACTACAGTACATTTGGAGGAAATGTATAATTTATCACATTGGGCTGGATTCTTTTCAAATCAGGCTGTTTTATCCCAAGACACACTCATGCACACACACACACACACACACACACACACACACACACACACACACACACACACACACACACACAGAGTTTTCAGAAGAGAATATGAGATGCATTTAAACCCATTAAGGAGGGAGACGCATTGTTTTTGTCAAACTCAAGTGGATTTTGGTTGTAAATGATAACACACAAAGCTTTACGCAGATTTTAAAGATTTCAAATCCTCCTCATTTAATCTTATTTCTTCGTTCCAAGAAAAGCAGGCTAGAGATAACACTTCTTGCCAAAAGCACGGTGTGGTTTTATTAGAGTCTGGCTGTCTGTGACCTGCCTCTAACCCTCTGTCCTCCCTCTTCCCTCCACAATAACAGACTGGCGGACGTCAGAAAAACAAGCAACGCCAAGCGTCTCTTCGGAGGAGCGAAGGGGAGAAGAGTAGTGAAGCTGCTCCTGTGGAGTACAATTACCTCCAAAGTGCTGCTTTCCCCCCAGGCCTGTCAAGGATTTTACCTAAAACTGCTGTGAGTCTCTCGGCTTTTAACACCCTGTTCACAACCAACTCTAAGAGGTGCACTGGCTGATGAGTGAGCTGCAGCAGCTCAAACCATTTCAGCTAGAGGGAACAACCTGCAAATTCATGTAGCAAAATGCTAAATACATTCATCAGGAATAGAGTAACACTAACATGCTTTCATGATCTAACTTCATTGGGGCTCACGATCTGTGTGACCAGATTGAAATGAGCTGAAAAGGGATCATGTTGCCACCTACCAAAGTGGAAGCAAAATTTAATACTTGTATTAGAGTAAATTTTACATTGAAGTCCCTGTCTTTTACTGTAGTTCTCGGCAGTGAAGCAAAATCCAAATCTGTGCCAGTATTGAGCTGTTTTGAAGACAGACACCAACACAGAATTGCCACTTAATGCTCAGTCCTGATCCGCCACAGTAACTTTTGCAGTGTGGGATAATGCATGAGCACATTTAAAAAAGCACTCTCTTGTATGTATACTTTTTTTTTTACAATGAAGAATCGTTGTTCATAATGAAAAAGACTGAGAATATCATTTTAAAAGAAACAAAAGCAGACTCAGTGCAGGTCTTACAAATTTGATTTGTACTCTTTTTTTGGCTTAATGATTTTCATTGTAAAATGTAAATATTAGTGCTTTTAATTGAGAAAACCTGAACTTTCCACATCCAGTTGTATTTGTTAACATGATGGCCAATTTACTGATGTAACACAGCCAATGCAACATCTACATATACATGTACATGGCCCATATCTCCTTAGTTAATCTGCATGTTTGACCATAAATCCAAGTCCAGTTAGCATCCCCAACAGGCTCAGGATGCTTCTGTTGTCGTGACTTGTCCTGTGTTTTGAGCTTTGCTTCACGTTGCTCTGGATGTATTTGATTTGGCTTTTTGCAGCACTCCTTTTATTTGCAGATCATTGTTATTAATTTGCGTTGTCTGTTTTTTCCCCCTCATTCATTAGGAATAATGGCTGTGTTTTTGAATTTGCATTGTCTCTCAGTCTCATTTTGCAGCCTGCGCCTCCTAACAGAAATCATTAAGATCTTTGCAGCACATTTGCCCTTGTCGGCCCCTGTATGAAGGATTATGATGCGCAGGCAAGATAAATGCTCGTCAACATCGCTTCTTTTTGTAATCTGCCCCCCTCAATCATGAACATCTGTATTCTGCATCAACAGAGTCCCACACACTTTGTACAGCATTCCTCTGAGAGATGAGTTATTCAATTAATCATGACGATTAAAACACACTTCTTTGGGAAAGTGCAGCTGGTCGGAGTGAATGGAGCTTGTGGTGGGGTGACGCCTGATTATGATGGAGAGCTGGTGAACTCCCATGGCTGTTTTAGTCTCATTTCTGAGTTAATCAAACTCATCTTTTTTATTAATTACCTTAAAGAGTTGACAGGTGGGATTATTCCAGGTGATTAGTTCTGCCTGTGTGCACGGAGAAAAGAAAGGTGTACATTAATATGAGACAAAAGGGTATTAGGAGGTTCTTAAGTGGTGGTGGTGCAAAGTGATTATGAAAGAAACTGTTCAAGATGTCAGACTGAGGTTTTGTCAAAGCAATTTTGAAGGTTATTTTTGAGCTGTTATACCTTTAAGCACAAGCTAGGGCAGTGGATGGAGCAGGAAACTAGGAAGAGAGAGTGATTGAATCTAGGCTGCACCCACTTCGATAAAAATCATGTTTTTCTTGTGTTTTTTATATGTTTATATGGCATTTTTCTGATGCTACAAGAAATATCATGAGAAAACTAAAACTCAGAAAAGCGAAATTGCTGACAGTGAGATGTCATATGTAATACAGAGGAGGAATGCGGATCAAGCGTGTGCGTTTGCATATTGCAATGCTCGTAAGAAAGCTAATTATAATATTTTTTCATCATGCTCCTAAAGACATTAGTGTCTGAGAGCTAAATAGCTCCTATGTTACCTGCCACTTCTACTACACTGGCAATGTTAGGCTGCAAGTTAGTGTAGAGAGGAGTGTGCAGAGCAGCGCTGTCTCTGCCCACGACTCAGTGGTGAATTGCTAATGAGCGACTGGAGCTCTGCAGAAGAAAAGCCCTTGAAAATGACACAGGTAACGTGATTTTGTCGAAAAACTTTATAATCACAATTTAAAAAAGCACTGAGAACACTTTAAATGTAAAAAACAAAAAACAACAAAAAAAAAACAATCGGAGTGGGACTTTAAGGACTCTGTGCAGCAGAATTGTAAAAAAACGGTCCAAAGAAATGCCCGATTTTACAGTGGGTGATGTTAACGAAAAGGTATGAACTGGCAGAATTGAATTGAATCAAAGAGACAAACAGTTTAGAGGATTAAATGTCCTTGCTGAATGACAAGTTGGTGCTGTGGACAGGCCAGTTTAGCACCCAGACTCTTCTACTACAGAGCCATACTCTTGTAATATGTGCTGCTCAGTCAGGATTTCCTTGGCTCGTAGGGTTCTGCCTCTAGTGGCCACTGAATAAACTGCAGCTTTTTGTGCAGATGTTGTTGCTTAGTTGCTACTTCATCACTGCAATTGAATGCAAGTAAATCTCTGTCACTGTTTTGTGTGTTCTGACTTCACTGTTGGTCAGACAAGTATGTAACAATCGATAGTCATGTTGTCTTTTCTCTTGTGTTGGCTGTAGTTGAGCCTCCCTCAGTCTGAGGCTATGAGAGGGAGAGAGGAGTCCCAGGCTGTACCATCATGCTTCTTCTGAGACGCTGGGATGAGACTTTGGCTGGCAAAACACAAGGTAAGACAGTATTGATGCACGCTTCTTGGTTTCCTGTGTAGCCCCTGCAGAGAAAAACCACCAGAACACCCCGTCTCGTCTCTTCTGGGTGCATTTGTGTGTCTCCCTGAGTGTGTTCCCTCTCCTGGAGCTCAGTGATGGATGGCCGGTAACTTGGGCAGACTTTATTTGCTTCGCCAGATTTGCTGGAGGGTCAAGCTGAGGGTTCAAGGTGGAGCCTGCAGATGAATAGTTCAATCTTGGCTGTTTAGCGCAGTTTGCACTTAGATCAGCTGCAAACCTGACCCAGCGCCTATTGACTGTCAGGCTCATTTACATGGCTCTGCAGGCATTGATCAGGCAATTAAAGGATTTGTCCGACGAGATGTGTGAAGTGTCCTCACCGTCTGCTGGGTTTGTGCATGTGTGCATGAAATAATGGGAAAAGAGTGAGTGTTTTTTGTGTGATAAGATAAAAGAAGACATAACTCTCACTGTCTCAGCACCAAATTACGCGGAGAAAATGTATTTTGCCACAAGGGCCCATGAGAGGCCATTATCATATCAGCACATTTCATCGTCTCCTCGTACATTCATCTCCTCACTCCATGGTGCTCAGAGTTTTTCTGCAAATTTCACTTTTCTCTTCCTCTCCATCTCCCTCCTTTTTTTGTGTGTTTTTTTTCATCTCATCCCATGCTCCGTAAATCAGCCGTGACGTTTAAGAGACTGAGCGTTGGTGCAGAGGAGCAAGGGAGGAGAGAAATTTCCTCTTGTTTTTTACCCTTTTTTTAAGAGACAGTGGCTGTTATGGAGAAAGGAGGTAGAGGATGAGGAGGAGGAGGGGGGGGGGGGGGGCACTCGTCTTCCTTAGAGTCAGCAGCAGCAGAGCGACAGTGCTGCTCTGTAATGAAGTGCCTCAGCCGCGGCCGTCTGCCGTTTGCTGAAAGTCACACAGCTGCCTGGGCTGGTGCTGACGCTGCAGATCGCCTCACACAGCCTTACGTCATAAAACATTACCATATAAATGAATTAACAGTGGAGCAAAATCTCATTAAAACCTCCACTCCACCTTCTTTGAAAAAAAAATTAGCATTCACACTTTACAGTTACAGATTATTAGTTTAATGGGCCTGTTATTCCGGTGCTGCATTTTCCTTCCCTCACATAAAAAGCTGTAATACTGGCTCAAATGAAGACATATTTGAATAATAATGTTTTAAAAGCCTTATCTCCAACTCGTGTTTACCTAGCCGAAATGTAATTTTACCCCCTAATTATATCACCACCACCACTCAGCGCCATTAATTAAGGGAGCACTAATTTTTCAGTCCAATCCAATTAGAGCAGACCCTTGTTTAGAGCCCACATCATCATTCACACCCAGTGCACATCTCTACAGGAGCACAGGACTGAGAGTATAGTTTTTAATGCGTGAAATCCTGTCTGAATCCCCTCTCTCCAGCGCGGTGATAAACAGCTAGATTATAATTTAGGAATTCAACACTTTGATGGTACAATTATGAGTCTGAGTTATAATTAAAGTTCCTTACAGCGGTTATTATGCAAACATTAATCTCACAAAACACTCAGATAGAGGTAGATTTGTGAATACGTTGGCCGGTTAATCAATCCCAGAAATGGCATTTTTAAATGATCGGCACCAGCTGATGTCTGTGCTCATGCAGAGAGCAAAATCTAGGAGCAATTATCTGCAGACACTGCAGGCAGCCAGTGTATAGATGCCTTCTTTTGCAGAATAGAGTTTGCAGAATCATGATCAAATCTTACAGGCAGTTCATCTGTCTGAGGATCTAATTAAAATGAGAAACAAGGAAACAGCATTTTTATTTGTTTTTCAAGCCAAACTCCAAAAAACAAAATACAAAAAAATAAAATAAAAAATGAAATAAAAATAAAATGGAAGTGAGCATTTTTGATTTGAAATGTTTTTTCCCCTTGTTTTTGGTCACAGATAATAAAAAGGAGAAATGACGCTTTAATTTTTTTAAGTACATGTCTTTGAAAATGAATCAGGTGATAATGAGGCATCTTGGCATGCAAGAGAAAATTTCAAAATAAAAGCCCAACCAACAGAATGTAGTGAACTAGCTTACCTAATAGTTAGTGTCAGGGTGGATTCTGTAGGTTACTCCGCTACCTGA